TCTACAGATTTCCTTATTTCAATTATATATATATATATATAGTATATATATATAGTAACTATATAATCGTCTCAAGTGCCTCAAGCCGGAATATCATACGCAGCGCCTGAAGTTCACTCCTTCAAGCGCACTAATTGAGCACTCGAATTTAATTGGCTCTACTACCTCAAAAATAAAAAATGGCAAACAAATATTGTTAAAAAATAAAACAGAAAAAAAAATTGAGCTGTGACGTCAATTTGACTTGGGTAGGCTTCCCAGCTTTGGGACTCTGATTCAGCACTTGGGTAAACTTCGACGCCATATCGATTGACCCGCCCCCTGGGTCTAGAGCTTTCAATAGGACAGGCCGGTTCTACAGACAGACAACTCAGCATGAAATGTCAGAAAACCCCAAAGGCAAAAAACAGCTGGGCGTAGCCGACTGTCAAATACGCTGTTATCATTAAATGTGTCATGGCATCTTGTGGTTTGTTGATTTTAAAAGTTATGAATTCTTTAAGTAGCAATCAATTAAATAAATTAATTATGTGCTTACAGACCAGAATTTTGAAATTGTGATAGAAATTGTGGAAGAATTAGAATTAGAGTTACAGCTGGAAGAGTTAGATGTCAGATAGATAGTAAAATAGATAGATATATGGATAGATGTCTAGATGGATAGAAGAATAGATAGATAGATAGATAGATATATATATATAGAGATAGTTAGACAGATAGATAGATTGATGGATATATGGATAAATGTTATAGAAATACAGATTTCTAGCATCTATAGATAGATCAACATATCGATCGATAAACATATCGATATATAAATATTTTATATATATTGATATATAAGCATATAGATAACTGATAGATACATAGCAAAATATATAAGATTGAAAGATAGATATATTGGAAAACAGAGATAGTTACATAGATGCAGACTGATCAAATTTTCAGATAGAGGCATAAATAGATGAAAGCAAAGAAATGTTCCTATAGCAATATAGGAACTTAGCCAGTAAGTCTCTCTAAGTACCCGCTTGAGTACCCTGCCTATATATAATATATATGCTAACAACATGTCAACCACAATATATTAAGCTAATATGCCCATTTCGTCACCTCTAACTGGCCAATTGTAGCTGTGCCTGTCTGTGAGCCAGTGACCACAGCGAGCACAGCATCGATTGGATGATCTGCTTATGTCGTTCCACAGCTAGTTTCTCATATGGGCCATAAAATATAATTTTTTGCAAATCAGAACCGGAATGGCAACTACGTCGCAGACGCCGCTCTTACAACAAACTTTTGCACATTGCAGCGTGAGTTGGCTAAAACATTTCTCTTTCCAGGCAACTGAATACTTTGGCTTAACCTCATTTCAAAGTTTGTAGTAAATGTTGCAAAAACGAAACGAAAAAAGTCCCTCAACCTTTAGTTCGAGCCAATTAATTAGTTATTTCTAATGCGTACATTTATTTGATTTTTACCTCGACAGAAGTGGCTGACGAAACCTTTGAGAACTGGTCGGACAGTTGGGCGGCTCAGACACATACACACACACACACACATACGCAAATTGGGCGCTTGGGGGTCGCTTCATTGCATTGGACACCGACAAGTTGTTGTTTATTAAACAACACATTGTTGTTGTTGTTGTACTTTTTGCTGTGGTCTACAAACTGAAGACATGTGTATGTGTGCCTGTGTGTATATGTAAATCGTGTAGGTGCATATGCATACATTTACATGCTTACAAGAAGAGGCGTCAAAAATCACGACAACAACAACAGCAACACACACAATACACTGAGAGTCATTGGACTAGTTTCATAACTGCCAAAACAACAACCCCACTGACGCCTCTCCCCTCTCTTTTCCGCTGTCGGCGCTCAGCTGCTACGCTGTACATGCCTCTGCTCGCCGCACCTGCTGAGCGCACGACGCAAGCGCAGCCCCAGCAGCGCAGCAGCGACATCAGCCGAGGCAGCCGCACGGTTTCAATCTGAATGCCAAGCGTTGGGTATGACCTTCATGGCTACAAAAAAAAAAACAGCAGTGCGACGCGAGCAGCTAGCGGCAACAGCCAAAGTATCAGTTTATGGTCAACAAAATAAAAATAACAACAGCAGAGGCAGCAGCAGCAGCAGCAACATCAAAAGACGTTAAAAAGCAACAACAAAACCAAAAGAGAATCACAACAGAGAGACAACATGTCGTCAACAGGCAGAAAGCTTTCGAGTCACACGCATATATTTTATGTATTGGAGCTTGAAATTGAAAGCTGCTGCGACGGTGACTGCGACTGCGCAGCTGCGTCTGCAGCGTGAGACAATGCGAAAAATAAACAAACAGCAAAGCTGCAGTCGACTGCAAGTTGCGCTATAATTGCTGGAATAATCGACTGGGAACTATCGATAAAGTACCAAAGCTGTTAGCACCGACTGAAGCTAACAGCATTTAATGATTAGCCTGGAAATGTTAATAACATCTTATGTTAATGTGCACTTAGCTTCCTCGCTGCTGCATGCTTCATCTGTAAGCGCATATACCCTGTCGCAGCAGCTGGGTATGCTTGGAATGTGTGAGTTTAAAGCTTCTTTTTTGTTTTTGCAAGCGCAACCCCTGCCCACTGCACTGCACTGCTCTGCTCTGCCAGCGGCATATTTTCGAACCAGTTTCGCATCCTCCATTCGCCATTGTCCATTCCAGCCAGCCGCTCCATACATAGGACGGGCCTCCACTCCGATTTTAAAAATAAGAATCATTTGCTTCTCTTTATGTTTTAAGCGTGCTTGAACACAATTAATATTCCACTCGAGGCAACTACCCGCCTGCCCTCTGTCTCCTACATTTGCATAATTATCAGCTCGTCTCGATTGTTTTTCCATTACACTGTTTTTTTCTGCCGGGGATTTTTAGAACATTTTCAAAAAACAACACAAAACCCAGCGTTCGGCATAATAATGAACGGGACGTGGTCTGAAACTGTGGCGCCTTTGATCTCTGGAATTTCCACATGTCAGCATCCAAGCAAAGAGGATGCGACTGTCAATCAGTTCAAGGCAGCAAGCTCGTCGAGCAGTAAGCGTAAACAAGAACTGAAACATATTGCTTAACAAAAAATTGGTCCTTTATTAATGGTCAAGGTATTCGGTATATAGAATATTGAAAACAGAAGCAGAAGTCCTGCCTGAAGTGTACATTGCGTGGAAATTTTGTCTGCTAAGTCACAGTCCATTAGGAGGTTATGCTAGTAGAGCTATTAACAGCTGTTAAATTTGTGTATATAACATGTTGCAAACATATTCCAACTGGCAGCAAAGCCAATAGCTGTTAAAAGTTGCGTGTTAACAGCTGTTAAGCTTTACATATGAATCTTGCTCTTAAAACCTACATATCTGTTACGTCATATTCCAATTGGAATTGCACACATTGCCTTTAGTTGTTCTCTTCTAAGCCGCATTCTAACTGGTATATAGAATTGTGCTTTTTTCTTAAATACTTTGCTTAAAGATTAAGACTTTAAGCTTAATAATTGTTTAAAATATATATACATAAAATTATAACTTTATTTTTTTTAACTGTTAAAAATTTTTTTATAAAAATTATTTTAAAAATTATAAATAAAAGCAGAAAGATTTTAGAAAAATTAATATTTCTGTTTAATTGTTTTGGTTTGAGTGTCAATTTGAGCCTAAGACCCCTTTCAGCAGCTCGAATCCAAATATCAGCTAATTTATTTTGGGCTTTCTGGCCATAATTATAAGTCTTTAGTTATTATTATGCGCTTCTGTGCTTGAAAATATTTTTCTCTCTATATTTTCATATAAAGAAGCGCTAGATTTTATTTTCATCAAACTTTACTTTCATTTAATATGTTTAGGAAATACTATGCTTGGATAAAGCTCTTAGTTATTTAAGACAAAGCGCTGAATCTTAGCTCTTCATGAACCATTAAATAAATGTATTAAAATATAGAAATAATTAACAATTAAATTAGTTAGTTTTTAAAATAAATGTGTAACTCAAATCAGAGCTCTTACAAAAGATAGTTTTATTTTTTTATATATGTATAGGAGCAAAATGTTAATGCCAGTCTTATCTATAGGATAACTTACGCTTTAGTCCATAGTTTGTAATTAGATTTAGATTTAGTGAGTTGCATGTAAATTGTTCTTTATCAAAAAGCTCGTTGGATTGTCTTAAGGTCGCTTAGAAAATTAATTTATATATGTGTGGTAATAGAGCTTGAGTGGGGGGCATTGGGTTTGGATTTGGGTTTGGGTTTGAGTTTGGGAATTGCGCATCAGACATTGAACTAAAGTTCAGCATTTGTTGGGATTCGCGTATTATTTTGCCGAGTTTGAATGGGGAAGGCGATTGCACTTTGGTTCTGCGCTTCGCAGTCAAGAGTCGCGCATGGTTAAAACTCATTAAGTAAATGAAGTGAAACCAGACAAGCCCAGTCCAAACTAATTGTAATTTCAACGCAAGCAACTATATACGATCAAATTATATAGATAAATATATATAGATAAATGTGAACTTAGGATCAGGTGCTACACACATAAAGTGCTACGTTCAAAATACTAAATACTACGTCAACTAAATAGTATATATTATGCTAATACTTACTCAATATACAGTTACTTGATTTTCGATTCAATTGGTTTTTTCTTGGATTTTTTTTGTTGTTTTTTTTTTTCATTAAGTTTATTATCACGTTACATTATTTCGCTTACATTATGTATGCTATATAGTATTCTATAAAAAAACACACACAAATAAAATAATAATTAATTCAAATACAACCGATTTGGGGCCTTCACATCGAATTGGAAAATGAGCATAAATTAGCAATAATCCAATTGGAATTCATGATGTTTTTTTTTCTTGAACTATTCAAATTTGATAACTAAGAGAACTGAATGAAGTACAGTTAAACAATTTATATATGCTACAAACAATTTTGCTAAACAATATTTTGTTTTTGGTTTTTTGGATGGATATTATAATTGAATTTACTTAAGCAACTACGTTTTGTATAGAGTTATATAATTGATGTAGATAAGTCTAAATATGCATAGTTTATGTGAGATGCTACCAAGTCTAGTGAATGAGCTGAAGTGTTTAGTACGTTTCAACGATCTGGCAACACCTTTGCCTCATTAAGTTAGCTGCGCTGCAGCTCAAGTGTCCTTCGTGTGAGATATGCTTCAGTTTTTAAGTATAATAAACACACACACATATATGTAGATATATATATGTAAATAAGGATTAGGATTAAACATAACTGAGTTAAATTTGGGCTAGTTTACGTAGTTAAATATATGAGTACTTCAATTGTGTTTTCAACACGTTTATTTTTCGATTAGAAACTGTTGTCGGCGATCGTAGGTAAAACTAGATTAACTTTCAGCTGATGAGAACACAAAACGTTTAACTACATTTCAACGGAGGTCAATCGAACAAAACAGTTTACTCACTACGGTCTAAGGGAGGTGATTATTAGTGTTATGTATACCCATTAAATCTATGTATAACCTGCTAATCCAGTCCATCATTTCCATGGCTTACAACTTAGGGTTAACGCTTATCTATGCTGATCTAAATACTTATTGCACTCAATTTCCGTTCAAGTCAGTGAGAGTGAGGGGGTTACGGGAGGGGGTCGTTTGTTGTTCAAGTTACAAAACTATCGAAAGGCATATCGATAAATAGTAAAGTGAGCTAAAGTGAGCGCTCATTGGTATCTCTATACTAGATTACTTTAGTTAGGTTAATCGAGAATGTTATCGATAGCTTTGTAACCTGGTTAGCCTTAACCTCAAAACGCTCAACTGTCGTATCGTCATATGCTTTAGATTATTCTTCAGTTAAACCACTTAGCTCATAGCTCTGATGCTCCAGATTCCGTTTCAGATCCACAATGGTGCTAACAATCAGCTGCTGCTTGGCGGCGCCCTCTGCCGTGACATCCTGCATGGAGCTCTTGGCCGAAACGGAAGACGACAGCTTCGATTGTTGACGTTTGGTGTGCGATTTGGTTCGCTCGTTCATATCTGCTTGGGTTGAGGTTGATTAATTAAAAGAAACAGGTGCGCGATAAGCTATGACGTTTAAGGTGTGAAATTCAAAACAAAGCGAATTACGCTATGCAAACTGACTAGGGAGTACCCTGTACTTTGATCTATGTACGTCTGAACATCGATAAGTATCGATTGAAATATATTTCAAAATAAATGTAGCTTATACCTAAAACATTAGCTTAGCTTCTAGAACTGTCTTTGCTCTTAGGGAACAAGTTATTTCTGTTGTCTACTTCAAAACTCATAAACTGATCGATTGTTATCGATTAAAGCATAATTTGGTATACACCAGGAGTTGCAAGTTTCAGAGTTCCATTCTTGATATTCATTTGATTTAATACCAAACGCATGCTCGACTACCACATACTCTTCGTTTTACTGCCACTGCAGTTGACCTACTTACCCAGCTCCAAATCGAATGTCTTCTTAATGCGCTCAAAGGAGCTGCTGCCCTTGTAGACTTTACGCTTCAGCGGCTCGCTGTGTGGGCAGTAAAAGTTGTCCTGCATCGGAGCCTCGGAAACATTGCGATTATTGTAATCCAGATTGTTGTACATCTGCTGCTGCTGCTGCTGCTGCTGCTGTGGCAAGTAGTTGTGATTGGTGACATCCTCCACGACGGCAATGCACTCTTGATCCGAGTCGCTGGCATTAAAGCTGTGCAGCGCCATGGCGCGTCGACTGCTCCGCGGACTGCCTTGAGCCAAGCGACGTCCGTTCAGCTGCAGCTGTGGCGACAGTGGTGCGACGTTGTTGAGCTTGCGTGGCGGCAGCTCTGGCGGTGCATTCTGATTCATAAAGTTGGTGAGATGCGTCTTGCGCGGACTGCAGCGGCCCGGCTTGGGGCTGTTAGGAGGCGACGCTGCTGCGGTCTCAAATTTGAGCATTTCGATTCGCTTGTTGATCGCAGCGGCCAGCTCGTGCTCCAGCGGTGGTGCTGGTGGTGCAGGTGGTGCCTGCTTCTTCGAGTCCACCTCGCTGTGCTTGAGCATCTCCACGCGCTTGTTGGCCAGCGGATTGAGACGCCGCGGGCTGGCCACAGGCGTGTCCCTTGGTATGCTGCAAGAGAGTCAAGGATTAGATGGCTGCTCAGACTACATATTCGGGGAGCGCACCTCTGCAAGCTGTTCTTCATGGACTCCAGCAGCGACTCGGCCTCCATGATGAGCTGCTTGTACTTCATGTCCGCCTCTAGATCGGCCTTGAGCAACGCCTTCTCGCTCTCCGCTATGGTCATGAAATGCGGCTCGTTGGCGCTGCCAAAGATGAGCGAATTCGAGCGATTGGACAATGGAGACGTCTTGTAGATGCTGTCAATGGAAGTGAGTCAGTGGATTAACCAGTTGGAGTTGGGTATAGGGACTTACCGCTCCTTGGGTCCCAGCAGATGGCGGCGCAGACAAACGGGCGTGCCACCCACGCTGCGTGAGCCGCGTGGTTCGCGCAGCGGCGAGACGTTGACTTTCTCTCGGTTCTCGCAGCTCTTTTTGCGCGTCTTCAGGAAGCGTTTGCGACGACGCTGCTGACTGGCATCCGGCGGCTCCTGGCCGCTGCGACGACGTGAACGCGTCGACGATCTTCGCAGTATCAACGGACTGGGCTGCGCGGCACTCGGATAGTAATGGCAGCTGCCCAGATTGCGCTGCTGCAGATCGAGCTGAATCTCCTGCATGGAGGAGGTGTCTATGAAGTCAATGTCCAGCTGCTCGTCCGTATCGCATTCATCGCCCGCATCCTGACCGGTGTCCAGCTCCGAGGCGCAGTCGGTGGGATCTGAGTCGCTGCTGCAAGTGACGAAAGCCTTTGAAGAGCTGCTCAAGACTTAAGACTTTGCTCTCGGGGACTTACCTAAGTATGTCCGTCTCCTTCTCGTAGATGTAGCTCTCATCAAACTTGCCAATCATCTCGTTGAGTGTGGCCTCATCGTCGCTCACCAGAAAGGAGTCCAGCTGCTGTTGCTGCTGCTGCTGCTGCTGTCGCCGTTTGATGGTGTGCGGTGCATGCATATTTTCCACTTCAGTCGAGGACGACGAGGAACCCTCCGAGTGGCTGTCAGCCCCAACCACAGCCAACAGCTTGGGGGTTGCTGCCACACCTGCTGCAGCTAGTCCACCTGCTGCTGCTGCTGGTGGCAAAGCAGTTGCTGCTGCTGTTTTGGCTGTGCGCATTTCCAGCTCAGTGCTTGACTTAATGCCCGACGATGTGGTGGAGGTGGTGCTGGTGGCATCCACATCCAGTCGACTGCCCGTCATCAGCTGCATATGCTCTGTGGTATTATACCAGGGATTCGTGCGTATGCGCGAGCGTTGCCTGGGCGAGGGAGCTGCGAGTGGGTGGGTGGTTGAAGTGGTTGGGTTAAGTGGTTTAAGTGGTTTAATTGCTCATCTTAACGATGTCTACTCACACTCAAAGAGCTGGCAACTGCGCTGCAGCGTCAAGGGACTGGGCTGCGGCTCCAGCGTGTTGCCAAAGTTGCTTTTGGGCAGCGGATCCATTGGGGACATCTCCTCGATGCGATTGAGTCCGAACTTGGTGGCCAGCGTGTTGGCAGAGCGACTGGGAAAGTAGTGGGTGCCACTGCGCATGTTGATGTAGTACTCGGGCGCTGGCGGATTGACGCTGCTGGCCGCGCAGGGTGAATTGCCGTCGGTGGAGTAGCCCGTGGAGTAGGCGCTCTCCGGCGAGGACAGGCTGTGCGGTCGCGGACCGGGCAAGAAATTGCTACGCGGCAAGCCGCGTGGTGCACGCATGCGGCCCAGCTGTTGGCTCACAGCGGGTGGTGGCGGCGGTGGTGGTGCCTCCAGCTTGGAGGGCAGCAGACGCCCATAGTGCACATGATTCTTGGACTGTTGCTGCTGCTGCTCCTCCTCGTAGACCAGCTGCAGACTAATCAGATTCTCGGACTGTGGACGCTGATAGTCTAGCAGTGGCGGCTGTGGGCGCAACAGCAGTGCACCCACCTCCTCATAGTCCACTTCATCCTCGATGGGCGCCTGATAGTCGCTGCTGATTTCAATGTGCTCCACTTTCTGGCTGATTAGCTTGGCCTGGCTGGACTGCATGGAGGGCTCCTTGGAGCCAGTGGACCAGGACAGCGATGAAATGGATGAAGAGGAGCAATTGACGCGCATGGGCGACTTGTCAGCGCTTGTCGAGCTGCAGCTATCCTTGCCAGGCACGCTCAGCTGCTGGGGCTGCAATGGCGACAGCGTCTGATGACGTGGATAGCGATGCGGTGCATAGAGCAGATTATCCGACTTGGGCGATGTGATGGAGGTGTGTGTATCCTGATCCGGCGATTGCCAGCCATAGCGACTGGGCGTCTATAGGGGTTTGAGCTGGGATTAGGCAGAGTTTCTCACGGAAGATTATGTTTAGCTACTCACATGACATTGTATGGGCGACACCTCGCGCCGACGCACCGGGCTGGCAATGCTGTGGCTGCCACTGCTGGTCAGCACTGGACTCGTCGTGGACTTCAGATTGCTGCTCTGTGGCAGCGTGCCCGCCTTCTTGGCATGACTTCCGCTGCTCCCACCACCTCCTCCTCCTCCTCCTCCTCCTCCTCCATCTGCCTGCTGCTTGTTCTTATTGTTCTTCTTGCGTGGACGCACAATGTGCGTTTCCATCCAGGAACGCAGCTTGGAACCGAACATCGTTACTGCCTTTCTGTCTCTCTCCCTCCCTCTCTGTCTCTCTTTATCAAATGTTAGTCTAAATGGACGGATTGTTGTTGCTGCTGTTGGGACATAGGAAGAGAAAAGGATGCCATTAAAGTATTTGCTCAGCTCCAAAATGCAATTCCATAATATGTCTGGGACAATGGCTGACAGTTTGCATTGGGCTCGTGGGTTGGCTTCAAAACTGACTCCTGGGGCCACTTTGCGTTGATAAGAAAATCCATTTATGACAGCACAAAAGCCGACTACCGCACAGTGGTTCGCATGTACAGTGTGCAGAATTAAAAAAAATATTTTTTGGCAAATTAATTTTGAGCAATTTTTAAAAGAATATTTTACAAAGTATTTTGTTAACTTAAAAAAGTTAAATTTGTTTTTATATCTTAATATTAATTTATGAATTTAAGTCAATTTACTTCTATCTAAAAAATAACAATAAGTAAGTTCCATTAAAAAAAATACAACAAATAAAATAAAATTAAATTATAATAAATTTGTTATATTTATATTCTATATAATATTATAAATTATTTTTTGGAGTACTTAAAATTTTTAAATATATAATATATAATAATAATTTCTTAAACATTTAAATTAAATTTAATAAATATGTATTTATTTAATAATTTTATTAATTTAAATTCAATGCAACTACACCTATAATTTGTAAGTTCACTTGTATCCTGTACTCGAACCACTGTGTGCAGCAGCAGCACGAAGCTTTCATATTTGCTATAGTTTTCAGTTGTTACTATGTATACATATATGTGTGTATGTGCCTGTGTGTGTGTTGGTATTTTTGCGAAATTACCTTATTCGCAAATGTCTGTTGCCTCATAATATCCTTTACGCCTGTTTTTATTGTGCGGCACACGAGATGAAAGGCCAGCTACAAACACACATACCACAGTGTATACGTATCTGTTTATCTATGTGTGTAGTTGGTTGTACACGAGTGTGTGTGCTTACGTTATGCGCGACGACTCGACGTCTGGCAACGCTATAGCTGTGTGCGTGCGTGTGTGTGTTTGTTTATTTTTTGTTGACGTTTTTTAGGCGCACACAAACAGCGATGACGACGTTTCCTTGTGTGTGTGAGTGCGTTGCTTGGGGGTTGTTTGTAAGCTGAGATGCACGCCTATTGCCGCTTCAAGGACTCATAGGATTCATGCTGTGCTCTAGAGTTACTCAACGTTGTGTGGGTGTATATGTATGTGGGTTGTCTGCGTGCCTTTGTAAACCTCCCCTTTTGAGTAATGGAAACGTAGCTGGGTTGTAAATCCAAGCGTAACTGTAAATTTTTATGTCAAGCTATTTTCAATTGTTGTTCCGTTAAACTGCAGCGTGAATATTTTATTTGATTTGATTTCTTTATAGCGCAGCTCTTACGATTTACATGCGTGTGGGTACGTGTGTGTGAGTATGCATATATTTGATGCGATTGTAATTTTAGTTTTCGTTTTAGTTCAGTTTGCGTAGTTTGCTTTAGATTATTTTGATATGCAAATTAATTGGAAATATGCCCGGCAACGTATAATTTAAAAAGCAGAAAACTTTGCCCACTTCTGGGCTGCAAGAGATGAAAGAAGATTTTTTTCACTGTCTATATTGAGTGATGTATTGGTATGTGCTTGTGTCGGCCTTAGATTTATTTTATTTTTTGGTGGTAGCAATAATATGTGCGACTAAAATGGCGTTTGCTGCGCGGCGAAAGAGAGCGACTGCCGCCGCTGAAGTGAAAAAAGCAACTAACGGAATGCGCAGCTACCAAATTGTAACGGAGCCTGATGCTTTCTGGCATAACTTTGTGGAAACGCGTTAAATCACAATGAAATCGATGTTTACTACGCAAACTAAATAAATATTAGAAAAACAATAATTTTTATTTTTGGTTATATGCAGAAATACCCTGAAGTATGCAATATATTTTGAAAATAATAACAGGATAAGTTGCAGAAATGTTAAACCTATCGACAGCCCGCCACACACTATACAAGTGGCTATCGATAAAGTGAAGTTCCATCTCTGCGCCATGCATTATTGTGAAACATAAGTAAATTTTTTGCGCTAATTTCGTTTATATCTTTAATTCATGTGATTCTTTCCTTATTATAGAAATTGAAATATGCGGTGCTATTATGAGGAGCTGGGCGTGTCCCGTGACTCCAACGAGGGTGACATCAAGACAGCTTATCGTAAATTAGCATTACGCTGGCATCCAGATAAAAATCCAGACTGCCTGGCCGAAGCAAAGGAACGCTTTCAGCTTATTCAACAGGCCTATGAGGTGCTATCCGATGGCCAGGAGCGTGCCTGGTATGATAATCACCGAGAGCAAATTTTGCGCGGCAAAAACTCCGACTACTCCGAGAACTGCTTGGATGTGTTTCCTTACTTCACCGGCTCCTGCTACAAGGGCTATGGAAATGATGCTCAGGGCTTTTATAGCGTCTATCGTGATGTTTTTAACAAAATTGCTGCCGAAGATATGGATTTCATGGACAGCGACGACGACGAACTGAGCGCGCCACAATTTGGAAATGCAGACAGCAGCTACGAGGATGTGGTTGGTCCCTTCTACGCCTACTGGCTCTCATATAGCACCAAAAAGACCTACGAATGGCTCTGCCCATACGATGTGCGAGAAATTAAAGAACGTTTCATATTGCGTAAGGTGGAGAAAGAAATGAAAAAAATTGTACAGAATGCGAAAAGGGAAAGGAATGAAGAAGTGAGTAGCACATAGAGCTAGAATTTGTATAATCGCTAATAATCCTTGACTTGTTTGTAGATTCGTAATTTGGTTTCATTTGTGCGCAAGCGCGATCGTCGAGTGCAGGCCAACAGACGTGTGCTTGAGGAGCGCGCTGAGGCGAATCGCTTGAAGCAGGAGGAAAAACGCAGGGAACAGCTGCGCCAACGTCAAGAACAGCTGGCAGCTGTGCGTGCCAACAAGGTGGACAACGATGGCTATGAGGAACAGCTCAGGCAGCTGGAGCAACAGTATGGCAGCGAATCAGATGAATACACTGAGGAGGAGGATGAGGACGAGAACGAAGATGATGTCGAAGCTGCTAACACAGACTCGGACAATTTGAGCGAGCAGGAAGTGGAGTATGTCGATGATCTGTATTGTGTGGCATGCAACAAGTCGTTCAAAAATGCAAAAGCGCGCGCCAATCACGACGAGAGCAAAAAACATCGCGACAATGTGGAACGCCTATGCCAGCAAATGGAGACCGAGGAGCAGGAATTTAACGAACGCAGCGAGGAGCTGGAGGCGGCAGAAGAAAGTCTAGAAGACCTGCAGTTGAATGGCAGTCATGAAGCGGACTTGGTCAGCGATGAAGCAGCCGAACAAACGAACAACAAACGCAACAAGAAAAACAAGAAATCAAAAAAAGTTGCTACCAAGGCTGCTGTAGAAAGCGATGATGAAGACCAATCAGTGCCAGCAGTAGATTTCAATGCAGCGCCAAGCAATAGCGAAGACGATGACAACGACGATTGGAGCTGCAGTAAAAAGTCAACTAAAAAGACAAAAAGCAAAAAGTCAACAACAACAACAAACAGCAGCAAACAAAAAGTTGAAGCGACGACAGCGGAGGCAAAGTCAACAGCTGCGCCAGCCAAGACAGCGAGAGGCGGTGATTTAGTGGAGGCAACAGTTGTGCAACATACTTGCGTCACATGCAAACTTGTGTTCGACTCCAAGAACAAACTGTTTGCACATCTTAAGAAGACCAATCACGGTGTCTACATACCCAAGGCCAAGCCGGATGTGGAGGGCAAGCCTCCCGGCAAGGGCAAGGGGAAGCGAAACAAGTGAAGATTCTCTCGCTTTATTTGGCTGTTGCAGTTGCAGTTGCCACTGCAGCTGTCATTGTAGAAATAGTGTAGTTGTCTATTTATACATATGCTAATGTTAAATCGTTAAATTCGAAATTAAATTAAGTGTACACGCCCAATTGCCAGATGAATTTTAAGTTGCCAAAGATAGAGAGTTGCTATGGAATGCAAACAAGTTTGCTGCCGGATTCGATGCGCCGGCGCACGCGATTTCGTAAATTGGAAGATTCCGCTTTCAGGCTGATGCCGGCGGCTGCGAATGTTAACAAGATGCCCACCAGAGCGCAGTAGAAGGAGATGCCTGGTGCAACAAGTAGTTGATTAGTCTGGGATGGCAGTATATTAACGTCACTCTTACCTATGCTGCAGTCCGCTGGATAGAACGGTTCCGCCTCCTGGCCGCAAAGACGTTGCACACGCGCTGCACGCCATCCCAAAGGATGCAAAAACAAAGCCAACATTACAGCTATGCCTGCAGAGGATTAGTGATAAGATTAGCTGGGATTATTGAGATATTGGCTGAGATCAAACTTACCTGCCAGCACCTGTGCACAGGCCGTCATATTGTGTATGCTCTTGCCAAATGCCGACTGCCTGCAGCAGGTGATCAGCGTGGCGAGCACCGTCAAAGAGAGCAGTACCAGCCCCACTGACATGCAAAACATGGCCAATTTCCATTCCAATGGATACACGCTGCCATCGGTAGCAAAGCCGTCCAAGTCGAAGCGTCCACAATGATAGCCCAGCTGTTGCATTTGCTTGCAGCGCGTATAAATGCCCACGGACTCCAAGCGCTGATTAGAACTGGGCGTGGCCTGGCTCCAATTGGCGCCGCCAATTGGGGGTCCAATTAGCCATTTGGGTGTGACCAGTGCGACGGCCACGAACATATCAGCGACCAGGGTGCACAGAAACCAGACTAGACTCACACTTGTGATGATAACGTAGCACATTTTACTTTATATTTTTTGCGCAGCTTGTGAATAAATTCTTGTTTTTTCTGTTTTTTAGTTGGAAACGTTGTCAGAACGCGTCCGCTTCGGCCGCATACATAATTGTCTCTAGCATTTGGCTATGCGTACACACACCCACATCCACCACAAATAGCACCACCACCAATGGGGCGACTTCCTTTCAGCTGACCAGCTCGAAATGGTATTGTTTATTTTATATGCTTTCCACTCGCCGTTGTCTGCTTTATGTTATTCGTTCACCCCACACACACACACGCATACTCACACACACACACACACACACTCACACTCCGAGTCAAAAGCGAACGAAAGAAAATAGTCAAACTTTATGTTGTTGTTGGAATTGAAGCTTAAACTGCAGCTGCTGTTGGCGTTTTTTTTTTTCTTTTTGTGCACTTTTCAATTTTGCAATATTATTATTTTTTCTGCGGCTCCCTTTTGCGCAGGCGTTGTGCACGCGTTGAACGGAGTCTGAAGAAAAACTGAATGAATGGCGCGCATTGAAAGCAGCCAAACGTCTGTCGAAGCGCATGCCCAGGCCAGATGTGTGCGCCGCCAGCGCAAAGGGGAATAGTTGGGGGAGTGGCCGGGGCAGAGATAGAAGGAGGGCGCAACAAGAGCGGGCCACACAAATCCAGACATTCCAGACGAGCACCCAGCAAAATGTTCTCACATCCACATACAGTAGCATACAGAAGTATGCATACGCGCAATGTGCAGAAATGCAAAGTCAATTTGTCATGTCATAATTGTTTAATAAAATATATATAACATACATACATATTTTTATAAATAGAGTAACTACAACTTGACGGAATTTAAATTGGTCATCTCGCTTTAAACGAAATATTAAAAATAATTAGTTTTTATACAGCTTCAAAACTATGCATACATCAATACTTTTTTAGCTCACTGCATTTTCAGCTGACTCTCTGCCTGGCTCGTTCTGCTTCTCTCGGTTCAAGTTGGCTCTCTGCACTTTTACTCTCTTTGTGCTTTGCATGCACACACATGTTGGAGTTGGTTCTGTTTGACCCCGACTCCCATTCTCTCGCTCTCTCTATCTCTGCAGCCCGCTTATACCGGCGATGAGTAATAAGCGGCTTCTACTCGGTTCTCTTTGAATGCAAATGAAGTTTTGTAATGCCAGCAATCGGCGATCCGTCTGGCCTGCCTTATCAGTTAGCACCCCCCAAGTGATTTACATGTTTGGCCCCATTGCATCATATGCCTTGTGTACTTAAGGCAATTATAGCAATGATCGTGACCGGGCAAAATGAATTGCGTACACATGTTGAAATCACTTTCACTCTTACTTGAGGCAATTGGCCAGCTGGATGTTCCATTGCAATCACAATCATTTGTTATTCAGTCAAAGATGCTGTCACTACCGGTGTTCCTGCCTCTGCTCCTTCAATTGTTGCCCGTTTACTGTTACTATTACGAGTACCGTTACTGGGAGCTGAATGAACCGCCGCCTATATGCTCAGAGTACGAAATGTTGATTGTGAACACGCATCAATGTGTGCGCCGTTGCAACATTGTGTGTCAACGGGGTGTTTGCTTTGAGGATGGACCGTGTCCTTGCGCGGATCAGTATCAAAGCGCGCATAGGAATAGTCTAGTATGTGCCGCCGAGTGCGTGCCCGGCTGCCAGCAGGCAGGTGGTCACTGTGCCGGTCCAGAGCTCTGCATTTGCCCCAAGAGCAAACACTACTACTACGATGCAGTGGCTCGACGCTGTCGTCGACGGGGACCCCGCCTTTTGGACCTGTGCGGCGGGTAATTAAATTTTTAAATTACTAAAATAATATTATTTGAATGTTAATCTGTCTTTTCTCGTAGCCGCTGCATCCATGGCCGCTGCTCGTATGATGGCAGCTGCATCTGCGCGGAGGGCTACGAAATGCGCAGTACGCTGCTTCATGGCTCCCAATGTATGCCAATCTGTGATCAGTAAGTGTTGCACAATAGCATAAATTTACAATATCTCATCTCCAACATCCTACAGCGAGTGCGGCCCGAGAGCCTATTGCTATGAACCCAACATATGCGCCTGTCGGCATAAGCATTATCACTATGCCTGGAATGGAAGATGTACCAAAGACTACTAAGCAACATTTTTAGAAATAATAATGGGGCTGTTTTAGGTCCTCACTTTAATTTATACATAATAGAAAACAGAAGATAGCAAAAATATTAAAAATATAACGTATAATTTCAGCAGCTTAAAATGAAAATGCCTCACATTTATTTTACAGCGCATTAACAGTTTGAGAGTGGTTGAGGAAGAGAAAGAGAGAGAGAGAGAAATGTCTGGTAGCACGCATGCTTTTCCGTTTGAGCAGCTGTGTAATATAAAGTTTACTGCCGCATTTGTTATTGTTTATAATTTATGTTTATATTTGCACTGCTTGTTGCCAAAGCTAACTATTGAATTCGTTCTTTAATCAGTTCGCTATTCATTTCGCCGCGGCTAAAAAAAAGCAGAGTGCGTACGTGTGGTCCAGTGGCGGCACATTGAAATCAGCATTCTTTTATTTAAAAAGGGGGTCAGTTAATCCCCTCTGCCATGGCCATGACATTGTCCAAGCAACCAGTTTAAGGCGGCCCCAACAACACCCTTTTTGCTCAAGAAATGAAACAAAAAAATGCTTGATAAGCTCGAGTTTTACTTACTAACACAAACACACGCACACTCTCAGTCAAGTCCCTTGTATGTAACTGTCGCTAATTTGTGTAGGGCATTCGAATTTTAATAATATGTCTTGCTCACATTAGATAAAGAAAGAGCGATCAGCATGTTGGCGGCGAAGGCAGCGGTAATAACAAGCGCGTGTGGCGTGTTTTTATTTATTCTTGTTGGGGCAGGGGCTCGCTGCGCTGCTCAGTTGTCAGCTGTCGACGTCACTGACAGCGACTGCGACAGAGGCGGCAACATTCGTTCTTCAATGTTTGGACCTCTGTCGACAGCAGCAGCGGTGCCCGCATTCAGTTGGAGTTTTGCCTTCCAGCAGTGCGGTTCGGTTTTCTCCCAAGTGGCTTCCTCTTTCCCATTTACTCCTCTCTGTGTGCATACGTATTGTTTGTGCATTTCTTGCTGAATTTTATATTAATTTGCAATTTTAAACAAGTTTAAGTAAATCGACTGCACTTATAAGCAACCATGGGCCAAATCAAGGTAAATACAATTACACAAGTTCATATATATACGAATATAAATATAGTATAAATTGCAACGTTAATTTTTGCATATATTTGTATGTGTGCGTGTGTGTCTATATATGTTAAGCTACCTGTTATCCTTTGACATACTGGCAACGCTGTTACATATAAAGCGTGGGAATATTTATGTTGAACGATTAGAAGCATTCGTTTATAAGCGCGTGTGTGAGTACATGAATGTTCATGACTGTAGTTGAAGTTATGTAAGAGCGGAGAGATGTCTAAATTGCCATAAAGATGCAACAAATTATTCATAATGACTGTGAAGCTGAAGGTAGATTCGTTTTAGCGCTTTCGTGGCGTGTCAATCTCTATTTGTTCCATTGATTAGAACGCTTTAAGTAATTATATTAACACAAAATTGTTATCAAAAATAACATGCAAACATATTTTATATCGAACACATATACATATAAAAAATCTTAAAGTAGGCGTAGCTGCTGCGCAGTTCACAAGGCACGCACGTCAGCCAAAAAACAACTTGAGCAAAAGAACCGTAAACAAGATATACATGTGCATTTGTGTTTGTGTGTGTTTCATAATAGTGTGTGTTAACAGAAACAATCAACTAAAAAGTGGCGTGAATGCATTAAACCGGTTACTGTAAAACCGTCGTCCCGCAACAATGTATTAGTGAATTTTTTCATCTTGTTTTTGCCACAAAAACAAAAATATAAATTTATAAATAAATTAAATGCGCATGTGTTAGTGTGTGCGCGGGCGGCGCTGCGAAGTGGTCTAGCAATTAGTGATGAGCGTTTGACATGCAAGCAATTTATGTACAAATAAATATTAAAATTAATAAAGTTTCATTTCTAATTAAAGCTTTGATTATAATTTTTATTTATATATTTTTATGTTTTGAGTTAAAGTTAAACGTTGCTTTCAAATACAATTATTTATCTACTGTAAAACTAAATTGGAGGACTGGGTCGTGCTTAGCAGTATCTTAGCAGTATTACGTGCCCATCTCTAAAATTCTTTAAGTGATATGCTGATATAGTCCCTGTGTCGTGTCAAGCTTATCAAAAAAGTCTTCCCGGTTGGGGGCTACCAATGCGCGTGTATGGAAAAATTTTTAAACTTATTTATTATTGGCTTTTATTGATAAGCCTCAGGTATTAATTATAGATTTATAGATTTATGATAGCTAAGTACATTTTGTTATATGCATAAATTAATTGATCGCATTTTCCATTTGCCCACAGAAAGCTTCGTCGGCATTGAGCAAATTGTTTGTCTATGGCGCTTTGAAATATGGGCAGCCAAGCAACTCGATCTTGGCCAATACCGGCAATGGCTATGCCAATTTCTGGTGTCGTGCAACAACGACACAAAAGTTGCCTTTGGTGATTGCCACGCGGTATAACATTCCATTTCTGTTGAACAAACCCGGCGTGGGCTATTATGTAACCGGCGAGATCTATGAGGTAAGTGTTTTTAATGCATAAATAGATCAGCTATTGGGTTAACTAATTAATGTTATACAGGTCGATGATCGCATGCTCAATTCATTGGATAACCTGGAGGATTGCCAGGATATTTACACGCGCGAGAAGCAGGATATGAACATTGGTGTGGGCGAGGGGTAAGTGCCATGAAGATAATGACGCAATTTAAGTGTATTTATATTTGATTTATTTATAAACATTCTTCTGCTTGCAGCACCGTTCCCTGCTGGGTATATCTGCTGCAAAAGTATCCGGAGAAGCTGCTCTCGCTGCCCTATCTATCTGGCTATGAAAATAGCTCCACACATCCGTACATAATGCGGCATCGCCGCACCCACAAGCATCCGGCACAGGATGATCTCACCTTTGAAACAGCTCAAAACTAAAATGTGTTCTAAAAAGAAGGGCGCGGCCAATTATTATTATTATAACTACCGGTAGTTGCATTTGTAGAGCATATACAGACTTTATATACACACATATATAGATATACTATATATATTACATGCGTACTCTAGTTGATAGATTGAACATAGTTTGTAATTTTATAAGTTTCGAGTAAATAAAAGCAATTCGAGTTAAATATTAGCAATAAACATTTCAAATTTGCTAAGGGCCAACAAGTGTCGCCTTTGTTGTTATATAAATAGCTTGTGTGTAAACATTTGTTATTCTGTGATCAGTCTTTGTGTACAGCTGTGCTGTTAGCTGTGGAGCAGCTCTGTTAACTTAACATGTGCAAGTCTTATCATGTGTCGCCGCACGCAGTGATTGGCAATTTGTCTAAATTTCATCCAAAAACTACTTCAATATCAAATTTATGTTTATCATTCCTTTAAAAGCAAATCATGTCGCAAACGCTTAAAAGAGTTTTCGTCTATGGCACCTTGAAGAAAGGTGAACCGAACCACCATTGGTTAACCAGTGAGAAAAATGGCTTCTCTCGGTTGCTAGCCAAGGGCAAAACAGAGATTAAATTTCCATTGGTTATCGGCACACGTTATAATATTCCATTTTTGCTAAATAAGCCAGGCGTTGGCCATAATATAGAAGGTGAGATTTATGAAGTGGATGACAAAATGTTCTCGAACTTGGATGTGCTGGAAGAATATCCCAGATACTACGATCGCGAGCTGCAAACTATACTGACAAATGCTAATGAGTAAAGGGAACAGCTGTTGTTCACGAATAACTGTAATTAATGCGCTCTACTCAATTTAAACAGAAAATTGGACTGCTGGCTATATCTGATACGTAACTACCCGGATAGCATGTTATCGAAACCGCTGCTCAGCTCATATTGCAATCGGCCAAATCAGCCGTACAGTGAGAAGTCAGTCAGAGATCCGAAATTGCCAGCCAAAGATGATTTATCGTATTGAATATAACATTTTTGCAGTTATGCTCTGAGTAGGCCAGAAGATCTCTTCACAGATGGATGAAGAGAGCGAGTTTCCGCTCTGGAAGAGAGAGTGCCAAAGAAAGAAAGTCGTAAGAATTATAAAACGGATTTCAACGCATGGCTATTATTCATACTCTCTTCTATTACATTGATTCCATAATTCAAAAAAATGCAAACGAAATGAACAATATTTCTTTTTTTTCGGTTAAAGGGTAAAGGGTAAATCGAAAAGCCTAAAAAAAGTGTTTACACAATTATGTCTGCAGAATTCGTAATAAATTGTTTGTTTTCTGTTTTTGTTTTTCCGTGTTTTTTTGCTATAGCTGATTCTGCGATCAGATCAAGCTTCTAGCTTGAGTGTAGCACATAAGATGAAAACGGTAAATTTTTCTGTTAGTTTGTTGCTTGGTTGGGGTGTCGGCATCGTGATCGTTGGCATGGACATGGCCTAGCTGTCGGCCTCATCATCGAGCGACTGGAATCGGTTGGTGGCCGCAACGGGCGCGGCGGCTGCCTCCTGCACTCGCTGGTAGCGACCGCCGTGTCGGACTTCTTCGAAGGCGGGTTCGTTTTTCTTTTTGCGTTGTTCCTCCGGCCGAGCTGCGTTCAGCGTTGGGAAGAACTCAGTGTTGGTAATATCAGGCGCCGCACGCCTCGTACGCAGACCACCGCTGCTGCCGCCGCCAATGCCCATCCCGCTGCCAGCTTGCTGCAATACGAACAAAGTCCAATGAATGTCGTACGATATTCAACAAATCAATTGCTGCAATACGATATATGCGTTCACATACATATATGAATATATACTTACGGCAGCACGTAACGCGGGTGAAATGTACATTTTGGACGATGACTTTTCTGTTTCCACCGGCACCGGTATTTGAGTCACCTCCTCTGCAGGTATTAATTTCTTCCAGGGACCGAATCCGCTTCGCTTGTTATTTGGCTCCCCGTTGCCATAGCCTTCGCTATCCTCATCATCCTCGTCGTAAATATCATCGGATTGATGATGCGCCTGTTGCTGCTGTTGCTGCTGCTGCTGCTGCTGTTGTTGCTTATCGTTGATGGTCAGTTGACCAATTTTTAAGCCACTGTAATCCTTGCGCTGCTCCTGCTCAAACTCTTTCCATTCCTCCTCCACGGGCTGCGCCCAGCAACAATAACAATTAGGGAAAATAGTATTTGGATAAAATTGCAAAGATGGAAACTCGATTGCAACATGATTGCAACTCTCACCTCGATGACGGGCTCTGGCACTTTGATGTTGCTCTCGTTTTCGCCGCCTTCTGCCACGCCGCCAGCCAAAGCTGTCGAGACTTCAGGTTTTTTTGGTTTGACAGCAGTGGCCGCCACCTCACGTTTCGTGCATTCCTCTAGGTTCCTCACTAGCTCATCGGCTGTCACAAATTTGCTCTTAGTCTTCGACTTCTTCTTATCCTTTTTCGCAAAGAAATCGTCTAATTCGGCCATGCTTGCAATAATTTTTCGCGATTCCCTGTTCCAAATTATAATGAAATCCAATCGCACTTGCGTGAGGTGGTATGTAAAAATAAATCGCTATCGATAGCGCCTATCGATGATTGAGCCACACGTGGTCAAAGTTTGCTGGGCATATGTTTCAACCTATTGTTAATATCAGCAATGCACTAAGCTGCCAGCTATTTCAGCTAATTATTTGTAGCTTTTTTTTTAATTTATTGCGCTTTGCATTGCCCTGCCGTTGTATCCAAATGCCGAATGTAACGATGACTTTCGATAGTAGAAAATGAATATAGTTATGTGTGCATTGTGGCGTTGAAAAAACATACAGTATTAATAGAATAAAAATTTATCGAAAATATTTCTGAAAGCGTATAGTAAAGCTTGTAATATTTGAGAAAAACTGACATATCGATATCCAAATTGTTCCCACGAACTGGTTTCGCACAGAAGCTTGAACAAGGTGGCAGCACTGACTGCAGAAAATGATTCGCTATGGTTATCGACGGTTAGCCATTTGGCGGCTAAATTAAAACACTTTCGAGACATACTTTTCTATTTTGCGATAAGCTGCATTTGCATAATTTCTGCATAATTAGATATTGTGGGGGTTTTTCGCTGATGTTATTGTTAAGCGGCTGACACAATTCGCAATGTTTGGCAATAAAATTTGATAATATGCATGAGGTATTGATAATTACATAACGTTCAAAATGAGCCAAAAAGCAAAATCGAAATTAATTGTATTCGCTTTTGCAAGCACAGCAAGCAAATTTACATGATTAATTATTGACGCACATAAATATGCTAAGGTGCCTCAAATATGCATATTTAACTAACATTTAAACAATAAATGTTTGCAAATTGCTTTGCACCAAAAATAATGTTTGCAGTTCAAAGTTGACCATTTTAATGGTCACAGTGACAACAAAAATAGATATAGGTTAAAAGCTAAGGCCGCGTTAAGACTTCCTTTTTTTTGCTTTTGCTAAAGTTCCGCTGAATTTGCTAAGCAAATGTGTGCGCCAAATAGATATTTATGACTGCAGCTTGCAGCGCTTGCCACATCCACAATAATACCCAACCAGTTAATATAGATATGTATATGTATATATAGAGTTTCAGTTTCGATGCGAAGCGCACTAAAAATTCAAAAGTCGTTTCATTCATATTGACAAGCGCACAGCTCGAGGTGTCTCAGTCTTCTTTTGAACGCCGCACAGCGCACAACTCGCTGCTCCCAGCTATATATATATATATATACGTATCAATATAACTATATGTATATATAGAGAGCTTTGATCGTACATCTCGTGTGCTCGTGGCAAACGTAAATTTCGATTCAACTGTTTTCCCGCATTTGATTAGCCGACGTGTTTCGTTTTGGTGTTTATAACGTGTTTTTGGTTATTGAAACAATTTCGAATTAAATAAAGAAAACGCACTGTAAAAGGTAATTAAAACAGTTGCAATGCCCAATACCTCGCGCTGTTGTACAAATATACATACAAAAAAATTCAGTAATAATTATAAGTTAAATGTCGCTGCAATTGCTTTTTGAACTCATATTAAGTTCATTCTTAATTTTTATTTTCTTGCATTCGCGCAATTAGCCTGGGGCAAAACACTTTTAGATAATTAGCTTACAACAATTTGAAACATTTTGGGTGCTATTAGCTGACCAGCGAAGCGTTTAATTTATAAACAATGTTTATTATTAATTATCAAAAAAAAAATGGAAAACAACTTTAAATGCTGAACTTTGCATCATCAAATGCTTTGCGTCTCCAGCTGGGTCACGGACCATGTCAGGGTCATAAACTAATCTGGTTGATGCTGCAGCATCCACACTTGGCTACTTTTTGTTAAAAAATGTAACGACAGATCTTTTCCTCAAAGCCAAACCCTTGACTTATTAAATAAAATGTGAATTGAGTTTTTCATATACTCTCCATAATTGGAGCTTAAATATCTTTATATGATTAATAAGACTTTTTGATTGTAAGCTTATTTGTGCACATATATATATTGTATAACATATATACAAAGCAATTTATGCAAATTCTCCTTTAATTAATATGCTTATGTAAACTAAGTTCAATCAATATAATTTATGATCAATTGATTACGTTTCATATGTATATTTATAACAAGAACTTTTTTTATATATTTTATATATAAACAAATATTTTTTCATAGTATTTAGTATTTATGCACACTTTATTAGTAAATTTTCTAATTTTAAAATAATTGACTTCATTTTTTTCATGTTTCAAAATAATGTTTTTATTAGATATAATGTTTATTAATTTTTGTCAATTAAAAACTTTATTCTTTTAGCTTTATTATTCAATCATTTTAAAATAATTTTGTATTTATTATTTTTGCATAATATTTTTTAATATTTTAAAATATTTTTTTAATATTTATCTGCAATTTGTTAGCGTATTTTCCTTTTGCCTGCCTTTTTTCTTTATCTTTTATTTCTCTTTTTTTTTTTTATTGATACATTTTGATCAATTCTGCGTATCTCGAATTTATATTCGTTTCTCTTGTGTTTTGTGTCAATGGCAATCGCTACAGACCTATTTACATATTGGAGGTTGTTGCTTATTATTTATTTATTAACTCATTTGTTGTTTTTTTTTTTTGGGTCTTAAGCATCTCACATAGTTAGCCAGCAAAATGGCCTAAAGGGATGCCAGCCAGGCCAAAATCAAGTGGCGACTGTTCAAATTTGGTTTTTAACTTTTTCTATTAATTTCATGGTTAATCTTTTTACATACCCTGTAGCGCAAAGAGCGGGGCATATTAGTTGAATAGTGAATAGAAGGAATATTAATTTAAAGAAATTACTATTTTTTTTTATACTCTTAATATTTATGGAAAATGTGTAAGCAAGGCATGTTGAGACAGTTGAGTTGAGCTTGTGTAGTTTAAGTATCAGATAGCAGATATCAGATATTAATTCCCAATACCGGGGTTCCCTTAACTCTAGGGTATCTGTAAGACAAGCAACACTCGATCAAGGCACTCTTTTACAGTATAACCTGTGTTTTTCTAATTTTTTCCAAATCACATTTAAATAAACGTGAACTTTTAGTTCTAGAGACTTCATATTTGCAATCTAGATCAGCTCTCGGAAGATTAGTTAGATTGTTAATTTGAATTACTACTATTAATCTTTTTAGAACTGTAAATAGTTTTTCAAATAAATAGTTTTTTAATCCAAGTAGATTCCGTATTTAATGCAATCCCCTACAAATTCCGTACGTGACTTAATGTAGGGTAACAGCCAGTCAGTCACTCCTTTGTTTGCTTACTCAAAGTTCTTGACGCACTATTACAGCATCTAGTATACACTTAATATCAAGCTTATATTAGCTCCGAGCAAGCGAATGAGTTCAAATGCATTTGAACTTTCAGTGAACTGCATTTTGCTTCGTGTCTGATTTGAGCTCTTCCCCTATTCCTACTTTCGTAGAACGTCCCAATAACAATAGAAAATTGATCGAAGCTCTCTGATCTGTGCTAATGAGCAGTGAGTGCTACTCGCTAGTTACGGACTCTATTATCATTGCAAAACGTAAACAACGCCTTGCCGTCGGGTCGCACTCGAAATGCTTAAGACATAGTATAAAGTAACTAATCAAACCGGTTTCAAAGAAAATAAAAAACTCGCATTAAGTGTTGTCATATTTAAAATAAAGCTAGCTGTCCATAATATGCTAAACTGTGTCATTCATCTGCTGGCTTGGACACGGGCCAGAGCCCATCAAATGGCTCGACTGTGCATATTTGATTAGAAGCCACGACAAGTGAGCTCAGCAATTGCCCCAACATCTAGTTGAAAGACATTGCAATACCCTGTAAGTCGAGCATATGTGCGCGGTAAGTCATGCATGACGGCACGGCATGCCAACAGATCTTCAAGTATATGCATTCGACCCGCTTCGCTTAAGCAATAGAAACCAATTTCTTGATGCTCCAAGTGGGGATCGTGGTTCGAATTACCAGGCAGCTGGTATAATAGTGGGGTGTACAGATCTATCAAACTCTTTTTCTTCTTTCAATCTATCCGCATCTGAGTTATGTTAACATAGTTTTGTCCCTTTCATGTACCCAGCTTAAAACAATTAAAAAAGATTATTCAAATTCCCATAAAATATTTTATAAAATTGAGAAATCGGTGAATTAAATCAACAATTGAGTTGGCATTCATCCAATCTTTGCACTCTGGCTGGCTTGTCCTCCAAAAGTTTCAAATCATTAATCATTGGATTATGCTTTAAAATATAAATTTATATTTTTACAATTTTTTTTGACTTGTTTTACATGATTTACCAAAATATAGAGAAATTAAATCAAATAAAATAAAAATATGTGAATAATAATAATTGTTTACATATATTTTATTAATTTATAAATATTTTATGATGATTATTTATATATTAACTTTATTTAATTTTAGTATAATATGTATATTTTTAAAGACATTTTTTTTGTTTGTTTTATATGTAACTATTTCATTCTTCAATAGCTCTTCTTATATTATCTATAACTGTGAAAATTCAGCTGATTACCTGACTTAGTTACCCACAAATCCAATATAAAAGGTCGGGAAGTGCTTAAAATGATTTTTTTCAATTGTGTCAATAAAGCATGTTGCTTATTATTTGATTTTCTTGTTCTTTTTTATTGTAAAAGTCAAAGAAACTATTGCCAAATATATGTGTAGAGTTTATGGGAGGCCTTGTCAGGTAACTGGCTCTTGTAAATTGTGGCCTAAACGATGCTAATAATGTAGGTATATAAGTGCATATGCTATGCTTGTCAAGTTTGAAGCTTTATATTGCATGCCACAGTGCGCAAGTTCGTTGCCTAAGTCTTTCGTTTGCCCTCTACAGTCGACCGAAAATGTTTAGTTTTTTTCGACTTATTTTGACATTTTCCAAGTGCAAGTGTGTGTGTGTATGTGTGTTATGGCTATGATTTTTGTTTTTTACTTAGACTTGGCAGATTTGTTGCTGCCGCGATTTGAATCGCAGATGTCTTGAAATCTTGTGTGAGCTGTACGCAACCTGCTTTACTTCTGCTGCTGTTATTTTCCGGGTCTGTAGACAAGGCGATGCATTCAGCAGAAGCGTTTTAATTAGCAATAAATATGGAAATTAAGCAATTGCCAGATAAATTAGGAGAGAGACGTGAAATGTGAATTCATTGACAGCTTCAGCTTTGGCTGCAGCTGCGACTGCATCAGCGACTACACTTGAGTTTGTCACATTAATAAGTTGTTTACTCGACAGTCGCAATACGATTTCTAGTTCAAGGTACATCAACTATGTACATATGTATATGCCTATATATCTATATATGCATATGTATGACTATATAATACAATTAGTTGCATTGCCTTGTCATGCTGTATGCTTTCTCGAAGACTTTCCTTAAACGCTTAACTGGGCAAAACATATTTTCTGTGCTTGTTGTCTTGAAAAATATCAAATATATATATATATATATATATATATATATATATATATATATATATATATATATATATATATATATATATATATATATATATATATATATATATATATATATATATATATATATATGTGTGTGTGTGTGTGTTTGTCTCATTTATGGTAAATGGGTCTAGTGACAAAACTCGAGGCAGCCCAAAAAACCCGTTCAGCGTTGCATGAAATGCGCAATTTATCAGACTTCAGTTGAGTCAATGCCTGACTTGCAGATGCTCTGCAGATGACTAAATGTGGGTGAAAGAAAAGTAAAGGCAGAGAGAGAGAGAGAGAGCGATTGTGTGAACGTGAGAGTGGATGAAAGCGAGAGAGAGAAAATAATAGGATAAGGCGGAAAAGAGAGTTAGAGAAATAGAAGGATAAGGATAGAAAGGGACAGAGTGAGAGTAAGCGAGAATGTAAGATGGAAATTGTTAGAAAGAGAGTAAGAGAAAAGGAGACATGTAGACAATATAAGTCAGAGATATGTCGTAAGTAAGTAAAGAGAAAGAGATGCTCAGTGGCAAGAGTACGCAATCTTAATGGAGACTATGTATGTGAATCTTTACAGCTGAAGCTTACATTGCATGTTCTAGTCGAGCATGCCCTTTGTTCATATTTCTACTGGGTAGCTGAAAGCGAAACCAAGCAGCTTCGCCAATTGGGGCCGCTTAGAAATGTCAAGCTGCGACTGCGAGTGCGAGTGAGGCCAAAGAGCAAAACAAAAATAAAAATGAAAAGTGGCACGATATATTTTAGGCTTTGCGTACAAGATTTGGCCAAGTGTAACGCGGTCTGCAATGTAAAACCTCAAAATGAAAAAAAAACAAATGGAAAAACTGAAAAGTCGAAAACTCAAAACCCGAATCCAAACCCAAAGAGCTCCAATCTCCTATTTTGCAATTTTGTAGGCGATTGCAGAAGGCTATCAAAACGTGGCAAGCGTGGTTGGTGGCATGCTGCATGCTGCGTGTGTTGTTGCTGTTGCAGCTTGCAACACACTCTTTCATAAAAACAAACAACAGACACGTTAGACTGGCCTGGCCTGGCCAGGCCGTGCTGGGTCTAAGTCTGGCTCGGTCTGGCTTGGTCTCCGGTCTCCTGGCTCAGTCGCGTACTATTGCAACGGCCTCTGCCAAATGGAGTTGTTATTGCAGCTGCTGTTGTTGCTATTGTTGCTATTGTTGTTGCTGTTGTTATTATTATTGCTAGCATTGTATTACTATTAAACCAATCAGCCAGCCGTCCAGACGTTCGACATTGCGTAATCGAAAATGCAAAGAAATGCGAAATGCGAACCATTAGAAAAAACCCGTTTGCAACGTTTCAGAATTAGCCTAGTTTTTGCGTCTGCTTGCGACACTTTCTGCTTGGCTTAGCTTGGCTGCCTGGCTGCCTGTCCGGCATGTGTGGCTATGAAATCGAAAATAATGCCTCCGCTCTCTCTTTGCCTGTTCGCAGCACCAAGATGAACGATCTATCGCCTGTGCAGGAATACTACAAGGATAAGACTATCTTTATAACGGGCGCATCTGGCTTTATGGGCAAGGTGCTGCTGGAGAAGCTGCTCTACTCATGCCATTCGCTCAAGGAGGTGATCATCATCTGCCGTCCGAAGCGCGGCAAGGCTCCCGAGACACGGCTCGAGGAGATGTTCAAGCTGCCCATCTTCCAGCGCATCCGCGACGAACGCCCGCACATGCTGAAGAAGGTGACCATCTACCAGGGCGATGTGACCTACGACTGTGAGTGAGAAACAGGCGAAAAACACTTGAAGATCTTAACTAATCTTTCCTCTCCATATCTGTGCAGTGCTCGGCCTAAGCGGCGATAGCCTGAAGCATGTGGTGGAGAATACGAATATCGTTTTCCACATGGCGGCCACTTTGAAGCTGGAGGGCAATCTTCGGGATGCCATCGATATGAATCTGTTGGGCACACAGCGTGCCCTGAATGTGGCCAAGGATATGAAGCAGCTGGAGGCATTTGTGCATCTGTCAACGGCATTCTGCAATTGCGATCAGGAGGTGATGTACGAGAAGGTCTACGAGTTTCCACACAAGCCCGAGGATCTGATGCGTCTGGCCGAATGGATGGACGTTAAGACTTTGGACGCCATTACGCCCGATCTATTGAAGCCACATCCAAATACCTATACCTATTCGAAGCGTCTGGCTGAGCTGCTGGTGCGCGATCATTACGAAACCATGCCGGTCATCATAGCACGTCCCAGCATCGGTAAGTCTAGCTGCTATATACACTATCTATATTCACATATAGCTGCATAATAACTGTGGGGCGTCGCCTTGAGGCTTGTCTCTGTTGCTTGGTTGCTTGCTTCCTTAATCATCTCTTTAAGTTTTTTTGCCATAAATATATTTTATCTATTTTTTCTTTCCTAACTTTAAATATTTATGTGTTTTTTTTTTTCATTCGGCTGCTGGCTATAAGATTTGTGCCTAAAAAAACCATAAACAAAAAAACTATGCAATTAATTTTGTCTTAGCTTTTCCTTGTTATTTTTTCTTTTGTAACCAGCTGCAGCAGATTTTTTATACTTTTCACAGTTTTCCAGTTAGCTCTTTAATCACTCGTTGTCTTTTTTATGACTTTGGGCAGTTGCAATTGAAATTGAAATTGAGAGATTTGCTTTGCATGTGCAGTTGAAACCTGCTTTTGCAGCTGCAATTTTTCAATTAGGCTGAAATGTTGATTCAAGCAGTCAAGCTGAACTCTTTGGCTGACCCCGTTCAATTTTTACCTTTTGGCCAAAAGCTTGTTGATGTTGGCCAAAGGAAAAATACAGTGAAGTGTTTTTTTTTTCAAATTTATTAACTGACTATATATTTTAGACAGTTGTTCTCTTACCATGACTGGGCGAAATTAACTCCCTGAATTAAGCTTATTTTTGGTATATTTTGCTTAGTTTAACAAGCATATATTAGCATTTAAAAAGACTAAGAATTAGCAAGAAATTAAACGAATTTCCTATTTAATATATATTTATAGATACGCACTTGTCCAGAGATATAGTTTATGAATATATTTTTTCTCATTGATCTAGTTTTTGCTTTTTAGAAGACTGCTTATTTTATATATTCTAAATTTTAATGAATTTCTGAAATACTTTTCAGTTTACCCAAGGTATTTTTTTCAAAATTATCAAATATTTCTTAAGAATGTGTCAGTTGGACAACGACCACTATAAGTTGATCTCTTGCGCTCTGAGCTGAAATTCTCAATTCGTTAGCACACAAAATGTGTGCAGTGTTGTGTAGCATAGTGTATTTAAGCCATGCTTTGCAAGGCATTCAAACTATTTAAATATTGATAGATTGATGACTTTGACAGCATAAAGTTCGCAAAGTTCAAATCTTTTAGCGCGGCTCTTTAAATTGGGATTGGCAACTCGTCGTCAAGTCGCGTTGCCTAATTGACAGCCACACTTAAGGCTTTTGTGGGTGTGGCACAAGTTTTGAGCTAAGTTAAGCGCTTTTTCTTTTGCCGTCTGCTAATTAAATTTTTATTTTTTTTCATTTTGGCTGCTTAGCGCTAGCATGTGTCTATTTCTTTATGTGTTCGTCTGCAAATTGTTTATCTGTGACATGTAGTTTGTGTTTTTGTATGTCAGCGACATAGTCCCTTCGCGCGCTTTGTTGACACCGCTCGCCCGCCCGCTAAGCCACACGAATCAGACCAAAAACAGCAAATAAGCAAATAAACAAACAATCGAACCACAAAAACATCAACAAAACGCTTGCAATGAAAAAAAGTGTGTAAAAGTGTGTTAACTGCTCAATTGGTGGGGGGATTTACACACATAAATAAAAAAAACGATCTTTTGCTTACATTTTGATTGGCTCGCGAAAGTGTCAAGGCTTTCGATTCATTGTAGAGGTAATCGATGACTCCTGTCTAGTCGATCGATAGGCCCTTAGCACATTTGGCAGCCTTTCACTTCACAACATCTGGCAACCCTCTACAATGTAACCATAAGTTTTTGAATATTTAATGTGTTGTTCCATGTGTGTGTTTAGTCCGCCCTTGCAAACAACAAAAATCAAACAAATATAAACAGCAGCGCTTGTACAAATATCTCCTATATACAATTTCCAAAAATACTGCACACACACAGACACACATGCACGCAGACGTACTGTAAGAAATCGTCGTCGTCATTGACCAACAAGTTCAATGAGCATGAAATTGAAAACGGTAAATTGCAATTGAAACTGAGGCTTATAAATAAAATACTAAGCAAAGACACGCCCGACAGCTACTTCCCCCGCCTAAAACTGCAATTAAAATGAGTTGCAAAGCTCACACGCCAAAAAACTATCCTTTGCCTTTTGCCCAGCGGAAATGTACACTCGCACAAAAAACCACGCCTACTCTAAAGCCTACGCCTTCGCCTTTGGCTACACATATATTTTCCTTGCTGCTGCTGCTGCTACTGCTCCTTCTCCTGCTGCTGCCACCGCTGCTCTTAGAGATCAGGACTGAATGAATCTCCTGCAGTTTCACCATCGGCCTATGAGCCCGTGCCTGGCTGGGTGGATAATCTGAATGGACCAACTGGTCTCATGGTGGGCGCTGGCAAGGGCGTCATTCGATCCATGCTCATCGATACGCGCCACAAATCGGAGGTCATACCGGTGGACTATGCCATCAATGGTCTTTGCGTCATACCATATCAGTTTACATCGGAGCAACGGCCGGTGGATGTGCCCGTCTATAATATAACGTGTGCCGATCATCGCAAGATGCAATGGGGCGAAGTAATTGAGATGAGCAAAAAGATTGGCTATCAATATCCAATGGAGGCGGGTCTCTGGTATCCGGATGGCTGCATAACCACAAATAAATTCCATCACAATATCAATGTGGTGCTCTTCCATTGGCTGCCCGCCTACTTGATTGATTTCATGCTCTTCATTTTGGGTCAGAAGCGTTTGTAAGTTTTTGGTTATTTCCATTAAATTTATGGAGCCTTGAGCAACTACAAATTCCACTTCCCAACTCCCACGCAAACCCCTAAACTACGCTTAGTATGATACGTGTACAGAATCGCATCTCAGTGGGATTGGAGGTGCTGCAATTCTTTACCATGCGCGCCTGGTACTTCAAGTCAGATGCCTATGCCTCACTCTGGAATATACTAAATGAAGCGGATCGGAAAAAGTAAGAAGAGGTTTATATATAGAGACGTTTTCATATAGATCGCTGACTGTCGCACATCAAATAGCTTTAACATGGACATGGATCCAGAGGAAACAATACCCATGTACATTGAGTCCTGTGTGCAAGGCGGCCGTCAGTATTTGATGAAGGAGTCTCCCGATTCTCTACCACGTGCGCGTCGCCAGCTCATGCTGTAAACAAGATAAACCCATATATATTCTATATGTCTAAGCAATTACTTATGTCCTTCCCCCGCCTTGATCATATTATAGGATGTATCTCTTGGATCGCGCGTGCAAGACGATCATCGTTGGTTTCCTGGGTTACTGGACGTATGGACTCGTCTCTCGCCTTGTGGGCGCTTAAAACGGGACTCAAAGAGAGATATATAGAAGCATATAGCCAAAATATCAATGCTCGCTTTAACAATATATTGCTTAGGTTCGCTTTGTGGGTTATAAAAAACGTTTGTTTTTTAAATGTTTCGCTTTTTAAGTTAAGTGTTTCGACATGCAATAAAAACGGTTCGAAAAATGATATGTGTACGTGTTCGAGTGTTGAAGTGTTAAAAGGACTACGACCATAGCCAAACATAAGAAAATTCCAAAACACAACACAACACAACACAGACACACACTGAAACACAACACCTAAATTTGAACACCTTCAAAGTTTAGCCTATTCGCAAATACAATGAATACATTTAAGATATTCACAGTCACACGCACTCACCTTTATACTCTACTCACAAACACTCACACACATACACACACCACACATCTAATTGGCTTTCGGTTATCATCCAGCCGCCATCATCCAAACTGGGCTTCGTGGTATGTAGAGTCAGAAGCATTTCGTTTACATTGTCTAATATATAGATCTCTATTCCAAATAGTATCGCCAGCTGCTTATGAGCCGCTGCCTGGCTGGGTGGATAATCTGAATGGACCCACTGGCCTGATGATTGGCTGTGGCAAGGGCGTCATTCGCTCTGTGCTGGTGAAAAAGGAGAACAAGGCTGAAGTTATACCCGTAGATTATGCAATCAATGGTCTCATTGTTATACCATACGAATTTAATAAGCAGGCCAAGCGACCCGCTGATGTGCCCGTCTATAACATAACAAATGCCGATTTCAGAAAAATGGCCATGGGCGATATTGTTGAGGTCAGCAAGCGTATCAACCAGCAGGTGCCATTCAACGCAGGGCTCTGGTATCCAGATCCCTGTGTCACCACCAATGAGTTATATCACAAATTCAATGTGGCCATGTTCCACTGGCTGCCTGCGTATCTGCTCGACTTTTTAATGCTAATCCTTGGACAGAAGCGCTTGTAAGTGTTGACTATGTTTCGATACTCGAGATTGAATCTAACAATTTATCTTTTAATACACAGCATGCTGCGCGTACAGGAGAAGATTTCCACTGGCCTGGGCGTTCTTCAGTTCTTTACGCTAAATCCTTGGGTCTTCAAATCCGACAATTATGGCTCTCTCTGGAATAATCTGGGCGAGCAGGATAAAACGATGTAACTATATTGAGATAGATATATCGAAAGCTTAGCTAATTTCTTCCCTTTTACTTTCAGCTTCAATATGGACATGAATGTCAAGGATACGGAGGAGACCTACTTGACAGTGTGTGCGCGTGGCGCACGCAAATTTATACTCAAGGAAAAGGATGAGGATTTACCCAAAGCTCGTCTGCACATGCGCATGTAAGCTGTTGGCATTTGATTGCTTTAATGTTTTTATTTAAACGTTTTGCATATTCTTTTCTAGCCAATGGTTTGTGGACGTCATCTGCAAGACCCTGATAGTCGGTGCCTTCTTCTACTATTTACTGAAATGGACGGGTGTACTGGCCATGTTTTGAGTTCCTGTTTTATTTTTAGGGATTCTTCTACTTTTGTGGGCACAGGAATTATGTTTAGTCAATTAGCCATTAGTTGTTGTTCGCTTTAAGTTTCCAAGGTTTTCCAAATAAATATACACATTTAGGTTTTTGTACTCAGGTCCACGTGCTTTGTTTTTCTACAATTACTTATTTATACATATTAAATATTATTAGCTATATAATTGAAGTTTAAGTAACATTTATTCTGCCTGCGCAGTTACGCCCGCTGTCGCGGAGCCGTTGCCGGGCTGGGTAGACAATATGAATGGACCCACGGGCGTATTGATTGGCGCTGGCAAAGGTGTTATTCGTTCCATGATCTGTAATGGAGAGCTCAAATCGGAGGTGATACCAGTGGACATTGCCATCAATGGATTGCTTCTGATACCCTATCACAATAGTCGGGCCCAGCAAAAGTAAGTGACTAGAAGATATACAACTGGAATTTTATAGTAATGATATCTCTTGCAGATCTCTTCAGATACCTGTCTACAATTTAACAGTGGATGATGCCAAGAAGCGCACTTGGAAGTGGGTTATGGATGTGGGCCGCGATCTAGGTATAAAGTACCCATTCGAAGTGGCCCTCTGGTATCCCGATGGCAATATGACGACCAATAAGCTCTATCACACCTTCTGCACCATCATGTTCATGTGGCTGCCCGCCTATATCATTGACTTCCTCTTGGCACTTTTCGGACAACGTCGCTTGTGAGTAAACACTTGGAATACCCTGTAAATCGTTAGCTAACTAATATGTTTTATTTGCTTGCAGCATGGTTCGCGTGCAAACAAAGATATCGGTGGGTCTGGAAGTGCTGCAGTTCTTCACGACCCGCAACTGGGACTTCAAGTCGACGCATTTCGAGCAAATCTATAAAGAAATCTCTGAGGAAGATCGCAAAATGTATGACCAACTGCCGATATCAACCTAGATAGTCCTGCATGTGTCTAAAAGAGGTTTCGATTTGGGCGTTGTAAACCATAAATCATTTGCACTTCACAAAATATCAGTTCTACGATCGTTTTCCATATACCAAATCCATATTTCAATTCTCTTTAAATAGTTTCAAAATCAACACAAACGATGTGGACGACTACGAATACATGAAGATTAGCATATTGGGCGGCCGTCAATATGTCATGAAGGAGCCCATGACCTCATTGCCGAAGTCTCGCATACAGCTGCGATTGTGGGTTATATATGTGTATATCAAATATATTCGTTGATCGATTCTGTGTTCTATTCCTTATAGCATGTATGCATTGGATCGCATATGCAAGACGCTTATACTGGGCGGACTTCTCTATTGGACCTGCATGAGACTGGGCTTGATCGATTTGGTGCGCTACGGCATCGAGGCAGTAAAACATTGATTTATTGACACTGGAACTATCATGCTGGAACTATATATGTGGAATGCGCCTTTGTATAATCGTGTATTTTGGATTTGGGTTTAAGTAGGAAATGTTCAGGTTCTATGTATACGTAATTATCATTAAAGTAGCCTAGATATAGCTAAGTATATAAACTGTTTTCATTTATATATTAATTTAATTTACATATTAATTTAATAAGGATTTGGTGTGGGTCTTGATCAGTTAAAGTCACAAGAACTCAATATAATATAAATTAAACGTTTTCAAATCTGTATATATTCTTGATAAACATCATGAACTGAGTCTATATAGATATTTACGTGGGTGGCTTGACAAATTTACAATAAAATAAAAGTAGAAAATTATAAAAATAAAATTTATTTATTTATTTAATTCTTGCAATCTACCAGTCTCTTCGAATCTTTTTACTTTTAACTACTAGGAAAGAATTGTCGCTTGATAAAGTAGATCTCCTGAAGTTAGGAGCAGGCTCTATCATATGAAGGTTTTGCTATATCTAGTTCCTTTATCATCAAATAAATCGAATGCAAATAAATCAATCTAAATCTCTAAGTTTTATAATTATAATAAAATAGTAAAGGATTATATAAATATTCAAAAGATATTTTAATATAATATTCTTTTGCTTATACACAAAGCTAATTTTGTGGAGTGTTTTCTTTCGCCTCAAAGTCGCCTATAAATTTTTTATTTATTTGCCAGCCTGAAGGTAGGCCACATTTGGGCCAATAAATGCCCAATTTGAATATGCAACTAGACAAGTATTATTCAGTCAACATAGTCAAATTACACGGAAATAATTTTCAATAATATTTGGTTGGAATGATGTTCTATGCAATCAAATATGATTGCAGTTAATTAAGTAAGTTCTATGTTTAAACATTGTAGTAATCAACGCACAAAGTAGTGATGGAATGCTGTTTGGACTTTACTTTAGGTGGCTATTGAGGTAGGTAGATAGACTACTCTGAAAGTAGTTCAAGTAGCTAGAACAATACTTAAAGTATTTGTTTGAGAGGTGGCAACTGATTATTTAATTTGATATTCAAAAAATATTTATATCAGATCACATGTATAAATATAATATTCATGTGGTATATTTCAGGTTTGGACTACTCAAAGTTCTGATTACTTAGCACTTCATTTAATTCTTTAGAGTAGTATTTCTATATTGTCTCTGCTTAGTTGCTCTTTCTTCATCTCCGAAGGCAGGGTCTCGCGTCGCGTAGCTTTTCGTTTTCTTTACTTTTTTTTAATACTCCGAAGTCTGTTTGTCGGCGCAGTTGAACGTAAAAATCGGACACTTTGCTTATAAATAGACGTTGCCCGGCCTGAGATCCACCATTTGAAATTCAACTGTCGCCGTGTTGTGAATTGAACAATTAAACGTGAACTGTAAATTTCACACAGGTGAACAGTAAAGGACATTTAAAAGACATTTAACTTCCATATAGGCATATATATATTTAAATATACAAATTCTATGAACAATCTGTGAGAGTGCAAAGTGAAAGATTAACAAGAACTTTCTTGAAGTTTTAAAACAAACACAATAAAATATGATTGTGGAAAAAGTGGTGAGTAGGAAATATGTGAAATATAAGAGAAATATAAGTGATTATATCATAGAAACACAAAAATCAAACCTTTTCGGTATACGACATGAAAATGAGAAAACTAAATAAAATTATGAACCTTTAAATTATAAAAACATAATATTAAATAGTTGAAAAAAATCTTCATTCATAAAAATTAATATATACTAAAAATATCATATAAAAATAAGAATAGTTTTTATAAGAATACTAATAAAAACGAGTTTTGAAATATGTTAAAGAAATATTTATTACGCAGAATTTAAGAAACTATTTTCAAAATTTACTAAGTGAAATATTATTTTATTTAAAAATATTGCGTGAAAAATAAATTTCTTAGTAAATTTTTTTTAAAATTAAAATAATAATTGGAATTTAAATGAGGTTTTTAATGATAAATTTTGATCTAGACATTTAATGAAATTACTAAAAAAATATAAATTATTTTTTTTTTATTGGCTTAGAAGGAGAAAGATAGACAGAGGTTGAGGAAGAGAGAGAGAGAGAGAGAGGAAGATAGAGAGACAGAGTGGCAGAGAGAGAGAGAGAGAGAGAGAAAGAGAGGGAAAGAAACTGATGCAGACAGACAGAAAGAGAGAGAGGATGAGAAAGAGAGTTATTTTATATAATATTTTAATATAATATTCTTTTGCTTATACACAAAGCTAATTTTGTGGAGTGTTTTCTTTCGCCTCAAAGTCGCCTATAAATTTTTTATTTATTTGCCAGCCTGAAGGTAGGCCACATTTGGGCCAATAAATGCCCAATTTGAATATGCAACTAGACAAGTATTATTCAGTCAACATAGTCAAATTACACGGAAATAATTTTCAATAATATTTGGTTGGAATGATGTTCTATGCAATCAAATATGATTGCAGTTAATTAAGTAAGTTCTATGTTTAAACATTGTAGTAATCAACGCACAAAGTAGTGATGGAATGCTGTTTGGACTTTACTTTAGGTGGCTATTGAGGTAGGTAGATAGACTACTCTGAAAGTAGTTCAAGTAGCTAGAACAATACTTAAAGTATTTGTTTGAGAGGTGGCAACTGATTATTTAATTTGATATTCAAAAAATATTTATATCAGATCACATGTATAAATATAATATTCATGTGGTATATTTCAGGTTTGGACTACTCAAAGTTCTGATTACTTAGCACTTCATTTAATTCTTTAGAGTAGTATTTCTATATTGTCTCTGCTTAGTTGCTCTTTCTTCATCTCCGAAGGCAGGGTCTCGCGTCGCGTAGCTTTTCGTTTTCTTTACTTTTTTTTAATACTCCGAAGTCTGTTTGTCGGCGCAGTTGAACGTAAAAATCGGACACTTTGCTTATAAATAGACGTTGCCCGGCCTGAGATCCACCATTTGAAATTCAACTGTCGCCGTGTTGTGAATTGAACAATTAAACGTGAACTGTAAATTTCACACAGGTGAACAGTAAAGGACATTTAAAAGACATTTAACTTCCATATAGGCATATATATATTTAAATATACAAATTCTATGAACAATCTGTGAGAGTGCAAAGTGAAAGATTAACAAGAACTTTCTTGAAGTTTTAAAACAAACACAATAAAATATGATTGTGGAAAAAGTGGTGAGTAGGAAATATGTGAAATATAAGAGAAATATAAGTGATTATATCATAGAAACACAAAAATCAAACCTTTTCGGTATACGACATGAAAATGAGAAAACTAAATAAAATTATGAACCTTTAAATTATAAAAACATAATATTAAATAGTTGAAAAAAATCTTCATTCATAAAAATTAATATATACTAAAAATATCATATAAAAATAAGAATAGTTTTTATAAGAATACTAATAAAAACGAGTTTTGAAATATGTTAAAGAAATATTTATTACGCAGAATTTAAGAAACTATTTTCAAAATTTACTAAGTGAAATATTATTTTATTTAAAAATATTGCGTGAAAAATAAATTTCTTAGTAAATTTTTTTTAAAATTAAAATAATAATTGGAATTTAAATGAGGTTTTTAATGATAAATTTTGATCTAGACATTTAATGAAATTACTAAAAAAATATAAATTATTTTTTTTTTATTGGCTTAGAAGGAGAAAGATAGACAGAGGTTGAGGAAGAGAGAGAGAGAGAGAGAGGAAGATAGAGAGACAGAGTGGCAGAGAGAGAGAGAGAGAGAGAGAAAGAGAGGGAAAGAAACTGATGCAGACAGACAGAAAGAGAGAGAGGATGAGAAAGAGAGTTAACTGCAAAAAATTTGTATAAATATTTAAGTATTCAAGAATCGATAAAGAAAACTTTGAGTTCAAACATCTGCGATAAGAAACTATATAAATTATTTATAGAAATAAAACTATAATAAATCTTTAGTTACTTATCATAAGTTATAAAGAGATATTTTTAATATATGTGCGCTCTTTGACTTAAACAGAAATCTCATTATTGTTAACAACTATTTTTTTGGTCTTGCTTTTGGTTTTGTTAGCAAGGCACGTACGCAGTTCCGTTGCACAAACGGTTTTGTGGGTTGGGGGAAGCGCTTTTTTTTCTCTTGGATTTCGAGCTTAGCGTGGCTGGGCGTGTGAGCAGAAGAAAAAAACCGATGCTGATGATAATTTATAGAATTAGTGAGAAATAATCATGTACATTTATTAGTGGGCAGGTGTGAAAATGTTGTGTAAATAAGACAGTTAGCCACAAATTCGCCATAGTTCGTCGGTGTGAGTACTTCGGCTTATGATGGATGATTATGATCGGATAGACCACATAGTTGGTGGCTTCCAGTGCCAGAGCGGAAGCCATGCTTAAGCGGCAACTATGGCCAGGTTGTTGGACTATGTTCACTATTCCCTTGAAACTTCCTAATTACCTATCGTTGTGTGTGTGCGAGTCTGTGTCTGTGTGAGTGTGTGTGTGTGTGGGTGCTCTGTCTAAAAATTCAATCGAAGTTGTTTTATAATATTGCCAGAGTCCAGAATTTTATTTACTTTCAAACAAAACTGACTAACACATTTTGAGCTCTGTCGTAAATACTTATGTATACATATCTGTTGTATATATATATATATATATTCTAAAACATAAATATTTACATAGAAAAATTTCGAAAAAATTCTAAAGAATTAACAAGATGTCGCAGTTTTGGGAACAATATGTGCGGTCTGCATTCAGCCAGGTGAGAGGCAATCTGTGGCTGCTCAGTGGCAAAGCCACCGGCTCGGCACTCTGGAAGCGTGTTACCTTTCTGGTAGCCACACCTGCCATTGGCCTCTGTATGATCAACGCGTACAAGGGTATGGGTGAAACGAAGGAATTGCAGGTGCGCCAGCCGTTTGTCAAGTACGAGCATCTGCGTCGTCGCAACAAACGCTTTCCCTGGGGCGATGGAGAGCGGAGCCTGTTCCATAATCCCAATGCCAATCCACTGCCCGAAGGCTATGAAGCTTAGTCCGGGAGCGACAGCCAACAGCCTGTTAAACATTTCGTCTACATTTTGTTCGTTGATTATATCGGGCTGTTTGTTAAGGATCGTTTCGTTCATGTAGATTGTTTCAAGAACTAACGGAAGTAGCTGCCTTCCTCCATTTCCCTGTACCGGCAACCCGTCGGCAGCACCAATCTAATGTAAATAAAATCTGCACACAAACACACACACGCCCTCGTCGCTGTTGTCGCTGTTGATGCACATATATATATAGGTTCATAGTTATTTAGGTATGTTTAGCTGTTGGTTTTTATTACGGGTGGGCGTGGCTTGGCGACTTTCGCTTTCAAAAAGTTACGCACCAGCCAAAAAAAAGTCAAAGCATTTGATAACCGCTCAAAACTAATTTGCCATGCTGCACCTGTACTGTCACTACAATTATTTATTTATATATTTTTTCTTTAAATTTAAATGCATATATATATACTCATTATTGTATATATATTTATATATATATATATATATATATGTATATATATATATATATATATGTATACACATAGTTTTATACAACACCACGCGCAATTGACCCTGAATCTGGGCTTGTTGTCTGTCCGTATGTTTGGGCTAGTGCCTTGTGCGTGCTCGAATGTGCATGCATTCTTTGTGACAAGTTTTGCTAGGGTATTTGTTAGCCTCAAGCTGTGGTAAATCATGTTCTGTAATAAATATATCAAGGCAGTAAAAACTAGTTAAAAAGTGAATTTTCCTTTTTCTACCTGTTTCATGCCAAAACGAGAAGTCGAACCTAATGACTTAACGGTTTCACATGTATCAGTGTTCAATTAACTTTAGGAATGTTCTATAGCCAATTTCGACAATTGACATTTGACATACTATAGTTAAGTACTTAATTTGTTTGGATGACACATTTCATTACGAATTGGTATTTAAGGCTTTGTTTTTATTTATCTATTTAGTTTTTGTTTTTTTTTTTTTACTTTTTGAGGCAGTTAACAGTTGACATTCGAGCGATCGTGTTGAATTGTTTGCGTTGAAAACATAAAAAATGGAACAGAGTCTGGGAAAAGGCCAAACATGAGACGTGCGCCCATGATCTGCAACTGGTGATCATCATTAATCAATTCATTTTGTTAAGCAGTGTTTTTTATGAATGGGCGCCGTCCTGTCAGCTGTAGCCCTGAGTAATCAAGAGTAGAGGTTAAAAGATACAAATGTATCTGTAACTGCATATAAATATATTTATAACTGAATGTGTATCTGTATCTGTATCTGTGTCTGTATCTGTATCCGTATCTGTATCTGTATCCGTATCTGTATCTGTATCCGTATCTGTATCTGTATCTGTATCTGTATCTGTATCTGTATCTGTATCTGTATCTGTATCTGTATCTGTATCTGTATCTGTATCTGTATCTGTATCTGTATCTGTATCTGTATCTGTATCTGTATCTGTATCTGTATCTGTATCTGTATCTGTATCTGTATCTGTATTGTATCTGTATCTGTATCTGTATCTGTATCTGTATCTGTATCTGTATCTGTATCTGTATCTGTATCTGTATCTGTATCTGTATCTGTATCTGTATCTGTATCTGTATCTGTATCTGTATCTGTATCTGTATCTGTATCTGTATCTGTATCTGTATCTGTATCTGTATCTGTATCTGTATCTGTATCTGTATCTGTATCTGTATCTGTATCTGTATCTGTATCTGTATCTGTATCTGTATCTGGCTATGTATGTGTGCTTGTATCTGTGTTTGTATCTATACATATATCTTAATCTATATCTGTATCTATATATATGCGTGTATATATGTATGCTTCTGTTTCAATTTTTTATATTTGTATATATATATGTATATATATACATATATCTCTGTAACTGTCTCCATATGCATCTGTATATGTCTGTATGTGTAAATCTATCTATATATATCTATATTCCTATTTGTTTCTGTGTCTATATATATGTGTATGCATGTGTATCTTATTCTGTATCTGTATATTAATATATAGATGTCTTTGAAGCAGTATCCATAAGAATATATCAATCAGTTTGCTAAATTGTATCTGCATTTGCTATGTATCTGTATCTATAGCCGTATAAGAAACTGTATCTTAACTTGTACACAGATATTAATAGTTATATATATGTATCCGTATCTTAATCTCCATCAGCATCCTTAGCTCTATATGTATCTGTCTAAATTCTGCCTAAGCACTTATCATTGTATATGTATTTGCATGTGTATCTATATCTATATCGCTTATGTATCTGTATGTCTAAGGCGCGTCCTTGCCCTGGTGCTGAATCAATTGTTGCCGAAATCTCGAGAGTTGGGCATACATAATCGAAATTTAACTATACACACAACACACACGCACTCAGCGCTAGAGCTGTGTGCGTGTGCGTTGGCAATGTGTGTATTAAACGCGTATACGACGTGTTGTCTCAAATAATTCACACCGTTTCGCAGGCACTTTCGATGATCATTTCGAAGTTTATGGATGATGAGTGTTTACAAAAACTTACGACATGCCACGAGTTGCTCATAACGATCTTCAAGCCCCTCAATAATCAACAAACCCTAATGACGTTCCCAGTTAATTAGATTTTATTTATATACATATACATATATATAAACATAACTGTGTACATGTCTATTTGCCAGATATTTATCTAAATGCAATTAAAGTGAAGTGCGCTCGAGGTCCAATTGGCACGGGCGGTTTGGGCAAATATATTTTACGCACTTAATTAAATTGCCTAAATGGCAAACAAATTATGAAGAGTAGCCACTTGCTTAACTAAACACGCGCTTTACCCCCTCTCTCTCTCTCTCTTTCTGTCTCTCTCGCCGTCTCTTTCCATATGTAGCTGGAGCGTGCTACCAAGTCAGAGCTATGCAGCGCGTTGGCCCTGTTGGTGCTCTCGCTGAGCATTTACACCTTCTACACACAGCTGCAAACGTATCTGAAGTCCGTGCTGCTATCCCTGCGTCTCTCTGGGCCACCCACGCTGCCCTTTTTGGGCAACTGCATGCTGATCAATGAGAAGGATCGTAAGTGCCTCAAATGAAATTTCAACTTTGTTACGTATACGCCATGTCTAAATTCTTTTGCAGTGATGAGAAAACGAGCCGCGAAAGCCTTTGATCTGTATGGTTCGCTGGTGCGCATTTGGGTGCTTCTGTTTCCTTTCTTTGTGGTGCTGCAGCCGGAGGATCTGCAGGTCATACTCTCCTCCAAGAAGCACACCAACAAGGTGTTCATCTACAGGCTAATGCATAACTTTCTGGGCGATGGCTTGATCACCAGCAGCGGCAACAAATGGAGTACGCATCGCAAGCTCATACAGCCAGCGTTTCATCTCAGTCTGCTGGAGAAGTTCATTGATACGTTTGTGGATGCATCGCAGTCGCTGAACGAGCATCTGGATGCCTCGGCCTTGGACATGGAGGTCAACATAGCCAAATATGTCAACAACTGTGTGGTCGATGTGCTCAATGGTAAGTCATATCTGTCCAAGCAATTCCCATTTGGATATCAAAATTCTCGTTCCTTGCAGAGGCTGTGCTGGGCGTGCCCATCAGGAGGAAGGGTCTCATGGAGGATTCGCCATTTCGCAAGGGCAAGCTGATGATACGCGCTCGCTTCTTACATCCCTGGCTGCTGCTGGACGCCATCTATCAGCTGACGTCGCTGGCCAACGATGAGCTGAAGCAGAAGAAGCGTCTTAACGATTTTACCCGACAGATGATAAAGCGACGTCGAGAGATTATGGCCGATGCGGCCAACAATAATGTGGAACGCAAATGTCTGCTCGACTATATGATTGAGATCTCCGAGAGCAATCCCGACTTCAGCGAAGAGGACATTGTCAACGAGGCCTGCACCTTTATGCTCGCTGGCCAGGATTCTGTGGGCGCTGCTGTTGCCTTTACCATCTTTCTGCTCGCCCAGAACGCGGACTCGCAGGACCAATGCTACGAGGAGCTGGAGCGCATCTTTGACTATAGCAACCGTGCGCCCACCATGAGCGATTTGCGTGAGATGCGCTACTTGGAGATGTGCATCAAGGAGGCACTACGTCTCTATCCCAGTGTGCCGCTCATTGCCCGCAAGCTTGGCGAGGAAGTGCGTTTGGGCGCTTACACCTTGCCAGCGGGCAGCAATATCTTCATCTGTCCATATGCCACACATCGTCTGGCACACATCTACCCCGAGCCGGAGAAGTTCAAGCCGGAACGTTTCACCACCGACAACATGGAACAGCGGCATCCATATGCCTTTATACCATTCAGCGCTGGACCGCGCTACTGCATTGGCAATCGGTTCGCCATAATGGAAATCAAGACAATCGTATCCCGTCTGCTACGTAGCTATCAGATCTTGCCCGTGCCTGGCAAGACCACCTTCGAGGCCACATTTCGCATCACTCTGCGCGCCTCGGGCGGCTTATGGGTGCGGCTCAAGCCACGCCAGCAGCCGGAGACGGTCTAGTGGGCAAGCAATGTAGTATAGGGAACGAGGCCAAGCCAACAGTTGTGGGCGGATCAAATATAAATATAGAATTGATGTAATATCATCATTTAGAGAAGCGATGTAAGAAGACGGTCTTCGCTTCGCTTCTTCCTTTAAGCCTAGCTTTAATCCATGACTAAGTTAAGCTGCATTCGAGAAGTTTGAAGAGGGACAAGTAAAATCTAAGCTTAAGAGGTTCAGAACTTCTTTCATTTGGAGAAGCAGCGCGAGTAGATCATTTCTTCTTGCTTTAAGCCCAGCTTTAATCCCTTAAAAAATGCCACTATATTCGAGAAGTTTGAAGAGAGAAGCTGCTCGGTTTGGCAGTGAGTAGCGAGCAACCATTGGCTCTGTCTGCTTCTCTCGCGAGAGGCTAGATGCGAAGTGTAAATCAAATATATAAAAACTATTCCTAAGCTTGCCAAACTGACTTAAAGAGAGAAGCGCAACTCAGCACGATAAACTACAATTTACTCAAAGCATCTCACTTAAAGTTCAGATTGAGCTAAGCTTAACTTACATTTGCTTCTCTCAACACGCTTCTCGTTTGTAGGCAGCAACGTAGTCGTACCCCGGAAATAATTGGTTGGGTCTTTTTAGATGTTTGCCCATTATTTTTGACAGCGTTTGGCTTCGTTACATTAACTTTAATTAGTATGGTAAATAGATATATGTATATAAATCGATACAATAATTTAAATATTTAGCCTTTGTCTAGCCTAAGTGCAGTGCGATGTGCCTGTGCCTGTGCCTGTGCCTACGATTGTTTTGGGTGCCATTTGGATTCGGATTTGGATTATAATTAGTTCGCAATTGCAGCTATATATATGTATATATATATATATATATATAACATAAATATACATATGTATATTCGAGTGTTTTTTTCGTACAGATTTTCCTTGGGTTTGCTTTTACACAGCAGATAAAAAACAATAATAATAAAGTGAAATAAGTAAATCAGAGACATTAAAAAACTAGGACGTGATATGTTTCGTTTCGTTGAATCTATTGATGAGACGACGCGCACGTGACTCGTGCCCCTGTCCGTGCTCGTGTCCATGTCCGAGGCCATGACCGTTCCCATTTCCATTTCCATTTCCACTTCCATTTCCATTACCATTACCATGCCCCTTGCCATTCGCCGCCTGTCGCTGTGCGCTGGCCACCGTGTGCTGTTGGGCAAGACGCTCCGTTGTCTCACGTACTCGACTGCTCAGCCGCGTTGGCGTTGCTGAACGCTGAGGCAGCGGGGAGCTGGGCATGGACTGGGTTTGTGTCGGTTTCGCTTTAATGGCGACAGCGGGCCTGCTCGCTGGCTCAACTATACAGAAAAGAGAGTGAACAGAGGTAGAGGGAGAGTGAGAGTGTGAGTATAGGGTATTATGTAAGTCGTAGCATGCTAAGTAATATGTGTTACATTTGCTGATGCGACCCATGCTCGCGACCTTGGCGATTTTGTTGGGTTCGACGGCGGCGGCGGGCCTGTTATGTGCAGCAGCGGCAGCAGCAGCATTTGATTGCTGAAACCTGTGCTTCAACTGAGACACCTTCAGCTTGGACTCACAAATGGGTTTGGCATGTGGCTTGAGCTTTTCACGCGTGCAGCTATCCTCCAGAGATTTCTTGCGCATCTTAACCGTATTGGTGAAATCGGAGAGCATTATGGGCTCGCTCTTGCCTGACAGTTCTAAAGCTGGCAATGTGCTTGCTGCACTATCTGCATCTGCCGCCTCGCTCTGACTAGCCTTTGCAATCTGTTCCAGCTTGCACTTGGCCAGTGTTAGTAGCAGCGTCTCCTGTGTGCCCAGGCTGCCATTGGAGCATTCGCTGTAGCCGGAATCGCTGCGCTCGCTGCACTGGGATTTGTCGCGCAGCTTAAGGCTTGCTGTCTTGCGTTTGTCCACCTGAGGCATCTCGCCGGTAAAGTCATCCTCCTCCTCGTTCAAGGAGGCCATTTGCGTGCTGCACACATTGACAGCGCTGAGCATGCTCAAGCCGGAAATCGAGGGACGCGGACTGTTGCAAGCGCCCATGGCAATAGCCGAGTTGCGACGCGATGCGGACAATGTAGCCATGCGACCCAGCGCCCGTATAGCGTTGCCCGTTTTCTAGTTGTTCAGCAAGCAGGCAAAGCATTGAAGCAAGACAGGATTTAAATAGTAAACAACAAAGAGGAAGCAGCGGTTAGTTGGGTGGGCTTAAGCAGGCGCAGCCGCCTTTACTCACCTGCCATTTGCGTCGTATAATAAATTTCTTAAGCTTGTCTGTGCAGATTTTGTTATTGCTGAGATTCTCATCATGGCGCTGGCAAAGCCACTTGGACTCGAGACACTGCTGAGCGGTCAGGCGCGACTCCTTGCGATGCACTAGCAGCTGCGAGATAAAGTCCTTGGCCTCCTGCGAGCTGTAAGCAGAGTTTGTGTTAGACATGCGTATGGTAAGTCATGGAGTGGAGTCACATACACGCAATCGAACGCCTCGTCATCATAGTCATAGTCCGCACGTGTTATATTCGAAAAAGTTTCCACATCGGAGTCACCCATAAAGGGCGAAAGGCCCGAGAGTCTACGAAGGAGAAATTCGAGCTTAGGACAAGGTTCAATGGAATTGATTCGCTGCGACACTCACAGCACATAGCATATGACGCCCACGCTCCACATATCCGACTTGAAGCCAATGGGCTCGTAGCTTATGATCTCTGGCGGTATGAATTCCGGCGTGCCAAAGAGCACGCGCACAGGCGCCTTAGTGTCCAGACGCTGGGCCAGGCCGAAGTCTATGATCTTGATCTGATGACTGGTGCGCGTGTGGCACATGATGTTCTCTGGCTTCAGATCCAAGTGGACGACGCTCTGGCTGTGCATATAGGCAACACCTTCGCACACCTGCCGCAGAAATAGAATGCAGTCCAGCTCCGTCAGCGTGAAGTCATCCGCAACCACGCGCTCGAACAGCTCCCCACCCGTAATGCTGTATGTTAAGTATATAATGTATTATAAATGCATATTTAAATCGTTCTCTCCACTCACTATTCCATGACCATGACAATTTCTCGAGCACTTTCAAAGGAGGCGGCCAGCTGCAGCAGCTTGGGATGCTGCAGTGAACGCATTATGGATATCTCTTCCAGTACTTTTTGGCGATCGCGCGACTTGATGCACTTGATCACCTTGGCGGCCAGCAGCTGTTCGGGCTGTGCGCGTTCCTGCACCTTGTAGACGACACCGAAACGTCCCTTGCCCAGCTCCTCTATGATATCGAAACGTGCCTTGAAATCTCCGCCAGACTGAACGCTAACAGCGCTCATGAGATTCGATGTTGTGTTGGCAGCGTCCACTGCGGCGGCTGGGCGCGTTGTCTGCACCCACTCACTAACCTGACTGGGTGCACTGCGTCCGTGTATGTTCTCGGCGCGCACACGAAATCTGTACTGCAGCTGTGGCAGCAGCTCCTTCACGGTGTAGGCCAGCGTGTCCATCACGCGTGCTACCTGCTGCCAGTCAGCGTTGTCCTTAACGCTATCACAGTCCGTTGGCTTGTAGCTCTGCAGCTCAATGCTGTGTATGAAATAATAATAGAAAAGGATAGATAAATCGATTCAGATTTGCGCTTACATGAATCCTGTTATCATGCAGCCGCCATCGTAGGGCGGGCCACACCAGGCGACGGCCACACGATCGGGGCCAAGCGAAACGCTCGGCTTGCCACTGGGCGGCTCCGGGGGTCCCTCGACGGCCACCGAGGCAGCTGCCGCCTCTATGCCATAGTCGTTCATTATTTCAGCCGTGTATTTGCCGCTGTCATCGGCGGAGATGTCCGTTATATAAAGTGTTGATCGTTGCGACGTTGTACGGATTGTCACATTGGCGCCCTCAACAATGGCACGGCACTGTGTAAGGGTAAAAGGTGTATTCATAGATATATATATATATATATATACAGATGTATGTGTGTGCGTAAGTAAAGCGGATTAATAGTATTGCGGCGAGTAGACAGCGACTGCCCAACCTTCGATGAGCAGAGAAAACACGTTCAACTATGGCGACGTCTTGCTGCTGCTGCTGCTGCTGTTGTTGTTGTTGTTGTTGCTTGTTGTGGTTTATAACAATTACGTATAGGCGCATTCATACCGCAAACTGATCGTGACACAGTCATAGACCCTAACTAGCACTAGCCACGGCATACCAAACGAGAACAGACTAGACCAGACACTGCACAGATCAGAGTCCACACAGACAGCCGGCCAGTTAACGTGTCCAAATGAAGTATTTAGATAGCCTACAACAGCAGCAGCAGCGGCAGCTGGGTTGTCTATGGGGCGAGCTTACGTAGATAAAAGTATGATATGGGATCATGGGCATAACAACTCTGCTAATCTTCGAGCTGTTGACGGCATTTTACCTAATTAGGTCACACGTCAACTCGTTGCGCAACAATTGCACTGATCCCAAGCAGCTTGGCTTAATTTGGCTACTCAAATGGGCAGATCTATAGACTATTAGAGAAGATCCATTTGAATAGATGCTTTGAAGATTTGCAAGGTAAGCTGATAGTCAAGCCTATTAGTCAAGTGTTTATTATATTTATGCCTTGCCTGAGACTTTTCAAATTCTATCACGAAACGCAGCTACGATTTCATTGGATAAATATATTTATATATATGTGTGTTATCTGAACTGATCGATATTAACTGTCAAGTAGTTGTAGGCTTGACCAGTCAGTACACTGTGCGCGATTATTCTATTTTAAGCGCTTTACCTTAGCTGTAATCGTAATATTTACATTCTCGTATATGGCTTATAGTTCAGCTATAAGCTCCTAGCATACCTTCTATATATCGTCTAGAAGAACAATTTATAATATATTATATAAAGTGCCCATAAGTACACTTAAACTGGAAGCACTTGTGGTTTTTCTTTGGAAAAACCTTAGGCTGAATAAAGCGTCGCAGTTTGAATACTCTTTAGTCTTTAGTCTTTAGGTAGTTGAAAGCTAAACTCATTTGTATTAAGCTTACTATATGGATCTATATATATTTGTAGTCTGATTCGATTTATCTTGGTTACATATGAAGCAAGAATATTAAAACTTATGAAAGTTAGTTAAATGAAGAAGAATTTTATCTTTGTTGAGGCTAATTTCCTTCTTAATTGAGTTGTGAACTTAGCAAGTCTGGGAGTAGTAGAAAGCTAAGCTCATTCATAATTCTCTTACTATGTGATCTATATACATTTATAGTTATTAAAATATTATTATTATATTATTAAGTTTATAGTATTAAGATATCTTCAAGTATAGAATAACTTTTCTATCTTTTCATACAAAAACTAAACCTACAGCTGCTATAAAGTATAGTTATAGCTCTGTAAATCTAATATATATTTTAGATATATTAAAATATTCCATCTGTCCTTTACCTAACACCTAATATATTAAACACAGCTATGCTGCTTAACTTAGTTTAATTTAACTTAATTTTACGCCTAAAACACTTGTTACGTATAAGAAGATGAACAGTAAAACCTGGCTATAACGACACTTCAAACAATGCTGATCAAGTATATGTATATCTCTTGCATATCTCTAAGAAAACGTCTTAAGATATATTTCTTTCATCTGGATTTTTTTGTACTTACCGCCTTGTACCAGATGACTTTGGTATTGGGGAATGGCTCATAGTGCACGCTCAGTTGGACATGGCCTCCAATGAGTGCAGTGCAATCTTCCGGGCGCCGCAATATGCAGCTGGCAGCCAGCGAAGGATTCTGCTGCTCCTTATTATTATTAATATTATTACTGCTATTGCTGCTGTTGTTGTTGTTGTTGTTGTTGTTGTTGTTGTTGCTGTTAACGGGTAGTACTAGAAGACTGGTATAGCTACGTATGGAGGGCACACGTCTCTCCGGCTGTGGATGCTTGACTTGGAGACGCAGTTCGCCGCTCTGGGCCAGCTGCACGTTTCGCAGGCGCAGCAAGCGAATGCCGTTCTCTGGATATGACTCCAACTGAAATGAAGATAAAGCGATTTTAGTGGCTACAACTATGTGTGTGTGTGTGTGTGTGTGCGTGTTGTGTGTGAGAACAGCTGGCACATGGAAGAGCAAATACTTGAGTATGCGGCTCAATGACAACGACAAGGCAACGAAATATGCACCTAGTTAAGTAAGCTATATAAACAGGCACACACACACTCACACACACACAAATATAAATATATATAAATATATTTATATATATGTTTTTATAGTTATGTGTTGGAACAATTGAGTACACTGCGAGGCGCCAACGGCCAGTGTCAAACGACGAATGACGAGCCACCAATTAATGATTGAGAACATTTTTTAAATAATAAGGAAAGCAAAGCCGAGCATGACCGACTGCATAATACCCGTCCTTGTCATGCTACCCTAAACGAATGCAAAGATGAGTTTACGAGTGCTTCAGCCAAATTTCAGCGAACGAGCGCACATTGGAAACCAATATACCCTCTGCAAATTCTGAGCGAGTATAACAAAAAGAAAAAGCCGAGCACGTTTTCGGTTTCGGTATTTAGTTTCGCAAGTAATGTCACATTCACAACACAAGTTAACGCTCTCGATTTCGTTATCAGAGCAGACGACGCTCTAGAGCTCAGCATTTACTTAGATATATGCACTATCTATGCTTGTTTCGAGATATCGATATTGCATTACCTGTGACATCTTGTCACGCCCTTTTCCAAAACGGCGGGCTATCTAATATGTGTGTATATATGAAGCTATATGCGTTAAAGGCGTGCAACTGGTGGCTGCTGTTGCTGCTGTGTGCGCCGCTTGAAAGCCATTGAACGAGTGCTTGGCCGGCTGTCCGCGCTGCTCTGTTTGCTCTTCTCCGATCGAGCATCGCATCCGATTGGATTGGCGACGCTGACGCTGACGCCGACTGCGACTGCGACTGCGACGTTTCGACGTTGTCAACATCGTTTGCATGCGTTGCGCATGCCGCGCCATTTTAATCTTTTTTGTTTTTTGGACTCTCACTTCTCGCTGTGTGCCTGTGTAAATGACGGCGTATTGTTATTGTCAGCGTTGACAAGGTGTCAACGCAGCGCTTTTTGTTTTTATTTCTTTTGATGAAATTGCCTGCCCAGCGGCAAGGCTGTAGACCCTCAACTGCTTTAGAGCCGAAAGCCCGGCCAGACTACGCATCTCAATAATTTTTTGGGCCGCACACAAATTGCTTCATTGGCTGCCCTTCAACTCAATGGGCAGCTTAAATATGCAGACTGATTTGTGAAGGAATGAAAACAGTATATAATGTATAGATAGCTCTGGCTAGCAATAGCATTTGCCGACTTTCTCCTACATTCGTTTACTCAAGTTACTAGTTTAATAACATTAACTGTGCTCAGATATATTTGCTAGTTCAAAAGTAATTCAAATATACTTTTGCTTTAGACATATTTAAGACTTGAGATAGGAGATATCCTAGGGGAATAACAAGAAATTTAACTACTAAAGCCAACTCAGCTATCAATGAAATATTTATACTATCTAAGAGCATGCGGTAGTCGGTGTCAGTTCGTATGTAAATAAGTTCGTTTTAGGTTCATAATTGCTTTGGTTGGGTCTTACGCACCGTTTTGTTTGGTGAGTCATCCGCAATCAGTTTTCCGTTGAGATACCATTCGACGTCCGCTTGGCAGGGGAAAACACGCGCATAGAAGAGGGCTTCGGCACCTGGAGCACACACCAACGGCAGCGGCGTCTTTAGCAGCTGTACGCTCTCTTCGGTCCGTGTGAGATCGCGCTCGAGCACGCACAGCTCGCCGCTGCTGCTGCAGTCACAGTCGCAGTCGCAGTCGCCGCTGCTGTCATCTGTTGTGGACGTGTACACCTGACAAGTGTAGATACCCGAGTCAATGTCGAAGGCGTCGTTGATGCGCAAACAGAGGCAACCATTGCCGTGATCGATGTAGCTGTGGCGTAATAGTTGACAAAGTTTTATTTAATTTTGGTTTTTTATCAAATTTTGTTAAATCTATTTTTCATTTAATGTCAGATACCACATAAATACAGGGTATTTTCTAGTCAAGACACTGCAAATCTACGGGGCATGATTCAATGCTTACTTGAACTCCTCGCTGTCGGGCAGAATTTCTCCATTACGCAGCCAGACATAGCTGTAGGGTTCGTCGCTATCGATGACACAGCAGAGATCGGTCACCTCGCCCTCCACGGATTTAGTTAGCTCGGGCAGCGGCTCGGCAATGGTAGCGGGTCGACGTTGTATATCAGTACTGGAGCCGTGGAACTTGACATCGACGGAGCTAACTAAAGGATCATGGTCTCCGCTTATAATGCAGGTGTAGACGCCCTCATCCTCCAGAGTTACGTTGTCCACGAACAGCATAGCTTCGTCCTCCTGCAGCACAATGTGTACCCGATCCGAGGGTTCCAACTCCATATTGTTGTGATAGAATCTCACTGACGGCACGGACGAGCCACGAAATCCACTTGCCAATGCCATGCGGCCGCCAATAGCTGCAAATGTAATTGTTTACTTGAGTAAAGGATTTAGAATTGAGGGGATTTGCTCACCTGTTGAGGGGCCCATGATGCGTCGATAGAGATATGCATTTCGTCTCGAGGAGGAGGCGCGCACGCTACGCGTCGATGGAGACTTGGAGTAGCGTGAACTGCTGATTACGTCCAGGCGAGCAGTGGCTTCTATGCGTCCAAAGTCATTCTCCAGCGTTATCCGATAGAGACCCGCATCGTCGAAGCCCACCTCATCGATCTCAATGAAGCGCAGATCATCGACTTCCTTGACTGCAATTCGTGTGGTGGGCGTGACAATGAGACCATCCTTGTCCCAAGTGGCCCACGGCGTGGGATGTCCCGCAATGGCGCACTGGAAGCGCACGCTATCGCCCTCCTCCACGACACGATTGTAGGGAATGGCTAGGAATTTCGGCGCTGAAATGCAGCGGGCATCGCTGCGGCGACGCTCCACTGAGCCCATTTGCAGATCGATGCTGCTGTGGCGGTAGGAAAGTCTCATGGGTGAAAAGCTTCGGTTGGGAGTCGAACGTGGCGTCGAACGCGGTGTGGAGTGTGCAGACAGGAAGGCACTTGGTCGTGTCAATTGACGGCTAAGCATATTCTCCTTCTCTTCGGGCACATCCACAATGATGCAGGCTGACGAGAGTGTGCGGCCAACTGAATTCTTGGCCACACAAGTGTATTCGCCTTCGTCCTCGGGATACACGCGCGGAATACTCAGCGTAGCTTTGACACCGTCAAACGACATCACGTAGTCCCTGTCACTGGGCACGACATGACCATCCTTCTCCCATATTATAAACGGCTCCGGCATGGCCTCCACATGACACTCCAACGAGATGGCATCTCCATCACAGCAGCGCAAATTCCGCAAATTGCGTACGAATCGCGGCAGTGTCTCAATATTACTAAAATGTAGATCAAATATGTTATTAAAATGTGCACTTTACCACTTTAGTTGACATCGTACACTTACCCATGTCGCGTGTGAACTTTATCCATGCGATTTTCTTTTAGTATATCTGTGATAAAAAAAATTAAAAATCAGTTTGGCGCACTTTTTTATGATTTACGTAACAGTTGAGCATTGCTGAACGACGTTAGCTACCGATACTTTATGGTAAAGCACACATACACACCATTAGATCGATCAGATCGTACACCCACACGGATTTGAAAGTATGTATACCTTATATATATACACTGCTATAAGTATATCCCTAAAATAATCGTGAATCATTTACGCAATTTAAATATATATCTACGAAACAGTTGAGGAGCACTGAGCGTGGTGAGCTAGCGCTAATTTATAGTTATATGTTTCAGCCCTGGTTGCCGCTATTTATAGCAACTCTTCAGAGCAGCCTGTTGTGTTTGTTGTGTCGGCTAAATTGGGCGACGCGTTTGCTCCAAGTGTAAATTTATGAAATAAATACAAATGCGTGGCCTAATCATAGTACCCATGGACTTGGAACCGGGTTTCCGCAAAGCAGACATACACAGCATACCCGTTATTAGTAGTGGAATGGTGTTTAATTTTTTTGCAACAGCCACAGACAACAAAATGTGAGTGCCGCCTTTATACAAACACACCAACACACAGAAACATACATATATACAGTTATTTATTTATATATCTGTTTATATGCAAATAGATGTATAGGAATAGCTAATGGTAAAATATTGTTTTTAGCTCTTCAGAAAGCAACGATTTGTTAATAGACTATGTACACATGCGCCGGCAGCCCGAGCTATGTGAAATAAAGGCTTTGGTTTTCTCTGCCTCAGACTTCGCCAATACGGAAACACATGCCAATGTAGCCGTTAAGGTGATGGAAGATTCAAATTCTCTAGCGGATGGACAGTGCAGCTTGTGCATAGGAGTTGGTAAGAAGATTTAAAATTAAATGAGAATAAAACTAATAATTCGTTCTATTTGCTTAGCTGTTTGTCCGCATGTTGTGGCGTTTGTCTTTTGGCTGCACAATAAGAGTACAGATAAAAAGCCTGCAGCTGTAATAGAATTCTGGGGCAATGAGCTGGAAGCGCTTGTTCAACCGGAACCCACAAAGGCAATGCGCATAAAGGACATGGTGCCCAGTCAAGATTTGAAGTCCGAAAGTGAAGAGGATGTACCCTGCTCTAGCGAGGACAAAGACCATGCATTTCTAGAATCTGTGCTCGAAGAGCTCGCCATCTGCGGACGTGATTCTGCGCTGTATCGCCAGTGCGTGGAAACAACAGACGAGTTCGAGTCGATACTCATACATCACATATTGTTGAAAGCAGCGGAATATAACATTTATGATGTGCAAAGTTTTATACAGCATCTAGAGCTGCAGGCACAAAGTGGACTCTTCGAAAGTTTCAGCGAAGTGACCAAAAGGCAGTACAAATCAAAGCTTTGGATAGAAGCGCAATACATGCGTATACGCTGTTCTATGATTCACATGATTGCCACACGCAAAGCTCCGGAGGAGGACGAACAGATCTTTAATATGCTCTTTTGCAAAGGACGCGACGAGGACATCGAGGATCGTGTTCAGCAGAAGCAACACAAGCGTTTCATATTGAAACAAACCGAAAAGTTAGAAAACAAAGAATATCTGGAATGTGGTCTGCTGCTTCACGAAAACTATCCCTATTTGTGTGGCGCACCCGATGGCATTACGGATGATCATATTGTTGAAATCAAATCACCAAAGACTGAGGAGGACTTTGAGAAGTATCTCGAGGCCCGCGAATCCATAGCACCCAAATACATGGCACAGATACAAACGCAAATGTTTCTAGCCAACGTAAAGAAGGCGCTGTACTGCGTGCTTAGCCCCACGTTCGAAACGAACGGGGCTCTACACTACGTCTGGGTACAGGCCGATCCCGAGTTTGTGGCCAGTTTGTTAGGCACCGCCGATGAATTTTGGAAGGAAGTTGTCTACCCGCGTCTCATCAGCATTTATCCACAAGCATTATAAGCAAGAGCAATAAATATAACTACAGCTAGCTGGCTTGGTAACAGCTTCTTAAGGAATCACTTGACTCACCTTTGGCGTAAATTTGCAATGATATTACAGCCTTGGCCTCGCCATGGCAATTGCTGGCTATAACTGAGTAAGTGCCGGTAAAGTCCAATTTGGCGCTGGGTATCTCCAAACGATACTCCGGCCCCTCGCCAATGCGTCGAAAGTGTGGCGCGTCCTTGTAGTACTCCGGCTGCAATTAAAGAAATAATAAATAATTTGTTTTTATTAATTGACACTTTGGAATGCTATAAACTGCAGCCATAAGGATCGTCACAGATCACTGAATGAATGAATCATGTGACTCTTATATGTATGTTCTTTATTCATGATATATGCATTGCAGCTGTTGCTGCTGCTGCTGTTGTTATTGTTGTTGTTGTGCACAGCTTATGGCCATATAAGCACAAAATTTAATTTCGCGACTGTCAATAGGAAAACTGGTAACTGGAACTCGTACGAGTGTGTTGCTGCTGTTTGTTTGTGTTTAGTAGTGTGTTGGGTTGCCCACCCTGACCTCCTGCTTCCTTGGTACGAACAGCGGCACGATTGTTGGCTAATAATTTTTTGCTCGTTTCTGTTGCTGTTGCTTTTGCCTTTTTGGCTTTGGCTAACAGTCGTAATTGTTTGTACAATCATGTTATTTGATATGGGTTGAACTTGAATTAGCGTTTGACAGCAGATCAGCTTTATAAGAACTAAACTGCCCATGTCTATATATCTACATATGTCAGCATGCATGTGTGTGCCTGTGTGTGTGTGTGTTAATTGTATAACGAGTGCGATTGACTGCGCTACGTGTGACGCAGGTGACAGGTAATTCGAGTAAGCAACAGACGCTGCTGTTGCAGCTAAAAAACTGCATTGTTCTGTCCCCTTTGGGAAAGGGGCATTACAATATAGTCACGCATGTAAAGTATGGGCATTACATAGTATAATTTTGATAAGAATTCGTATGCGTATATGGGTTCTATATATAGTAAAAGCCAGTGTTATTCAATGTATTTTTAAGTTGCGGTTTGATAACGGGTTTACTATAAAGTGATGAATAAATGTAATTAGTTATAGTTGTTATTATTTTTAGTCATTAATTATTTACTATACTCATGTGTGTGTGACTCTTTGTTAAACTACGTCAAAGTGATGTTTACTTAGGTAACTCATTCATCAGGTTGTTCATATCTTATCTAGGATATATTTAGCATATGTGGCAGGTATTTAACTTTTTGCCTAAGCATCTTTACCTTTTGCCAAATCTTGGATTTGTACTTTTTGAACACTTTGTTCGTTTAATTCGGATCAATTGTTGTCTTATAATATATCTTTTGAAGAACTATATCATTTTCGAAATTTATCCGCACGAACAACTGTTGCAAGTTGGCATTTCGCTTGCACTGTAACTGTTTGCAAATGGTTAACACTTTATATATATTTATGTAAATTGTACGGAAATCAAGATGGAAATTGTATTTCCTGAATGTGAGTACGAGCAGGGCCTACAGAACTAGCTAAGGCAGACTGTTTGGTAGTTCTATTTGACGTTGGCGCAGTTGCACTTGAATATTTTATTTTATTTTATTTTATGATATTGCAACGAGATACGAACGCGACGACTACGACCCACATTTGTTGGCGCCGCGTATGCAACTGACTCAAGCAACGTGGTGCTGCGCAAGCGCTTGGAACCTGCCGCTGCTGACGTCACTGCTTGACTGAATACTATATGTCTATATATATTATATAGATACTCACATTTAGAAAATCGCGCAGCCAGACAACGTCGGGCTTGGGATCGCCGACCACCTCGCAGAATATGATGACGTTGTCGCCCTCGTATGCTTCGCTCGAGCGTGGCTTCACGACGAACAGCGGCTCCTTGGAGTAACTGCAGCAGAGTTTCAGAATGTAAATCAAATGAGTTTCCCGCAATTTCTGGACGGAATACTCACGGCATGTCGCCAGTCTTAATGCTGGGTATATCGAGTGCGCGTTGCGTTGTTGCAGCTGCTTCGTTCTCTTCGATGGCCACACGACATATGGTCTCCACCTTGCCCACCACATTGGAGGCGACACACACGTAAATGCCAGCATCGCGTGGCGTAGCCTCGGCAATGATTAGCTCCACATAGCCCGTGGAGTCGAGAGTGGCTGATATGCGACGACTGGGGCGCAGACGCATGCCATTGCGATGCCAGGTGACGCCCACAGCGGGATAAGCTTCCACTTTGGTGGACAGGCGGATTTCGGTGCCCTCGCGGAACACATAGAACGGATCAAGTGGCACATAGAAGTCGGGTGAAATGTACGCGCGTATACCCTTGTCTACCACCAGACAGCTGTGGCAGGAGACAGAGCCCAGTTCATTCTTGGCTGTGCAGGTGTAATTGCCGCTATCGTCTAGCAAGGTGGCTGCTATTTCCAGCGTATAGAACTGACCCTCGGCCGTAATGAGATGTCGTCTATCAGAGCTGATTAGTTGGCCATCCTTGTACCAGAGTATCTCCGGTGCGGGATAGCCCACAATTTGGCAGGTGAGGCGCACCGGATAGGTTACCTGTACGCGACGATCGCGCAGGCGCATTGTGAAAATGGGCAGCGATTCTCCCAGTTCAGCTGGATGGCGTCCATGTGCAATTTCCTTCAGTCTCGAGTCTGCCTCGTATAGCCGTGGATCAGAGACGACTTGCAGCCGAGCAAAGGTAGAGACGCGCCCCTTGGAATTGGTTGCCTCGCAGGTGTAGCGTCCAGAGTCTAGTTCACTAACTGTAGAGATGGTGAGAGCACAGGTGGAGCCAATCTGACGTATCTTGACACGATCGGAGCTGCTGCTCAGCTGTATGCCATCCTTGTACCAGGTGATCTTTGGACGCGGCGCTCCACGCATATTACACTGCAGCGTAAAGGAGGAGCCAAGCAACGCCTTCACTTGGCCAGGCAGTATCTTGACAAACTCCGGCAGGCACTCCACGCCGCCCACTTGCAGCGGGGAGCTAGTCTGAACTGCCGGTCCCCAGCCATAGCGATTTTTAGGCGTCACACGGAAATGGTATTCGACGTTTGGTTTCAGATTGAATGCATCAAAGGAATTAATGGGCGTTAGACCTAACTCGCGCCAATAAGCGCCTCCCTCATGACCGACAATCCATGCCTCCACTTTGTAGGCAATGACCGGCGCCGAGTTGGCGCTGACGGGCTTGCCCCAGGACAACGAGATGTGGGTGGGTCCAGAGTCAACGACCAGCGGCTCCGTGGATATACAGCCAGGTGGATCTGTGTGAATTGTCAATTAAATATATCTTTTGGCAGTTCAAATCAAACACAATACGCCCCGGAGAAATATATATTTTATTTTCGTTTTTTTCTTTTTTCGACTACGTAAATGTATAAGCTGGATTGTTGTGCTTTATATAATACGCTAATTGTATACCATAATAAAATAAGTAAATAAGTCAATCGTTCAGAAATACTAACAAAAGATAAGTTAAATACACGGATAATTTCTTTATGTATTGGACAATCATTGAATCTCACAGGAAATTGCTTTTGAGAAGTTTCTTGATTAACGGCACAGAAGGCAAACAAGTTGGAGTTGAGGCGATCTGCAAAATATATTGGCAAGTCCATGCGCTATATATAATACTTGAGATAAATCTTAAAGTGAAACACGTAATTTTTTTGGTATAACAACGGACAAAATAGATGGGAGAGAAATGCATATGAAGAACATATGGAATGGCAGAACATCTAAAAGTACAGTCTTCAGGTGAAAGGCTGCTGGTCAAAGTGAAGATACAGTGGAATGGAACACGGACACAAATGACTATTATACTCAGATATGTAACAAAAACTTGAACTTAGAGTCAGTAAACTGAGTTGGGATAACTGCACACTGAGAAGAAACATTGGAATGGAACAAATGGAACAGAGACATGGGATTCCGAGTCAAAAACTTTATGGCACACAGCAAGATTATCATACCAAGAGAACAAACAACGGAATGGAACACTTCCAAAAGGCTACTCACCTCTGAAATACGAAGTTTCACTGTAACTGTCCAGGGGTTGGCCCCAGCGTGGTTGCGTTGGGGTTTCAGAGCGCGCGCGCGGGTTAACCTATATAAGTTTTTATTTTTGTAGTCAGAACGATATTATTGTTTATTTGAATGAACACATAGAGTCGGGAAAGTAGACTTAGAGCATAAATATTTTTGATGCATTTAGAGGGAGGCGTTTAAGTTTGCGCAAAGAGTATATATAAATATAATTGAAATAAGCTTTATTCTTTCTTTTTGGGCGTTTTAATCTAGAAAAAGCATAAAGAAATAGAGAGAGAGAAAGAGAATAGCAAAGGTTAGTTAGCAAAAGCATTAGATCAATAGCAAGACATTCAGGCACAGCGACAGCAGACAGCAGATAACAAGTAACACAACACAAGTCTTCGTAGGCAGTACGTACTGTAATTGTGACGAATATTCTGTCCGTGCCAAAGTCGTTGCGTGCAACAACGAAGTAGGTGCCGGAGTCGGAAATCTGCGACTTTTGCACTGTAAATCTGGTGTAGTCATCGGATACCTCTTTGCTAACCCGGTCCGATTGGGTTATATCCTTGGTGCCCTTCATGAACACCACTGTGAATGCCAAGCAAAATATAAATGAAGAAGCTCAAGAGTTGATACGTTTGAGAAGAGCTTACGTTTCGGTTTCGGATCACCCGCAATACGGAAGGACAGCGAGAACGGATCGCCGACGGCGATCTTCATTTCAGTTTCAGGCCTGGACAGGAAGAGGGGTGGTCGTTCGCTCTTCTCAACACCGACAGCGACATCGATGTTGACATTTGACTCAATGCGTCCGAAGGCATTCGAGGCGAGGCAAGTGTAGGTGCCTTCATGCTCAGCCGTGGCGTTCATGATAGCCAGCGTGTAGATGCCACGTTCGTTCATAGTTTTAACATTTGGACCCTCCACAACTTTGCGGCCACGATACCATTTGACTTCAATGGGTGTGCTCGATTGCATGAACTCAGCTGAGATGGCGACGGTGCCGCCATCGCATACGGTCTGATTGCCCAGAGGGGCCAGGAAGTGTGGCTTGTTGGGATCACGATGGAAGAAACCGTGCGTCTTCTCCAGAGTGAAACGTTCGCGTCCCACAAAGTCCACCTGATGGGTCATCTTGTTCTGGGCGCCCTCGTTGGTTGCTATGCAGGAGTATATGCCAGAGTCCTTCTCAACGGGATTGCGTATAATCAGCTTGGAGTAACCGTCGGCCTGATCAATTTGCTGATATTTATCATCATTATTAATAATCTCGTTGCCCTTCATCCATTGGATCTCTGGATGCGGTTGGCCACGCACACGACAATCCAGAACCAACTCATTCTCATTTAGAGAATACGTGTCTGTGAACAAAATATATATGAAATAGTATGATTAATAAATAGGATCACTGAGGAGATCTTGACAAGCGAAAGCGGTTAGAACAGCAGGTATACTGTATGCAGGCGTGTGTTTAGTGTGGACAGCTGCGCGTGTTGCTCGTCCTCAGCTGTGTGGAATACCTCGAATTGGCTGTGCAAATGTACTTGGCATAGATGCCTCTCTGAAATGCTTGTAGACGCGCAGCTGCGCATGGGTTAGGCTCTCGCCAAAGTCGTTGATGGCCGAGCAGGTGTAATTTCCACTGTCATCTGCCACTGCGGCAAAGATCTCCAGCGAAGCCTCACCATTCTGATAGACTGTCTGGTAGCGCGTATCCCTCGGTAGTGGCTTATGGTTCTTCAGCCACTCGATGTGTGTGTTCTCATCGCCAGAAACTGTGCACAGGAAGCGCACATTGGAACCTTCCGATATGGTGCGATCATGCAAATAACTGTGGAACAGTGGCTTGGTCTGAACGACGCTGCGAATGATGCGATTCCCAGCGCGTTGTAAGTCACCATTGCCGTTTACATAGGTAGCAGGACGTGCGTACTCATCCGCCAGCTCACGAGGCTGTGACTGAGACTGAGAGAGCATCACACTTTCATGCTCGTATGTAATGAGACGTTTTAAGTCAGCTGCTCGTATGCACGTGCTGATCGAGTCAATGTGGTCCGGATGCTCGGCATAGCAGGCAAAGATGCCGCAGTCCGAGGATATGGGATTGCGTATGATCAGTTTGCGTTCACCGCCCGGCTCATCCACAATCTTATAGCGATTGTTGCAGATCGTATGATCATCGCGCATCCAGGTAACATTGGGACGCCCGTGGACCTGACAGCTAAGCACAATCTCATTGCGCTGTGCATCGTAGGATTCTGGAAAGCAATTATAGTAAAGTTAGTAAAGGGGAAATAGAGAAAAATCCTATAAGACTTACTCTTAATGCCCTCCACAAAGCTTTGCGGCAGTCGACCGCTCGTCTCATCTAGTACAGTTAGCTGGCCCATGCTCTCCACTGTCTGCTTGCTGTTCCTGACCACGCATCTGTAGTTTCCACTGTCTTCGGCACGGGCATCGTAAATTTCTAGGCTGATAGCACCGTTGATATTGTAAATCTTGTGGCGTGCGTCCTTCGTAATGCGCTCGTCGTCCCTTAGCCAGTGCACGTCCTCAATGAAGCCAGTCACATAGCAAATTAGCTGAGCTTTGTTTCCGCTGCTAATTGTCATTGTCTTGAGACTGGTCTCCAGATTGAGCCGCAATTTGGCCTCCCTCGCCTTGGCCTTGGCCACAGCTGCTGCATTCTCACTCAATGCGCCTTGCGTGGAGTCAGCTTGCTTAACAGTCTGTGGAGGCTGATCGGCCACGGTTTTCTTATCAACTGCACGCTGTCTCACATAATCGGAGGCTTGAACGAATTTGCTGATCTTCATCTGACCATTCTCGCTCTCTGCATAACAGGTGTACAGTCCGGTATCCTCGCTGCCAAAGGAGGTGATGGTCAGCTGTTTGATGCTGTCACTAAGCTCAGCGAACTCATATTTCGCCGTATCTAGGGGCAGCAGTGTATTGTCTCGCTGCCAGTAAATGTTTGGCTTGGGACTGCCCGACACTTTGCACTCGAGCGTAAGGCGATTGTCTTGGGAATGATATGCGTCTGAAAGTTGTACACACAAAAAGACAGCCACAAACAGAATGAGACAAGGACAACATAAAATATGGGATGGGCCATTCTATTCTATTCTAGTATTAAGGACATTTGCTTACAGCAAACCTAAGTCGAGATACATACAACTATGAGCATCAACACTTACTTGGACGCACTTGGTGTCACATTAACAGACAAATAGACAAATAGTTACCCAGTGTTACGCAGATGCCTACCTTTGATGCCCACTGTGAAAGTGGGTGGGATGATTTCAACTTTACCCGTGCTATAAACGAATAGGTTGCAAGTGCTAACAATTTCATTTTCGGAGCCTCGGACACGCAGCGTATATTCGCCAGCGTCCTCTTCTGTGACGCCCACGAGATTGAGCCAAGCAATGCCATCCTGCATGGACATTTTGCTCTTGGGTCCGAAGGTAATTGGCTGATCGCCATGGAACCATTTAGCCGTTGGCTCGGGTCCATCGATGTTCACCATCCATTTGACATTGCTGCCCGACTTGACGGTACGATTGGCTAGGAAGTTGCGGAAATAGAGACGCTTCTTTAGATCTGGCGGCATGGGGACCTCGCGCCTGGAGCTAGTCGCCTCCTCATCATCATTCTTGGGCTTTCGGACTCTCTTCTCGGCCACTTCACCTTCAGCTGCTTCGCCTTCAGCAGCTGGTTCTTCATCCTCACCAGCTGGTTTGGGTGGCGGCCGTCCCTCTCTGGGTGGCGACATCGGACGTACACGAACGCGCGGCTCCACAGTGACCATATGAACAATTTCCGTTTGGCCTTCGCGGTTCTCAGCCTGGCACACGTATTTGCCGCTGTCGGCTGGCTTTGGATGACTGATGAACAGCTCGCATGTGCCATCATCGTGATCCACCTGGTGGTACTTTTCATTGTTCTCAATCTTTACGCCGTCCTTGTACCATGACACTGATGGCGTTGGCAGACCGCGCACATGCACATCCAGTTGGAGCTCGTTGATCTTGCCGTGCAGCGTGTCCTTGATGTTGCGCGTAAAGGTGGGCGGCACGTCACCAGTGCCTGGATCCGCATAGACCTCTAACCTGCAGGAGGTCGATGCCTCGCCAGTTTCGTCGCGTCCCCAGCACTTGTACTCGCCATTGTCCTCCTCGGTGGCGCTGTTGATCTCCAAAAGGCAGAGGCCCTCGCTGTAACGTCCTCGAATCTTGGGTCCATTTTGGATGGGCTCATCGTTCATGAACCACTTCACCTGGGGTTCCTTGGCTTCCAGGAAGCAAGAGATTTTTACCTTGGAGCCTTCGGCCACAACGCGATCCCTCATAGAGGTGGTAAAGTGAATGCCAATATTCTTCTCGCGTCGCTTGCTGGACATGCTAGCCGTATCGGAGGCATAATCCGTGGCTGAGGATACGCCCTCATCTTCGGGTTCGTCCTTCTTGCGGCCACGACGCTTGCCCTTACCCTCCTCACCTTCAGCTTCGGATTCGCCGCCTGCTGGAGCAGCAGCGGGCTTTACAGCTGGCTTTTCCACCTCCTTGGGCCGCATCAAGCTCTTGTCCGCATGGAACACGCCGTGAATATTGTCCGCAATATGCGAAGCCTTGCCCTCAAATAGGACATAATGAGAAATTTCCATTTTGCCAGCACGACTCTCCGCCTTGACTACATATTTGCCGGAATCCTTGTTATCCGGCCGATCAACGATTAGCTCACATGTGCCATCCTGATGCTCGATTATCTGATAGCGACCGCCACTTTGAATCTCAATGCTGTCCTTGAACCACTGCACCTGGGGCGTAGGCTGTCCCCGCACAGCTGTCTCCAGTATAAGTTCATTCGAGTTCAGGTGATAGGTCTCTGGAGGAGGTAGACGTAGTTGAAGCCTTTCAGTAGTCAGTGGTTACATAAACACGCAACACAAAAACCCAACAGCACAACATACAGCGCCAAAGCCATTGCATAATCCCGACAAACAATCGCATTGCACAATTGTCAATATCTTTGATCTATTCATAGATCCAATTAGCTATCGAGTCAGTCGACCGAGACGAGACGAGACGAGACAAATTAGATGCGTTTGGCTCTTACCTTTCAGCGAGCGTATGAACACGGGCTGCACATCGGTGTTGACCTTCGGCTGATAGACATGCAGCACGGCCGATGTGGTGATCTTGCAGAACTCATTCTGGGCTATTATCGTATAGGTGCCAGAGTCCTCCTCCTGTGCGTTTATGAACTCCAGCACAGCCAAGCTGTCGCGATTCATGTTGCGTATACGCGGTCCGTATTGCACGTTTTGTTCATCCTTTTGCCATTTAATGGTCGGCTCGGGTCCGCCAATAACCGCTTGCAATTTGACCTTAGAGCCTTCAGCTACATAGCGATTAGATAGATTGACCGTGAAATAGAGCATTTGCTTAGGTGACGGGTCGGGCATGCGGCTGCGTCGCTCATAGCCGCCCTCGCCGCCTTCGGGCTCGTCTTTCTTGGGCAGCTTCTTCGGTTTGGATTTGCTGGCACCCTCGCCTGTATCCTCCTGCATGGCTGATAAGATGCTAGAGCGGCGTGACGAATGTGTGGTGTCGACAACAACCGTGTGGGTGGTCGACTGACTGCCCAATTTATTCTGGGCGGTGCAGACGTAGATGCCGTTGTCATTCACAGTTGGCTTGTTAACGATCAGCTCGCAGACGCCATCCAAGTGCTCGATTTGCACGACACGATCGTCGAGAACAACGGGTATCTGATCTTTCGTCCACGAGATAACGGGACGAGGATTGCCTCGAACTTTCGTATCGATAATTAAATCATTTTGGGAGGAGTGATACACATCTAAGAAGAAGATCAAACAATTCAATCAACTGTCTGAGCAGCACAAACTATTTTTATACATGCTCGACCTCAATCGAGAACTGTGATCGTTGGAAAACAATCAGTTTCGAATTTTGGCTAATGCTCGTGTTGGCGTTGTAACAAGAAAATGAAGAAGACAACACGAAACGCAACGGATGCAGTTGTAGATACAGATGTAGAGTCAGATACACAGACACAGATACAAAGACAGATACAGATACGTAAAAATACCTCGCAGGGGCAGGGCAAAAATGGGTTCGGACTCGTCGCCATCAGCTTGCGCCGCATACACCTTGAAGTAGCATGAGGTCTCAATTTCGCTTAGATCATTTTTGGCCACGCACTTGTAGACGCCCGAATCGGCCGAAGTGACATTGTTGATCTGTATAATGGCTTTACCCTCTTCGGATAGATTTTTTATATTTTCGCTCATCACTAGCCATTTGTCATCCTTCATCCAGCGTGTATTTGGATCTGGGCCAATTACCGTTGCCGCAAACTTCACAGTTGTGCCCTCCAGTGCCATACGATCGCGCAGCTGCGTGGCGAATTGTAACTTTTGCTTGGCTGGTACGAGTGGCTCTGGTGGTGCACGTGCCGCCTGTACACGCTGCTGTTCGGCCTCGATTTCGGCACGTTTCTGATCCGATTCGGCCTTGGACTTAAGCGCCGCATCCATGGCCACTCTGGCCTGCTTCAAGCTGTCCAATTGGATTCTATCGCGGGCATGGAATATGCCGGGCACATGATAGTGCAGATTCTTGGCCACCTCAACGATTTGATTGATTTGAGCCTCACCGATTGAATTGATGGCTTTCAGGGTATAGGTGCCGCTATCCTTATTGCCAGGCTTATAGATGAGTAGCTTGCAGACGCCATGCGCCTCCTCGAGCATCGTGAACTTATAGCTGGGCTTCACCTGGAAGGCGCCACGCCACCAGGTGACAACAGGACGTGGCACACCGTGCACGTGACCCTCAATGGTCAGTTCATCATCGCGCAAGTGGTAGTACTCTATAGAATATAGTGACAAAGCCTATGAGTTACAGAGATTCAACGAAGAAGGGCTAGGAACAAGTACCTTTGATATACTGTATGGAGGGAGGTTTGGGTTCGTCCTTAAACACTTCGTAAATAGTTACAATACACGATGAGGTAACCTCGTCATTTTGATTCAATATTTGGCAAGAGTACTCGCCAGAGTCCAGTATATTGGTATTAACGACTTCCAGCACTAAAATGTTATTGTTATTAATGATGCGATGATTCGCATCGCGCTCCAGCTGCCTTCCATCCTTAAACCATTTGACGGAGAGTTCGGGTCCATCGACAGCGCAGGCCATGCGCACGCTCTGGCCCGCCTCGACGGTGCGATCGGAGAGGAAGTTAATGAACTTGGGCAGGCGAGCCTGTTCGCGTCGGCGCTGCCAATCGGCATCGCGTTCCTTTTCGCTGACGCGCTTGGCAATGCTGTATTTACGCATCTGCTGCATGAACTCTTCGCCCTCCGTGGCGGCGATGCGCTGCCAGCGCTCCTCTTCATGTGGATCGGGTCGTACGAAGTCATCGGAGGAGTCGCTGCCGCGGCGCTTTTCTTTTTTTAGATCGGGAACCACATCGTCTTCATTCTCTTCTTCCTGTTCCTGATCCTGCTCCTCCAAGTAATCATCTTCATTGTATTCGCCATCGGGAGCAACGGTGCTCTCGTCGCCCTCTTCTGGAATTTCTTCCTCGTCTTCTTCTTGTTCGGCTTCCGCCTCAGCTTCGGCCTCTTCTAATGCCCTCTGTTCAGCTTCAAGACGATCCTGCTCCTCCTTTTCTTCCTTTAAACGCTTTTGACGTTCCTCGAATGTCTCGCCCTTTGGCTTGGCACGGTTAGCCGCTTCCTCGGCTGCCTTGGCTGCTGCTTTGGCCTGTTCCTCCATCTGCAGCACCATCTTGCTCTTTTTTGGAGGCGGCTTGGGTCCAGCAGCGGCTGGCTGATCATACATCTTCTTTGTGGCCTTCTGACCACCGCCCATCTCCAGTTTCAAGGTCAATTTTGGGCTTGGGGATTTCTCCTTTTTCTCCTTCTTCTTGGGTGGAGCCTTCTTTTTGCCCTTTTTAACTGGCTCATCCTCGTCAAGATCAACGCTATCCTCTCTATCGTCGCCAAAGTCTCCAAAGTCTTCCGACTCCGATAGATTACCCGATGGACTCTGCTCCTTATCGATGGACTTGCGAGCCGTGCGCGGCTTTCTGGGTTTTTTCTCCTTCTTTTTCGGCTTAACCTCTTCGATGATTTCCTCCTCCTCTTCGACCTCTTCGTACTCCTCGACTACGTAGATAACCTCAACATTGGACACATCCATTACGGCAGCACGATCGATAACCGACAAATCGGACGTTATGTAACGCACGGGCTTTTGCACATCCATCGACTCGGAAATATCCATGACCAGGGCGCGATCGAAGACGGCAATGTTGCACGTGGTTTGGCTCTTGATGTCCCGACCTAGTTCGAATGGAGTTTTCTCCTTCTCTTCGCGTTTCAGGAATGGCGTTATGCTGCGCCATGTCGAGGGCGTGGCGCTGCGACGCGTCATATACAAGGTGAATGGCGTTTGACTCCGGCCATGTATGGGAGTGGCACTGCGTCCGCGTAAGCTGCCTGGAGTTGGTGACTTTAGTTTTCGTTTCTTTTGCGTTGGCACCTGCAGCGTATCCTGTCCTGCCGCCGCCTCCGGCTCAGCGGATCCCCGAGGCTCGATATCGCCGTCCGTTTCACCCATTTTAATATTTTTCGGCTTATTATCTTTTCACAGGATAACGGGGGTAAATGAAAATTCGTTGGGGAAAAACCGATAAAAAATATATCCGTACGAGCCGTATATATGTATAAATGAATATATATATATATATATATACGATATATGTAACCCGCTACGGTTCGATCGAAAGAGTTTTGATATTTTAGGACGTCAGGCGTCCGTTCGAGGCAAAAGAAGATTCACGACTGTGCGCAATGTGGTGAAAAAATTCGAAAAGACATTCCTTCTCGAATTAAACCTAATTGTCAATCGATTGTTAATGCTAAAAAAACAATTTGACAAATTTCGGTATTGCCTGTATGTATGTACCCTTATATATAAGATATATATATGTACGCTTATTTATATATTCGCTATCCAATTGTTGCCAAAATAAAAATCATTTGAAATAAATCTATTTAAATGCTACAGAGTTTAACTCAATTAATGCAGGCAGTAAACTCAATTATATAAATGTCATTCGAATTTCGATAAGCTATTAATAGAGTGCTGAACTAAACTTAAATAATAATATAATGAAACTATAAATGATCTTTAGCTTCTGATAAGCTCAAAGGGAAAATCGTTGGCTTGCCAATTACCTCTATATACTTAGCTCGAAAATGTATATAGTATTTAGTATATTCGTAGCTATTTCCTATTTACTTGGGTGCTTAATGTCAAATTGTATTGATTCACATTTGTAATGTGACGTTAATTTTAATTTGGGGCACTAAATCACTGGGTTGCATAGGTAAGAAAGGCACTTACCTCGTATGTTGCGTGTAAATATTGGCGGTGTGCCAAATTTGGTTGAAGGTGCTTCGTATATAGTCACAAGACAGCTCGTTTCCACCTCTCCATTTCGATTAGACGCTATGCAACGATATATGCCAGAATCATTCATTTCTGTTGATTTGATTTCAAGGCAGGATAGACCATCATTCAAGGTTATTTTGTACTTGGCATCGTTAGCAATGGGACTATTCTGCTTGAACCACTGCACTCTCATATCGTGACCAGAAATTCCACATGTCAACTTAAGATCACTGCCGGTTGCCGAGTTACGATTGGTTAGCATTAGATCTACAGTTGGCTTGCGCTTAGCGCTTCGCGATTCTTTTCTTTCCCGATACTCAGACTCCATAGATTTATATGTTTTGGTTTGAAGACTTATTGACTCTTCAGATTCAACAAGCTCCGATGTTATCCTGTCAGGTCTTCTCTCTGCTGTATCACTTAAGCTATGTGATATGTTTTCATTCAAGCTCTTTTGCTTGTGTTCATCAATAGCTTGCTGTTCTTGCACTCCTACTTCGCTATCTCCAGGCTTCTTTGTCTCTGGGCTCTTTTCTATTTCAGATACATTCTCAGATATGCCAACTTGTTCTATTTTCTTTTGCGGTTCCCTTTCGGTAACCGACTCCTTATCCTTTGGTGTTTTAGTCTCCGCAACCGTTTCATCACATACTTCCACTTGCTGGGCTTTCTTTTCAGCTTGTTTCTTCTTTTTCTCATTCAGTTTACTCTCTTTGATTTGCTCTTGCTCAAGTACGCTTGCCATTTGAGACTCAGCTTCAGAATCCTTAATTTCAGGCTTCTTACTCTCGAGTACCTTTTCTTCGGATAATTTCTCAGCAACAACTTCAGATACTTCTCCCTTTTGAGCCTTCTCTTCGGCATCCTTTTCAGTTTGTTTCTTCTTTTTCGCATCTAGTTTCTGCTCTTCAATTGATTCCTTATCAAGTACCTTTGCCTTTTGAGACTCAGTTTCAGAATCCTTCAATTCAGGCTTCTTACTCTCAGGTACCTTTTCTTCGGATAATTGCTCAGCAACAACTTCAGATACTTCTCCCTTTTGAGCCTTCTCTTCGGCATCCTTTTCAGCTTGTTTCTTCTTTTTCGCATCTAGTTTCTGCTTTTCGATTGATTCCTTATCAAGTACCTTTGCCTTTTGAGACTCAGTTTCAGAATCCTTTACTTCAGGCTTCTTACTTTCAGGGACTTTCTCTTCGGATAATTTCTCAGCAAGGACTTCAGATACTTCTCCCTGTTGGGCCTTCTTTACAGCATCCTTTTCAGCTTGTTTCTTCTTTTTCGCATCCAGTTTCTTCTGTTCGACTTGCTCTTGCTCAAGTACCTTTGCCTTTTGAGACTCAGTTTCAGAATCCTTCACTTCAGGCTTCTTACTCTCAGGTACCTTTTCTTCGGATAATTTCTCAGCAACGACTTCAGATACTTCTCCCTGTTGGGTCTTCTTTTCGGCATCCTTTTCAGTTTGTTTCTTCTTTTTCGCATCTAGTTTCTGCTCTTCAATTGATTCCTTATCAAGTACCTTTGCCTTTTGAGACTCAGTTTCAGAATCCTTCAATTCAGGCTTCATACTCTCAGGTACCTTTTCTTCGGATAATTTCTCAGCAACGACTTCAGATACTTCGCCCTGTTGGGTCTTCTTTTCGGCATCCTTTTTAGCTTGTTTCTTCTTTTTCGCATCTAGTTTCTGCTCTTCAATTGATTCCTTATCAAGTACCTTTGCCTTTTGAGACTCAGTTTCAGAATCCTTCAATTCAGGCTTCTTACTCTCAGGTACCTTTTCTTCGGATAATTGCTCAGCAACAACTTCAGATACTTCTCCCTTTTGAGACTTCTTTTCGGCATCCTTTTCAGCTTGTTTCTTCTTTTTCGCATCTAGTTTCTGCTTTTCGATTGATTCCTTATCAAGTACCTTTGCCTTTTGAGACTCAGTTTCAGAATCCTTTACTTCAGGCTTCTTACTTTCAGGGACTTTCTCTTCGGATAATTTCTCAGCAAGGACTTCAGATACTTCTCCCTGTTGGGCCTTCTTTTCAGCATCCTTTTCAGCTTGTTTTTTCTTTTTCGCATCCAGTTTCTTCTGTTCGATTTGCTCTTGCTCAAGTACCTTTGCCTTTTGAGACTCAGTTTCAGAATCCTTCACTTCAGGCTTCTTACTCTCAGGTACCTTTTCTTCGGATAATTTCTCAGCAACGACTTCAGATACTTCTGTCTTGTGAGCCTTCTTTTCGGCATCCTTTTCAGTTTGTTTCTTCTTTTTCGCATCTAGTTTCTGCTCTTCAATTGATTCCTTATCAAGTACCTTTGCCTTTTGAGACTCAGTTTCAGAATCCTTCAATTCAGGCTTCTTACTCTCAGGTACCTTTTCTTCGGATAATTTCTCAGCAACGACTTCAGATACTTCTCCCTTTTGAGCCTTCTTTTCGGCATCCTTTTCAGCTTGTTTCTTCTTTTTCGCATCTAGTTTCTGCTCTTCAATTGATTCCTTATCAAGTACCTTTGCCTTTTGAGACTCAGTTTCAGAATCCTTCAATTCAGGCTTCTTACTCTCAGGTACCTTTTCTTCGGATAATTTCTCAGCAACGACTTCAGATACTTCTCCCTGTTGGGCCTTCTTTTCGGCATCCTTTTCAGCTTGTTTCTTCTTTTTCGTATCTAGTTTCTGCTCTTCAATTGATTCCTTATCAAGTACCTTTGCCTTTTGAGACTCAGTTTCAGAATCCTTCACTTCAGGCTTCTTACTTTCAGGGACTTTCTCTTCGGATAATTTCTCAGCAACGACTTCAGATACTTCTCCCTGTTGGGCCTTCTTTTCGGCATCCTTTTCAGCTTGTTTCTTCTTTTTCGTATCTAGTTTCTGCTCTTCAATTGATTCCTTTTCAAGTACCTTTGCTTTTTGAGACTCAGTCTCAGTATCCTTGCCGTCAGGTTTATCTTTTTGAATTTTTGGAATTTGCTCTTCAACGAGACTTTCAGCAATTAAATCTTTGTCGAGCTGCTGCAACTTTTCGCTAACATTTAATATTTCTTTGGTAATGTTAAGAATTTTTCCTTCAATAGTTGCCGTTTGGAGTTGTCCCTGTTTTTTCTCAATATAATCATATTCTGATAGAAGAACAGATTTGATATGCTCAATAGCAGGTTTTAATATTGCTGTTTTATCATCCATGAGGTCATCGAATAATACAAAAATATCCATTAAGGTTTGTTGTAATTGGATCATCTTTTGAGAAGACTTTTCAATATGCAGATTAGACCTGATGTCTTCTGAAATAGCTTCAAGCTGTAGAAGTTTTGGTGCTATTAACGATGATTTTACACCCAATTCAGTACCGCCAATAAGTTTAAGCGCAGCTTTGCTTAGTATTATATTTGTCTTGATTTCTTTCAAGTAACTTTCGATTATTTTCTCCGAAGCAGTTGGAGACGCCTCAAGAAGTGAATCAATAAATGCTTCTATAATATCTTTTTCATTGTGTTCATCAAATGACTTTCCGTCGTACGTATGAACAATGTGCTCTCGGAGCTTGAATATGGACTTAGCAACTTTGTCATCGTCTTCTAGATTTTCAATTATATGATTATTTTCCGTAAGAATGGCTCGGAAGGTTTCATTCGAAATTTGCGATTCAGAAAGCTTAACTACTTCCAAAAATTTGGCTTGCAAATCATCTTTTTGCGACTTATATTTTTCTATCTGTTCCTTTTCCTTCGCATCTAGTTTCTGCTCTTCAATTGATTCCTTTTCAAGTACCTTTGCCTTTTGAGACTCAGTTTCCGAATCCTTCAATTCAGGCTTCTCACTTTCAGGAACTTTCTCTTCGGATAATTTCTCAGCAACAACTTCGGATACTTCTGCCCTTTGAGCCTTCTTTTCGGCATCCTTTTCAGCTTGTTTCTTATATTCTGCATCTAGTTTCTGCTCTTCAATTGATTCCTTATCAAGTACCTTTGCCTTTTGAGACTCAGTTTCCGAATCCTTCAATTCAGGCTTCTCACTTTCAGGAACTTTCTCTTCGGATAATTTCTCAGCAACAACTTCGGATACTTCTGCCCTTTGAGCCTTCTTTTCGGCATCCTTTTCAGCTTGTTTCTTATGTTCTGCATCTAGTTTCTGCTCTTCAATTGATTCCTTATCAAGTACCTTTGCCTTTTGAGACTCAGTTTCAGAATCCTTCACTTCAGGCTTCTTACTTTCAGGGACTTTCTCTTCGCATAATTTCTCAGCAACGACTTCAGATAGTTCTCCCTTTTGAGCTTTCTTTTCGGCATCCTTTTCAGCTTGTTTATTCTTTTTCGCATCTAGTTTCTGCTCTTCAATTGATTCCTTATCAAGTACCTTTGCCTTTTGAGACTCAGTTTCAGAATCCTTCACTTCAGGCTTCTTACTTTCAGGGACTTTCTCTTCGGATAATTTCTCAGCAACGACTTCAGATACTTCGCCCTGTTGGGTATTCTTTTCGGCATCCTTTTCAGCTTGTTTCTGCTTTTGCTCATCTAGTTTCTGCTCTTCAATTGATTCTTTTTCAAGTACCTTTGCCTTTTGAGACTCAGTTTCAGAATCCTTAATTTCAGGCTTCTTACTTTCGGTTACCTTCTCTTCGGATAATTTCTCAGCAACAACTTCAGATACTTCTCCCTGTTGGGCCTTCTTTTCGGCATCCTTTTCAGCTTGTTTCTTATGTTCTGCATCTAGTTTCTGCTCTTCAATTGATTCCTTATCAAGTACCTTTGCCTTTTGAGACTCAGTTTCAGAATCCTTCACTTCAGGCTTCTTACTCTCAGGTACCTTTTCTTCGGATAATTTTTCAGCAACAACTTCAGATACTTCTGCCTTGTGAGCCTTCTTTTCGGCATCCTTTTCAGCTTGTTTCTTATGTTCTGCATCTAGATTCTGCTCTTCAATTGATTTTTTTTCAAGTACCTTTGCCTTTTGAGACTCAGTTTCAGAATCCTTCACTTCAGGCTTCTTACTTTCAGGGACTTTCTCTTCGGATAATTTCTCAGCAACGACTTCAGATACTTCGCCCTGTTGGGTCTTCTTTTCGGCATCCTTTTCAGCTTGTTTCTGCTTTTGCTCATCTAGTTTCTGCTCTTCAATTGATTCCTTTTCAAGTACCTTTGCCTTTTGAGACTCAGTTTCAGAATCCTTCACTTCAGGCTTCTTACTTTCAGGGACTTTCTCTTCGGATAATTTGTCTGCAACGACTTCAGATACTTCTCCCTTTTGAGCCTTCTTTTCGGCATCCTTTTCAGCTTGTTTCTGCTTTTGCTCATCTAGTTTCTGCTCTTCAATTGATTCCTTTTCAAGTAGCTTTGCCTTTTGAGACTCAGTTTCAGAATCCTTAATTTCAGGCTTCTTACTTTCGGGTACCTTCCCTTCGGATAATTTCTCAGCAACAACTTCAGATACTTCTCCCTGTTGGGCCTTCTTTTCAGCATCCTTTTCAGCTTGTTTCTTCTTTTTCGCATCCAGTTTCTTCTGTTCGATTTGCTCTTGCTCAAGTACCTTTGCGTTTTGAGACTCAGTTTCAGAATCCTTCACTTCAGGCTTCTTACTATCAGGTACCTTTTCTTCGGATAATTTCTCAGCAACGACTTCAGATACTTCTCCCTTTTGAGCCTTCTTTTCGGCATCCTTTTCAGCTTGTTTCTGCTTTTGCTCATCTAGTTTCTGCTCTTCAATTGATTCCTTTTCAAGTAGCTTTGCCTTTTGAGACTCAGTTTCAGAATCCTTAATTTCAGGCTTCTTACTTTCGGGTACCTTCTCTTCGGATAATTTCTCAGCAACGACTTCTGATACTTCGCCCTGTTGGGTCTTCTTTTCGGCATCCTTTTCAGCTTGTTTCTGCTTTTGCTCATCTAGTTTCTGCTCTTCAATTGATTCCTTTTCAAGTAGCTTTGCCTTTTGAGACTCAGTTTCAGAATCCTTAATTTCAGGCTTCTTACTTTCGGGTACCTTCTCTTCGGATAATTTCTCAGCAACGACTTCAGATACTTCGCCCTGTTGGGTCTTCTTTTCGGCATCCTTTTCAGCTTGTTTCTGCTTTTGCTCATCTAGTTTCTGCTCTTCAATTGATTCCTTTTCAAGTAGCTTTGCCTTTTGAGACTCAGTTTCAGAATCCTTAATTTCAGGCTTCTTACTTTCGGGTACCTTCTCTTCGGATAATTTCTCAGCAACAACTTCAGATACTTCTCCCTGTTGGGCCTTCTTTTCAGCATCCTTTTCAGCTTGTTTCTTCTTTTTCGCATCTAGTTTCTGCTCTTCAATTGATTCTTTTTCAAGTACCTTTGCCTTTTGAGACTCAGTTTCAGAATCCTTCAATTCGGGCTTCTTACTTTCAGGGACTTTCTCTTCGGATAATTTCTCAGCAACGACTTCAGATACTTCTCCCTGTTGGGCCTTCTTTTCAGCATCTTTTTCAGCTTGTTTCTTCTTTTTCGCATCCAGTTTCTTCTGTTCGATTTGCTCTTGCTCAAGTACCATTGCCTTTTGAGACTCAGTTTCAGAATCCTTAATTTCAGGCTTCTTACTTTCGGGTACCTTTTCTTCGGATAATTTCTCAGCAACGACTTCAGATACTTCTCCCTGTTGGGCCTTCTTTTCGGCATCCTTTTCAGCTTGTTTCTTCTTTTTCGTATCTAGTTTCTGCTCTTCAATTGATTCCTTTTCAAGTACCTTTGCTTTTTGAGACTCAGTCTCAGTATCCTTGCCGTCAGGTTTATCTTTTTGAATTTTTGGAATTTGCTCTTCAACGAGACTTTCAGCAATTAAATCTTTGTCGAGCTGCTGCAACTTTTCGCTAACATTTAATATTTCTTTGGTAATGTTAAGAATTTTTCCTTCAATAGTTGCCGTTTGGAGTTGTCCCTGTTTTTTCTCAATATAATCATATTCTGATAGAAGAACAGATTTGATATGCTCAATAGCAGGTTTTAATATTGCTGTTTTATCATCCATGAGGTCATCGAATAATACAAAAATATCCATTAAGGTTTGTTGTAATTGGATCATCTTTTGAGAAGACTTTTCAATATGCAGATTAGACCTGATGTCTTCTGAAATAGCTTCAAGCTGTAGAAGTTTTGGTGCTATTAACGATGATTTTACACCCAATTCAGTACCGCCAATAAGTTTAAGCGCAGCTTTGCTTAGTATTATATTTGTCTTGATTTCTTTCAAGTAACTTTCGATTATTTTCTCCGAAGCAGTTGGAGACGCCTCAAGAAGTGAATCAATAAATGCTTCTATAATATCTTTTTCATTGTGTTCATCAAATGACTTTCCGTCGTACGTATGAACAATGTGCTCTCGGAGCTTGAATATGGACTTAGCAACTTTGTCATCGTCTTCTAGATTTTCAATTATATCATTACTTTCCGTAAGAATGGCTCGGAAGGTTTCATTCGAAATTTGCGATTCAGAAAGCTTAACTACTTCCAAAAATTTGGCTTGCAAATCATCTTTTTGCGACTTATATTTTTCTATCTGTTCCTTTTCCTTCGTATCTCTTTTCTGCTCTTCGATTGATTCCTTTTGAAGTACTTTTGCCTTTTGAGACTCAGTTTCAGAATCCTTCAATTCAGGCTTCTTACTTTCGGGTACCTTTTCTTCGGATAATTTTTCAGCAACAACTTCAGATACTTCTCCCTGTTGGGCCTTCTTTTCAGCATCCTTTTCAGCTTGTTTCTGCTTTTTCGCATCTAGTTTCTGCTCTTCAATTAATTCCTTTTCAAGTACCTTTGCCTTTTGAGGCTCTGATTCAGAAGGCTTCACTTCAGGCTTTTCACTTTCAGGGACTTTCTCTTGGGATAATTTCTCAGCAACAACTTCAGTCTCAGAATCCTTGCCGTCAGGTTTATCTTCTTGAATTGTTGGTATTTGCTCTTTAACGAGACTTTCAGCAATTAAGTCTTTGTTGAGCTGTTGCAACTTTTCGCTAACATTTAATATTTCTTTGGTAATGTTATGAATTTTTCCTTCAATAGTTGCAGTTAGGATTTGGCCCTGCTTATTCTCAATATAATCATATTCTAATAGAAGAACAGATTTAAGTTGTTCTATAAGAGGCTTTAAGCCAGTTGTGTTGTCTTCCAAAAGGTCATCAAGTATTAGAAAAGTGTCCATTAGGTTTTGTTGTAGATGAATCATCATTTCTGACGACTTCTCAATATGCTGCTCAGATTTTATATTTTTTGCAATACTTTCCAAATTCATTATTTTTGGTATCAACAATGATGGCTTAGTAAACATATCAGTCTCGTCAATTAGTTGAACGGCAGCTTTTGTTAAAATTACGTTTGCTTCAATTTCTTTAATGAAATGGTTGATTATAATTTCTGCTGCAGTTGGAGAAGCTTCAAGGAGAGATTCGATAAATGTTTCTACCATTTCTTTATCTTTAAGTTCTTCACCCGCTTTTCCATCGTATGTATGAACAATGTGCTCTCGGAGCTTGAATATGGACTTAGCAACTTTGTCATCGTCTTCTAGATTTTCAATTATATGATTACTTTCCGTAAGAATGGCTCGGAAGCTTTCATTCGAAATTTGCGATTCAGAAACCTTAACCATTTCCAAAAATTTGGCTTGCAAATCATATTTTGCTTTGATTTCAGACTTCTTAATATCGGGTACCTTTTCTTCGGATAATTTCTCAGCAACAATTTCAGATACTTCTGCCTTGTGAGCCTTCTTTTCGGCATCCTTTTCAGCTTGTTTCTTCTTTTTTGCATCTAGTTTCTGCTTTTCAATTGATTCCTTTTCAAGTACCTTTGCCTTTTGAGACTCAGTTTCAGAATCCTTCACTTCAGGCTTCTTACTTTCAGGGACTTTCTCTTCGGATAATTTCTCAGCAACGACTTCAGATACTTCTCCCTGTTGGGCCTTCTCTTCAGCATCCTTTTCAGCTTGTTTCTTCTTTTTCGCATCCAGTTTCTTCTGTTCGATTTGCTCTTGCTCAAGTACCTTTGCCTTTTGAGACTCAGTTTCAGAATCCTTCACTTCAGGCTTCTTACTTTCAGGGGCTTTCTCTTCGGATAATTTCTCAGCAACGACTTCAGATACTTCTCCCTGTTGGGCCTTCTTTTCGGCATCCTTTTCAGCTTGTTTCTGCTTTTGCTCATCTAGTTTCTGCTCTTCAATTGATTCTTTTTCAAGTACCTTTGCCTTTTGAGACTCAGTTTCAGAATCCTTCAATTCGGGCTTCTTACTTTCAGGGACTTTCTCTTCGGATAATTTCTCAGCAACAACTTCAGAGACTTCTCCCTGTTGGGCCTTCTTTTCAGCATCCTTTTCAGCTTGTTTCTTCTTTTTCGCATCCAGTTTCTTCTGTTCGATTTGCTCTTGCTCAAGTACCTTTGCCTTTTGAGACTCAGTTTCAGAATCCTTCACTTCAGGCTTCTTACTTTCAGGGACTTTCTCTTCGGATAATTTCTCAGCAACGACTTCAGATACTTCTCCCTGTTGGGCCTTCTTTTCGGCATCCTTTTCAGCTTGTTTCTTCTTTTTCGTATCTAGTTTCTGCTCTTCAATTGATTCCTTTTCAAGTACCTTTGCTTTTTGAGACTCAGTCTCAGTGTCCTTGCCGTCAGGTTTATCTTTTTGAATTTTTGGAATTTGCTCTTCAACGAGACTTTCAGCAATTAAATCTTTGTCGAGCTGCTGCAACTTTTCGCTAACATTTAATATTTCTTTGGTAATGTTAAGAATTTTTCCTTCAATAGTTGCCGTTTGGAGTTGTCCCTGTTTTTTCTCAATATAATCATATTCTGATAGAAGAACAGATTTGATATGCTCAATAGCAGGTTTTAATATTGCTGTTTTATCATCCATGAGGTCATCGAATAATACAAAAATATCCATTAAGGTTTGTTGTAATTGGATCATCTTTTGAGAAGACTTTTCAATATGCAGATTAGACCTGATGTCTTCTGAAATAGCTTCAAGCTGTAGAAGTTTTGGTGCTATTAACGATGATTTTACACCCAATTCAGTACCGCCAATAAGTTTAAGCGCAGCTTTGCTTAGTATTATATTAGTCTTGATTTCTTTCAAGTAACTTTCGATTATTTTCTCCGAAGCAGTTGGAGACGCCTCAAGAAGTGAATCAATAAATGCTTCTATAATATTTTGATCAGTTTGGTCTTGAGGTGATTTTCCGTCATACGTATGAACAATGTGCTCTCGGAGTTTAAATATTCCTTTGACGATTTTATTAGAGTCTTCCAAGTTTTCCATAATCTCTTTGCAGTCGTTTATAACTGATGTTCCTTCAGGCTTATTTGATTTCGATTCTATCACACTGCACAAGTCTGAGAATTTGATATTTAAGGTCCGTTTTAATTCTCGGTCTTTCTCAATGGGAGTTACAATTTCAGTTTTCTCTTGTAGATCTGGTACTTCAATGGCCTTTGCGTCGATTTCATCTTTGGGTTTTTTGGTTGAAATTTCCTTTAAATCTTCTTCTAGTTTTCGTTTGACCTTCATTTCTGATTTGTCCTGGACAACATTCGCTTGCTCCAATTTCTCTTCAACTTCCTGGGCGGACCTATCTTCTGCCTGTTTATCGGTAAGCGTGGCACTTAATTGAATTAGCTTTTCGTGAAGATTGTTTATTTGCAGCTGAAGAGTCTCGATTAGATAAAGCTGCTCTGATGTAATTTGCGACAGCTGGGGCTGAGAAAGAATATCACTTTCAATTCGAATAAGCGTAGCTTCCAGTTGACCGATTTCGTCAGTGTTTTCTTCAAGAAGCTTGGCGCTCAGTGGATTATCGTTCTGTAAGCCCTGTTCGATTTCAGTTAGGAACGCTTTGCCCGAAGCAACGTTTTCAATTATTGCACTGATGTCAATCGGCGATGTGGATGCGACTGAAACTAAGGTCAAGTTCTTGAGGTCCGCGGATATGGCATCGATCTCTTGTAGCAATTCTATGATGCGTATTGCACTTTCATTATTCTCAATGAAATCAAAGACGCCAACGAGACTGCTTTGAGTCTTCAGTAGTCCACTCAATAAATCGTTTTCAGCCTTTTCGCTAACCTCGTTGAGTGCTCTGAACGTGGACATCAGATTGGACTGGAGATTAATCATTAAGGTCGATGATTTATCAACATCAACATTAGGGGAAATGGCCACGGCTCTGATCGATTCTAACAGCTTTTTAAAGCTGCTCTGCACATTGCCCAGCGACTGTTGCTGGGCGTAGGACATGAAGTGCTCAAAGGTATTTTCGATTTTGGAATACATCTCTTGAGCCAGCTGCGTCTCCAGCATTGGTAGAGAAAGTAGAATATCTTCGAAAGCGCTTTCCACATTATCTAAGGAATCAACCAGACCCGATTCGTAGGTGTGCACCAAACACTCCTTCAATTTAAACATGGTTCGTGCGATTTTAGCCTGAGCCAATACAGTTTCCTGCTGATCGTTGCCCGAGACGAGCGCCTCCTGAATATTCTTCAAATCAGAGTTTAGCTGTTGCATTATTTCGCTGACTTGACGTAGCTCCTCATGGTTTTCGCTTTTGGTTACTTCCAGGCAAGCCTCAAGTTGCTTGATGCCACTTTGCACGCCCTGTTGCACGTCGAAGACTTCGACTTTTGGCTCTGCAACGATGACAGCTGCCTGCTTGACAACACTCTCAACTGTCTGCTGTTGCCCGCTGGTCTTCAGCTCGGATAAATTCTGAGAGGACATATCGAGTGCCTGTTCCACTGCTTGAATATCAATTTGCTCACAATATTGCCTAAGATCGTGCAGTGGCGTGGCCAATGTCTTGAGCTTAGATATCTCCAGATCCTTTAGGCTTTCCGCCCCACTGTGCGCCATACATTCCTCCACCTCGAGGACACAGCGCTCCAAGCTGCACATGGCTGCGGCAAAAGTGCCTGGATCAGTGCCTTCGGAGAAGGATTGGGCAGCCTCCACAAGGTTTGTTTCTTGCACCAGCGCAATGTTGCTCTGCAGCTCGTGCATTTTAATGATAGCCGCTTGCAGTTGTTCACCTGTTTCTGCCCGTAAGGAGCTCACGTCCAGATCTTCACAATGCGACAGAACAGCAGCAATGCCATGATTCAGATCTGAGAGCAACTGCTCAGCTGGCTTCTTCAGTGTTTCTTCACTCTGCTTCAGCCCCTCTTCTGTAGTATATGCCTCTGGTTCAGTGGGCAACGATTCAGCTAAGGATTTGAGCACAGACACATCATCCAGTGTGGATACGTCTTCGCTGGACAGCTTCAGTGGCTGAAGCTTTTCGAGTGCCTGTACGAAACTTGAGAGCGGACTCGATATGGCAAGCGCATTCCATGTAAGCGTTTCATCCAAAACTTCTCGCTGCTGGGCAACAATATCGTTAAAATGGTTCAGGACTTCGTTAAATTCATTAATGTCAGCAGCTGGATTATCGAGTGTCTTGGCCAGATCTGCAAAGCTCTTGCCCATCTCATATAAGATGCGTATGGTTTGAGCTTCATTAGGGTTAAGCGTGTTCTCCGCCTCACTGAAGGTCGCCAGTCCCTTGGCGATTTGTAAGATTCTCAAGAGCGAAACCTGAGCCTCGTTCGCCGAAGATTTGATCTTGGAAGTTATCTTGGTATTCTCATTAATTCTGTTTAATGCCAGCTGCAGTGTTTCGATGTTGCCAATCGACTCCTCCAGTGAGACCTTCGTCTCCAGAACTTTGCGCAATGCACTGAAGGATTTGTCCTGCTGTGCCGCCAGCTGTTCGTCCTGTTGAATCTCCTGCTGCAGAATCTTGAACTCATGCTCCTCGATATCAATAATAGCATTGCGTATTATGTTGCGTATGTTTTCGAGGTACTGAAGCGCCTGCTTATCCGGCTCGCCAGCCCTTGAGGCCAAGAGCAGTCCTTGTCCCTGCTGCGTGTTCTCCTGCAGCAGACTGAGAGGCTCGATCAGATCGGCTAAAGATCCAGAGGTAGACTTCACCTCTGTCTGGCGTATGCAATAATTCAGCTCGTCAATAGGACGCTTCAGCTTATCAAGCAGCTCCACATGATGCCGCGTTATATCTTTGTCCAAAATGGTGCCAATCAGAGCGGACAACTCATCCTTCAAGTTTTGTAAGCGAATCTTTACATTGTCGCTGAGCCGTTCCGAAATTCGTTCAATATTCGTTTCGAAATGCAGAACTGCTTGGGCAATGGATTGCAATAGCTTCTGGGTGTCTGCCAAATCCAGTTTGGCACCCTCTCTAGCTGCCTGACCACTCTCCAGATCCTGACCCAATTGCGCCAGTCCATTCTGAATCTCTTGCAGTGGCGGCACCATGGACTCCACTGTGCTTACGGTAAACATGCCAGCCTCCACGCTATCCGATTTCTCATTAAGTATCAGCTCCAATCCCTTATTGAGCTCGAACAGCGGCGGCGTTACAATATCCAAAATGGCCATGTTAATCTTCTGCTCCATGGACTCGGAACCAGCGAGAGACTCTGTCTTATCTTCAATTGATTGAAGTGTGCTCTGCAGCTCTTTTATGGGCTCCACAATGCTATCCAGCACCTTCTTGTGCACCTTCTTGTAGATTTGCTCCTCACTCTCCTCCATGGAGAGCTCCATTTCAACGCGCTCGAGAGCTTCCTGTATTTTTGCTACTGGCTGACAGATTTCCTTCAAGGCGCTCGCTTCGCTAGGTAAGTTGGCTTCCGTAATGGAAGCAAATGAAATGCTATCGGGTACATCCTGCATCTTCTCCACGGTCTCTGTAAAATGCTTGGCTGCTTCCAGTTCTTGGGCTTCCTGCAGCAGAGCCTGCGATCGAATGGTGCCCTGGGTTATTTCCAGGCCCTGGTGTATATCATCGGCAGTTAAATTGATTTGATTTCGCAAGCTCTCCGATTCGAACTTTTCGCTGACAATCTTGAGCTCCTCGAGCGCCCGCTTCATGTGCTCGGCTACGCTGTCGATAATGCAGACGCTTGTCCTTTGGATGAGCGTGGCGCCCGTCTCATCTATTTCCACACACTTCTCAATCACCTGGAGGCCCATGTGCAGCCTGCGTATGTCGTCGTCCATGGTCTGGATTAGTGCATCGATTTGGGTCTCGCCCGAGTAGACACGCAGCTTCGACTCGATCTGTTTGATGGGCTCTATAATGTCTCGGATGATGGCAATACTTTGATCAGCAGCCGCTGGCGTCATCATCATGGTGGACTGATCCAATACCTCCGCCTCGACCACAGTCAAATGATTTTCAATGACTCTCAGTAATTTGGCTAGTGGCACCAAAGCCATAAGATTCTTGTTGATCTCGGCCTCATCGGTCACGGCCTTCATCTGTGAAGCTGGCTGCATCATTAAGCCATCACCCACAGCGCCCGAGATGTCCTGTAGCTTGGCATCGTCTTCAGTCGTCTTCGAGGAATCGCTATCCGTGGGTTTCTTGGACTTCTTACGCTTCGGTGGTGCGGCAACAGCTGCTTCGCGCTCGCTAGATAGAGCCGCCTTCTGCGATGTGGACATCTGTGCACTGGCGAAAGTTTGCAGATCAGATGTCTCCTCCTCACCCTGGCTGCCCGACCCGGATGCTTTGGATAAACTGTAGAATTCATCAGTTTCTGTCGGTCGCGACTTCTTGCGCTTTCGTATCGGTGCTGATAAAGACAGCTCCTCCTCCATTTTTTCAAACGATTGCTGAGCGTATTTCTCAGTTGCCTTGTCGAAGACTCCCTCCCTGCCCGAGGAGCCGTGCACTGTGATCTCAGTGATTGATATATCATCCATGCCCGCCTCGGTGCGCAGATCCTCGTCGTGTGTGAAGTACTCGGGCGCAATGTCTATAACGACTGCCTCCATAAGCAGCTTGCCGGACTGTGAAGTCTCCTTTACGAAGCGCAGTGGCGGCAGCTCCACAATATTGTGCTCCGTCACGTGCTCCGATATTTGGTCCGCATACATCTCGACGATCTTCAGGGCCTCCTCTTCCGTTAAGTCGGGTGTTTCGTATAGGGACACTGACACTTCTTTGCCATCAAAGGAGAAGGACACATCGCCCTTATCGTCTATGGTTATATCGCCCACTGGCGTCTCATAGAGCTGCGATGTGCGCTCCTCTTGAATGGTGGACAGCGAAAGGTTCCTTTGCAGCTCATTTGCCTCTGACTGTTCAGTTTTCTGCGTTCGCTGCGCATCCTCAAAGCCCAGCAGCGAGGCTGAGCTGGCCACAACGCCCATGCAGTTTCTAGCCTCGCAGGTGTAGGTGCCCAGACAGCAGGTGCCATCCTGGCCAGAAATAATCCTGTGTATGTCGCCCGGCTTCAGTTCCACGCCGTCTTTGTACCACTTGAGCACCGGCTGCGGCACGCCAATGACCTTGCATTCCAGATTGACGGCACCCTCCTCTGTGAGCACTGCGCGCAGACACTCCAGGAATCGGGGCTTCTTGTAGTGCCTCGGTATTTGCAATTTGAGGAAGCACGAGGTAATGCTGGTGCCAAAGTCATTGACGGCCACACACTTCCACTCGGCCTGGTCGACAAACTCTGCCGACTTGATGTCGAGCAGCCAGTCCTCATTCTCGCCCCGATAGTGATTATATCGTTCGTTCGGATCGATGGGCAGCTCGTCCCGGAACCAGCTTAGAATTGGATCAGGTGTAGCCTTGACTACAACTTTAAATTGAAACGGCTCGTTGATCTTGGCATCTGTGCTCTTCAGGCCGGTTACAAATTTGGGCGCTTGATTCTGATGCGTGAAAACCAAACGCTCCTCATCTGTCAGCTGATTCTGTATGTCCTCCACGGTGAGCACCGCTGTGCTGCTTGTCTCGCCCATACAATTGCGTGCTATGCAGCAGTAGGTGCCTAGGGAATTGGTGCCCGTCAGCTGATATACATCGCCGGGCTTCAACTCGTGTCCATCCTTGAACCACTTGAGCACTGGCGTCGGAAAGCCAACTACTTTGCACTCAAAGGAAACCAAACCCTCCTCAGTCAGCACGGCGCGCAGGCTCTCCATGAATCTGGGCTTGCGGTAATTACGGGGAACTGCAAATTAAATATATACAATATTTAGTTAAATATATAGTTTATTGATTATCTGAGCACGCGACTCACTGTCCATGTTGACAACACACGCTGAAATGCCCACACAGCCCTCAAAGCTGGTGACGACGCACTTCCAGTCGCCGGCATCGCACGATTCCGAGGGCTTGATCTCAATCATATAGACGCCAAGGCCATCTTCAATTAGCTTATAGCGCTCACCGGTGTCCACACGTCCATCTTTGTTGTACCAGGTGACGCTCTTGGGCCAAGGCGGCACCACAACTGAGACATAAAAAAAAAATTAAAATCAAATCAAGTATACGTCATGTTGTTCCGCAAGAGAGAGTGGAAGAGCAAGTGTCATGGAGAGCGTGACTGACATTTATCTCTCTCTCTCTCTCTACGTCGTGCGCGCGCTCTCTCCCTCTCCCATTAATCTTTCAGCAATTATTGGTTTTGTTTTGCTCGTCTCATTTGGCGCATGTTGTTGACCCACCTCAACAACAGTCCAAGCATTCCCAGCGAATTCATTAAGTTCAAGTTTCTAGAGCACGAGCACGCTGTCTAAAAACAACACAGATGCCGCTTCAAGCTAACTACATATATCTATATATAGTCCATATGCATAGAAAGGTAGCTCATCTGTGTGTGTGAGTGTGTTCGAATAATAAACAAAAAATGTTTTTGCTCGACTTTTTCTTTTGATTCGGGCACTTTGCCAAGGGGTAGCTGAAATGCCCAACGCTAACGCCAACGCGCTGAGAGCCACTCGCCACTCGCCACTCACCTTGACAGCCGAGTATGATGGTATCACCGATTTGGACGCTCTGGCTCCGCAGCTCATTCGTAAAGATCGGCGGCGGCGCATTGCTGCTAACGCTGAGAATAAGAGAAGAACAGAAAATGAAATTCAATTGATCAGAAGTAGTGAGTGAGGCAGAGCGAGGGAGAGAGAGCTTGGCTACCCACTTGTCGGCTGGTTTCAGTGAGCCTTCGCGACTGCCACGGCCCACCACGTGCACCTTGGAGCTGGAGTAGGTGACGCCCATGCAGTTCTTCGCCTCGCACGTATATGTGCCCAACGACGTGGGATCATCCGCATTGGCGGTCAGTGCAAATATATCGCCCGCTTTGATCTCCTTGGAGTCCTTGAACCAGCGCAAGTGTGGTGTTGGCACGCCCACCACCTTGCACTCCAGCGATACGGTGCCCTGTTCGGTGAGCACCGCCCGCAGCTCCTCCACAAATTCGGGCGTCTTGTACGCCTTGGGCACCAGCACATTCAGCGTGGCCAGACAGGAATTGCGTCCGCCCATGTTTTCGGCCATTAACATCCACTGGCCCCCATCCTCGAGTATTACCGGGCTCACTTCCAAATAGTGAAAGGTGCCCTCATTCGTCTCTGTGATGCGATCATTTTCACATATTCTGCGATCGTTTCGATACCAGGTTAACTAAATTTGCAATTAAATTTGTGGGTTTCGATATATATACAGCTATATAGATATAGAATTCGTTCGATTTAGTGCTCTTTACCTTAAGATCTGTTGAGCTGCGTATTTCTGTTAGGAGGCGAGTTCGTGTTCCCACTTTGACGGAGAGATCGACGAGGCGACGCAGAAATACGGGCGGATCCTCGCCCGTTGATCTGTCCTCGACAATGAGCTCCACATGCCTGCGCGCCACCTCGTTGCCTTTCGTGCGGGCAAACAGGGTATAGTGTCCAGCATCCTCGCGCTGAACATGCTCCACGGCCAGCTGGACGGCATTGCTGGTCTGTGTGATGCGAAAGCGGTCGGAATTCTCGATGGGTATATCGCCACGGGTCCTGAGAAACATTCATGAATAACATACATACACACATACATATATTTATATTCAACTTGATTGGGTAGCTAATTAATTGTATTTCTGTGTGTCTCTCTTTGTTTACCTTTTCCTATAGACGGACGAGGCAGAGGCTGTGGAGAGCGTGCCATGAAACTGTTTGTGCTCGTTGCAGCAGCAACGACAACATTTCGAGCATCCGTTGCCCATGGTGTTCGATAGATTCTAATGTTTACTCTAAATATTTATATTCTATTTACACATGCACGCACACACACACACATATACTTATGTATATATGCCAAGACACCGACACTGTGGTAATTAAGTAAATAGTATACAAATTTAGATGCTAATAAAGACGTCTTTCCCAGTTTTCGGAACTGAAGGCTGTGTAGCCAAATAATTTAAATTAAGACTCTATTAAATATCCTGAGTAAATTAAAAATGCAATTTAGTGAGATGTATTTCTAAATTGCCATATATATACATATTTATATATAAGTTCATTCTAGATATATGTATAAAGTTATTCAACTACACCGCGAACTACTGAAATAACGCTCAAGCGTAAAATAGTCTCGCTAGACTAACTCCCTTCTTGAGTGAGTGATAATAAAAAAAAATAACTCTTAAAGAAAAGGGTCTGTAAGAAGTGCGCAATTTTGAGTGGCCAGGCAGCTATATAAAGGCGCAGCAGCTCGAGTGCTCGATCAGTCGCGCGCCTGACGTGGTGCAGTGCAGTCAAAGTGAAGTGAAGTGAAATTCGCCAGTTATAATTTGTTGTATTTGTTTAAGAATTTTGTTAATAATACTATTTGTTAAATAATTTAAATTTTTAATAATTGTTTATAATCATTTAAGTGCATTGGTTTACAACGACTGTTAAGCATCATAAATGTAAATGATTTTTATATTTATATTATATATAGCATCATAAATGTAAATGATAATTATATTCATGATCATCATATTAATGTTTATTGTTTTTGCCAATTATTGTAAGTGCTGCTCATCATAATTTCTTTTCATTTGTTTGTTAAGCCTAACTTTAAGAGCAACTCTGGAAGCAGCAGGAATGTGCAGAGTGTCCTAAGTAGACCTATATATGCAAGGGCTTGTGAATATTCGAATTTTAAGGTAAGTAAATACTTATATACATTCATATTTTTCTATAGATACAATCATATGGAAATAGGAGAGCAAATATTCAATACTTGAATATAATATAAGTTAAACTATATATATATTAATATTTGGTTTGTTAAGCATGACTTTAAGAGAAGCAGCAGAAATACTTCTGAATAAGTGAATTTTAAATAAATACTCATATACATTAATGATACTTCTTAAGTTCTTAACAATAATGGAATATATTTTAGTTATATATATATTAAAATGTAAATATATAATCAAATATATTTGGATATTCCCTAAACTGTCCCTAAAACTTAAGAATCCATATTGTAGCAATTCTAATAAATATTCATAGCAAAACTATTTATGATTAGTATTATTTTGTCATTTATTATTTAGTTATTATTTATTTATATTTATTTTCATATATTTTTATTTATATATATTTATATATTTATTTATATTTTAATTACTTTTACTTTTTAAACAATTTCTTGGCTCTCTAAAGATATTAATTAATTTCTGCACGTGCTCGCATTTTTTTAGCTGCTCGACAGAAAAGTCATTAATTTGATTTTGGCATTATTATGATTATTAACAAATAAACAAAACAACAAAGAGCAAAAGAGAAGAAAATATTTAAACCAATTTGAAAAGAAAAATGACGACGATATTTCAATCGAAAACAAGAATGTTTATAAATAAATGCACCTACTCGACTATATTAATTGTGTTTTGTATTTACACACACTCGCACACACGCACCCACTCACAAGCCAAAGACACAAAAAAAAAAAATAAATAAGAAAATGAAAATTTGTTTTCTTTTGTTTGAACATTTTATTTTGGGACACGTATCTCACGGATGCCACGCATTTCATTTTCGAATTTGCTAATATTTCGATGTTCTCTGTGTCTCGGCGAACGAATTTAGTTAAGTTAACGCTTAAAATATAGAAACCGAAATGTTTCGCTTGTTTCTTCCGCCGTTTTGGCAACATTTTTGCTGTTTGTTGTTTGTTTGGCTGGCGCAGGTATTGCAAAATCTTTTCGGATTGATTATGTAATCATCCCGAAAAAAAAAAACAGAAGGGAAAAGCAATTTTCAACACTTTTTGGGCATCGCAACAATATGACGCCACACACAAAGCTTTACAACATTTTCAAAATATTTTTCACGCGCTCGAATTTGTTAATGCAGCTAAATTTAGCAGATCGCCACCATTACGCGGGACACACACATACGCACGCTCACACACACACACACACATGGTGTGTGGTGTTGCCTTTTGTTCTGCTTGCACTACTTTTATGCAAAGCACTCGTATGCACTGTCTCATATGTAGTTTTGATTGATTTCGTATACTTGATCAAGTATACGCAGCGTTGTTTCACATGAATTTCAAGCACACACGCACATATACCTATATAAACATATACGCAGTTAAAGACAAAAAATGCTGCTGGGCAACGGATATGTTAATGCGCCGATCGTCAAAGTGGAACTGGCGAGCTGCCGGCACTGCTCTGCGCTGCTCTGCTCTGCTCTGCCTTCGACATAGCCATTGCCCAAGAGACGAATTGGTCAGAGAACGAACGCAGCTGCTGCGACAATTCAGACGAAGAGCAGCAGCCAGCTGAAAGAAGCTGAAGAGGAGGCAGGCAGAGAGCATAACATATTGTTTTGCGACTCTGGGCGCAGTCGCCGTTGACCCGGGCATCGGCCATCGGGCGTCGGGCATCGGGCATCTGACATCTCTTGGCAGTTCTTGTTGAGCAAGCGTGAAGCAGAAATCATATGTGTAAGTGCGCAAATTTCTTGGCATTATGCACACAACCGGTGAATCACATACACACTGCACACACACATACACACAGAGAGAGAAATGCCTATTAATTTATTAGCTATGACTTACCATTCGAATTTGAAGGGCAGCAATTCCGTTTCATCCTCCTCATCGCAATCGATTTTAACAAAGAAGGTCGCACGTTCGTTGGGTATGCAGCGTATTAAGGAGCTGGAGTTTTCGCTAAACGTTATCTTTGGTGTTCGCAAAGGCATAGTTTTCTGGCCAGGAGGTTCTAAAATGTAAAAGGCAAGCAAAATGAAGTGTTAGAGCTAAAGAATCAAATTCATTTTGATAATATGAATTCCTTAAAGGAAAGGAAGCTGACTTGAGAGGACTTATCTTACTCTAAGCTACTTCTTCTATTTTTTGTTAAACTGGGACTAGCTTACTAACTCTGTCAAGTATGAGTTTCTTATAGAAAATAAGAAAGTCATCGAGAAATTCTTCTTTTTCACACTCAATAAAGAAAAAGAGAAATCCATGGAAATCACACAGGACTTCTTAAAATGTTATGAAAACCTTAGCGCTCCAATATTCTTTATTTTAAAACTTTAACTAAATTTGATCAATAAATTCTTGATTTTCAAATTCCTCAATCTTCATAATTTGATTCTCTGAAATATTCGTATTCATTATAAGTGGACTTAGCATAAATAAATTTAGTTCTACTTCATGAATCATAGAATTCATTCGCATAATATAATATACATAATCACATTATAGTTATAGTATATATATATATATATATATATATATATATATATATATATATATATATATATGTATATATAAATGTATATTTTGTGTATTTTCAGATATTTTCTAGTTCTAGTTCTATTCCTATTCCTAATTCCTACAATTATTTTTTTTATAAAAACATTTCAGCTGTTGCTGTTCGAACTTTAAAGCCAAGCAATACTTACATGCATAGAATATTATATGTATACTATATTATAGAATATATACATATATGTATATGTATGTTCATATGTATGAAGTTCTTTGTCTGCTACATATAAAGCAAGTCCTCCATTCAAAACCTCGTCATCTCTAGAAGTTCTTAACTTTATCGTCAAATATATTCTATATATTATATTGCATTGCATATTGTATTTTGTATATATTGTATTAGCATCTTTATGTAGGAATATATTCTTTACATACTATTGTGTTTTTCCAGATAGAGACTAATTTCTAGAGTTGCAAAGCTTTTGAATACAGTACTATATAAACTACAGAGTAGTTATATTCCATAAATTCTATTGCATATGTGCATATTAAAAAGTAGACTACATTTCTCAAATATACCAGCTCTAAATATAAACTAATTGAGTTAAAGAACAATCCATATCCTTAAATACATATATATATATGCGTACATATTTAGACCTATATATATATATATATTTAATATTCGTTTTGCGAATCTCAATGCGCAAATCTTTGCCGGCAACAGGCAACGGGCAGCCATTTGCCATTTTGCCGACTGTCTGCAAGATTTGCACTAAAAATAGTTTAAAATATTATTCATACAAAAACTATACTAAAATATTTGCATGTACAAATAACTATACATATTCCTATCTGTTCATATATGTATATATATGTGTGTGTGTGCGTGAAAATGTCTTTAGAAAATTATAAGCGCAGCTAATTTAACATAATTATTAAAAACAATTTCAGTGCTTATTTATTTATGCGCACAATTATGAAAAGTATTTCGCACAGCTCATTTTAGTTCAGTTCAGCTCAGTTCGGTTCGGATCCACATTACGTAACCGCCACAGAGTCCAACAGACGAAGAAGCGATCATAAATACATATACATATGTATGCATGTATTTATATATATGTGCACACACTTGGAATCTATTGTCTATGCAGAGGCATGAAAAGCCGTCCCGTGTCTGGGTCTTACCTACTACGACGTCGGCAGCGTCTGCTGTTCCCGGTGTTCCTTCCATGTTTTAGCTCTAGCCAAACAGACTAGCTATATAATTAGCCAAAAAACAGGGCCACCTTAACATGGGCAGCACACACTGACACAAGCACTTAAATACGCACGCACACTCACACGCGCACACGCAATCTGTGCGTGTGTGTGTGTAACAGGACTTTTCCAACTGAAAACTTTTCACTTGCTGTGCAATTTGTTGCTTGTTTTAATGCCGCATATACTCAATAACCGATTTGTTTTTCTTTTCTATTCTATTTTTTTATATATATATTTTTTTTCTATTTTTCTATATATATTTAGAACGTCGTGCATACATATACATGGAGGCAACGACGTTGTCAAAGGTATTTAAGCTTTTCTCTTGGCTGAAAGAATATTCACAAAATTGATTAAAATAATTATTTGAGCACTTAAAGGTTGGCCAAATATTTATCTGTAGCCTTTTTGCACTTTTCACATTGAATTTGAAATGCAGCGAAGATTTGCTACCACTTCCAATGGGCACGTATACACAGCCATGCACACGTACACGTACACGTACACACACACTCACATAATTGACACATTTGGTGAACAAAAATGTTGTTTCTATATATAAATAATATATAGAAGTCGTTGTTGAGGGAGCGCGCACATACCACGTCCAGCAGACACCTCCTGGATCTCCGATCGTTTTTCTCAGACTAAACGAATGCCGCAGCATCTGCAAAAGTCCATGCCGAATGCTGCTGCTGCTACAGCTACTGCGACTGCTGTCGGGAGAATTTGAATCTCTCTTGAGAGCGCACTTTCTTCAAAAATATATTTATGTATTTTTATATACATGGATTTTCGTAAGAGATGAGCGGCGCACCTGAAACCAGAAAAGTGAAAAGGTTTGCGCATGTTTCGGTTGTTTCTCATTGGAACGTTTATTTTTTTATACAAAATAAATAGACACTCTCCACTCCAGGTGTTTACAAAGTAAAAATCTCTTGCGCTCAATTAAATAGTTAGTTATTAATTAGTAAGTATATTGCATATTGCACCTGAATAGGCACCTGAAAGGCGATATTATAGTCCAAAGTATGTTAGGCTTAATTATATTTATGTATGTATGTATATACGCAGACACATCAAATTGATTAAATTTGATCATTGATTTTGCACTGCAAAGATCAACAAGTGGGCAGCGGGACTTGTACATTCAGATTGTTCGTTTAAGCTAAGTAACATGAGCTTAGTTCTTACTGCAGCCACACCTCACACCGAGTAGAAATGCGAGTTGAATTTGTGGCGACATGATGGTTCCGTAAAGGGTGAGAACCAGGCTAGCGAGAAGCGTCCGAATACGGATTGTATACTCTTAAGCCGCGACTTCTTGGTCCAACGCGCCTCTTCCTTCTTCAGTTGCTCAATGCCCTGCAAAGGTAAATAAACATTGTAAGTACTTGAACATGGATATATATAGAGCCAAACGCACCGTTTGATCGTTCAGTATGGCATTCAGTTGTGTGGCCAACATTATAATCGTGAATATACCAAACATCAAACCCTCGAACGTCAGAAAGAGCAATAAAAATATCGTAGCTGGCGGAGAGTACGGCGAGCAGGTGCGCCAATCGCTCTTCACGCACTCGGCAAACTGTGTCATCACCAGAAAGAGCGTGTGAACCGATATCGATGCTATATAAAACTGTAAAGAGAACACACATTGTTAATACACATAGAATATCGTTGCTGTTCACGCACCGTAAAGAGCACGAAATATTTTTGATTGTTCTCGCCAACGCAATTGTTAACCCACGGACAGTGGTGATCCATCTTACGTATGCAGCGCTGGCACACGGAGCAATGATGCGCACGATCCGGCTTAATACTGCAACACTTCGGGCATTTGTAGAACATCTGGCCCTCACGATAACCCATCTGCTCAATCATCTCCTTGGTGGCATTTCCCCTAGGTACAGCGCCCTGCAATACAGTTAATAGAAGCCATTAACATCTCCGCATAGAGGGAAGATCAAATGACTTACCGGATCGGAGAGCATTGTGCGCAAATGGGAAACGAATGCTAGGAATGCAAGCGCTTGGAATATTAACATATTGATGGTACTAAATATGGTATTAATGTTGTAGTTGGGCAACAGTATCAGACCACACACAACAAACTCCGCAAACAGTATGAGCAGCCATGTCATTATCACGCACACAATACCGCAAATATCCTGAAAGCAGATTATTTGATATGCAATTGAGAGAAAAGGAGTTGGAACACCCACCTTAACACACCAGGCTCTGTTGCCGAGACAGCGATTGTGCTGATCGATCCCAGCGCCGGTGGACAGTGATGAATATGAGTAGTGCATTCTGGCGTCTAATGGACGGACAATCAAACGCACTGCTTAATGCCGTTGACAGCCCACGCAGACTTTCACCGCTGTTCAGCAATGACACATTGGTTTTCAATTTTTAGATAACGCCACGGTCCACAAGGTTTATTAACAAACTCGGCAAAGAAAATTCCGCCTGAACAACAGCTGTTGTAGCCAAAACAGTCGATAAATTGCAAGTGTTGGTTAACGTGAAAACAAAAAGCACAATTTACACAGAATTACCAGAAAGTGAAATACCCTACAACATTTTGGTCTTTACATTTATACATTTAATTGAACTCTTGGTTTTTTAGGTACACTTTTATAACGTCAAAATCGTTTCAATAAAGTCATCAATTTTAAACTTAATAAATATCGTATGTACAAAATATCAAAAAAATAATTTCACAAGTACATGCACATATTTATCTACAAATAAACACAGTCTGCTAACAAATTCTATGCGGGCGTCAGCTTGGCTGCTGGCTCAAGCAACGCCCATAGACCAGCCATTGAAGAGATTGCACCTAGAATGCCAATTGTCCTCGGGGTCAGACTTGTGTAACCCAAAGCCGTCAGAGGTATAAAGAAATCGCACACATTCTTCACCGTATCCACAAAGATATCCTTGTGACCCAACACTATACCATATGAGTTTAAAGCCAATCTCTTAAAGTCCGCCGGTGTGTTGATCCGGGTTGGAATCCTGCAGCGTGAAATGCCACTGCTGCAGCTGGCTTTGTGCAGATCCAAGACGCGCATTATTTCGTACAAGTCGCGGCATAAGTTCATAACAATTGAGAACAGCCAATACTTGTTGGCGATTCTTGACCATTTCTTTGGATCCACCGTTGTTAAGCCTGTGCGTGCAAGCCACAGGAGATGATCGGCGAGCAGAAACAAAGCCTGTGAAATTTTGCTCATTGTCAACGTAACACGAATCGTCAGATCTGGGTAGTGTATGGCTCGAAAGCTAGCATAGAACACATCCAAGCCCTTGCCAAAGCGCAGCACTATGTAATCAAATAATAAATAAATATTTTCTATAAGTAAATTGCACAGCTTACGTTTTCGGAATGTACTCAAGATATACTCGATTGTCTTGAAGTTGTCTACCAATGCCGGATGGCTATTGGAGGACTCCAGCGAGTCCCACAAGGCACGCGACGCATATTGGATGAGTCGAGCAATTTTATCTCTGCCGGCTGCCTGATTATTTAGCTGCACCCACTTGTCCATGTTTGTTTTCTTTAAAAAAATTAAAATCCAATTGATATAAAGTCCAAGGTGCAATTGTACAGGGAATGCGCTTTGGCGTTGCCACAGTTCGAAAATATACAATCGCAAAACTCTGGTTACACTCTTGTTTACATTTATATCAAGCCTATCGATTTCGTATTCAGTGATATCGATAGCCGTGTGATAAGTTTATGCCACGTCTTTTACGTTCTTCAGATTTGTATTAATAAGTAGTGAAATAGATAAATTAAAAATGGCAGTAAGTAAATAAACATAATTGTCTTTGTATTATAAATGATTTCGCGTCTCGAAAATGCAGCCCCAACAGAAGGGAAAACAGGGCACCAAGGGCGCAAAACAAATCGTAGAAGAGAACAAAACAACATTGACTTTCTATAGGAACATGGCTATTGGATGCGCTGTACCCGCCGTATTACTAAGCTTTCTGGTTTTTGAAGTTACAAAACTCACAGTGGTAAGTTGAATGAAAATCCAGTCTTCGATAGAAATTATTAATATACAATCTAAATTGTAGTTCATGCTGGCTGTATCGCTGCTAACCTTAGGAGCCGCTTACCAATTTATGGTATTCATGTCGCGGGCAAAGTACTCAGAGAGCGGCGCACTTTTGGACTCTGGCAATGATTTAAATATGGAAGGGGGCATTGCAGAGTAGGTACTAGCTTGACTACTATTTCCCCCCATCTGTTAACACCCATTGCAATTGTATAATACAGAAATGTTAAGGATTTGATCATACTTACCTCTGGCACGCTTCTATTGGCTTTGATTTCCAACTACTTTTGGCTGGTGCTGCTGCTGGCGCCCATCCGCGCCGTTTGGATGCTCTGGGGCACTGTTATACAGCCCTGGCTATCGCAGCGCAATGCCGCCGAGGAACAGCCCGAAGTGGATGAGAAGAAACAGCGTAAATTAGATCGCAAAATGCGTCGCATGAGATAAAAGCAGCTAGAGATTTCTCCTCTCCTTTGAGGCTGCCCAATAAGTTACATATACTTTTTAAATGAGATTTTACGCTTAGTTAACTTGGTCATTAATTAGAGGCCAAAGTGAAAACAAAATATGTGCGGGTATTCCAAATTTGTTTCTGGTTTTTTTTTACATTAAATCGAGACAAAATGTCTCTAGTCAAAAGAAAATGCAATTGTTTTCAGTTTGAGTGAATTTCATGTGCGCTTTAATTATAATGTGCCCGAGTGAACAAAAATATGACATATACATACATATATACTCTATATATATATATACATATATGTTTTTCTCAATCCGTTTATACTTTTAGAAAATGGAAGGCGAAAGCTTTGATAATTCCTAAAAACCTTTCTGAAGGAAATCACAGTTTCGATTTAAACGAAACATATTCAAATGTTCACACCAGACCCTGTGCTTCGTAGATATATATAATATATAATATAATATTTATATTTATATATTAATTAGTTAAAAATAAATGTGCATTTGTGTGCAGGAACTTGTGCAGTTCTAATTAGTGCAGTTTGCCATTTCTCTTAGCATCAGCGAGCATGGTAAAAGTAAATAAAAAAGAAAAATAAAATAAACAAAAATTAAGCATTTTGCAACAGTTTATTCAGTGTTGACTAAACCAGTTCGCATCCAAACTAAAATAATTATAAAAAATATCAAATAATAATGACAATTGTCGTTGTTTTGCTGCTCAAGATTTCACTAATTTTTTGTTAGATTTAGATTTTGTTTTTTGTTTGTTTTTAGTTTCCAAAAACCCGGCTATAGTCTAGAGGAGCGTCAATAAGAAATAAGACGTAACTTAATAACTTTATGCTGGTAAATAGTATGAATGTAAATGCAGGCTTAGTTATGAAACTGTAAACATATATGTATTGTATTTAACTAAGAGATAGATAGAGGGAAACTGGGGTAGAGTGTGGGAGACTAACTAGGGTAAGAGCTGATCCAGTTCTATATATAAGTTTATATATAGATAAACTGAAATTCAACTACACAGCTAATGGAGTGTTCTGTGATTCTGGACCGTACGGTCATCCATGCTCGCCACTAGCAGTTGGTTAACATCTGTGCTTAACTACAACAACATCCAACAATTTATAATATCAATGGACAAGCTCTTAGTTGTATTGCTCGGGTATAACATAGGAGATGTCGTCCCATGGATGACGGTAGAGTCCCTGCTTGAGCCTCTTCTGATCCATATAATGTCCAATAAATCCTATGCTGCGGCCAAGCACAAATAGTGAATTGATGGCACCCACATTAATGTACTCCTGCGCCTCCTCGCTGCAAATTAATTAGAAAAAAGGCAATTAAATACAATTTTTTAAGTATTGCCCTCAAGCTTCCTCACCTGGTAAATGAGCCACTGTTTCGCAGCATGTCAACAAAAGCGGTGGCAATTACACCATCCACATTCAGAATTAAATTTGGTTTCTTATTAGTTGTGATCTTCTCCACTTCCAGCGCATACTTAAGCAGCGGACATTGTGGGAAGTTCTCCATCACGAATTCCTTGATGATCTTGACACGCACATCGGGATTGTTAATGGACTTGACGCGGTGTCCAATGCCCAAGATGAGTTTACCCTCCTTACGCATCTTGTTGACAAACTCCATCGGGTGCAAATTGGTATCGTAGGCCTCTGAGAACTGTCTGGCCGAACCATCGAGAGCGCCACCAAAACGATCACCCTGTCAATAATATCGATTCGATGATAACACAATATTAGAAAGAATCCTCACTAAGCACACTTACAATTGTCAGCAGACCGCTAACAACGGAGGAGACCAGATCCTTGCCAGCACGTGCGCATACAATAGTATTGTGAGCGCCAGAAACAGCCGGTCCATGATCAGCCGTGACCATGAGGCACATCTCAAAGAACTTGCACACGTAAGGAGGCAGACAGCGCTGGAACCAAAGCAACGAAATAACGCCTCCAATGCCGACATCTTTGTTGAGAACTTCACTAATTGGCATGCCCGCGTAAATCAGCTCCTGGCCACGCTCATCACAAATTGAGGTCATAAACGAAGCTGGCTTGCGAATGAGACCCAGCTCACGTGCCCACGAGTAGTCCATGGGCACCGTTGGTGGCGGCACCTCTTCGCGTGGCACAATCCGTCCGGTCTTCACCAGTTCGCCGTATACATGGTGTATTAGCTCGCCGAGTGTGTCAAACGAGTCCGGTACGTAAGCACCAGCGTCCCGCAACGCCTTATTCTTTGCCGTGGCCGTTTCGCGATCTGAATTCGCACATGAGCCAGCATGACCGAACTGCACCTCCGAGGTGAACATGCTAGCGCAAGTGCCAATGCACCATGCCACCAACGGCTTTGTAATGCGTCCATCCTTGATAGCAGCGCACACATCATACTCCTCGGTGCCGCCTACTTCGCCCAACAGCACAAGGAGCTTTGTCTCTGGATCGGACTGATAACGGAGTATGTGATCCATGAATGTGGAACCGGGATATCTGTCGCCACCAATGGCAATGCCTTCGATGACGCCATCTGTAGCTTTCGAGATGATATTGTTTAGCTCATTGGACATGCCACCCGAACGGGAGACGTAAGCCACACTGCCTGGACGATAGAGTTTTGAGTGTAGTATATTATCCAACATGCCACCTGTATTGCCAATCTTGAAACATCCAGGCTTCACTCCGCCCACAGTGGCAGGTCCAATGATGGCTACACCCTTCTTGTTGGCTTCAACGATAAGTTTGCGTGTCATATTCTCAGGTATGCCCTCAGCAATGATGGCCACTGTGCGTATCTGTGGGAATTCCAGTACCTCCAACGTTGAATCATAGGCCGAACGTAGCGAGGCAAAGTTGACCATAACATCGACCTCCTTGTGCTTATGTATGGCATCGGACATCTTCTTGTAAACGGGTATCAGTATCTCCTTGTGGCCCCAGTAGTACTTCTGCTTGTGATCGCCCGTAAAGGGGTACACCATGGCCACCACGGAAGGCTCATCGCGCCTGCAGCGGGATTAAGGATAAAGAAAATTTAGAGAATGATTGATCGAAATGTGGGATCATTTAACTTGCCTGCATATAAAATCGAAATCGAGCATCGATTGTACAGCACGCTGCTGCATGCCCCAGACAATCGCTTTGGTTGTGTTGGAGAAGAACTTTCTATTGAAATTAGAGTTCGCTCCGTTACTCTGGCCCTGCTGGTGATTATTGGTGGCGAGGCCATCGCTCTCATCTGCTGAGATAGGTGGTAGTTTAATCGATTGTGCTGTTGTCGAGCGCAAGGCTTTGGTTTAGTTTGAAGTATCCCCAAATGAGTGGCAAGTCGATCGTTATCGATATCATTGATACATTGATATTGACATTATTATGATGATGAGCGAGAGCGAGCAAATATAGTCGAAAGAGTATAGAATTTGACATACATATATACATATAGACAACATTCAATACAAGATTAAGTTACGAGGACGACGAGGTGGTGCGAGGAAATGCAAATACAATTCGAGGACGAGGTGCGATTGTGGCCAAACGGAACGTTTCATAAAATTTGGTTTAGTTTTTTTTTATGGTTTTTTTGTGGGTGTGGTTGTTGATTTGTTGTTGGTTGGAGCGGAGGGCGATCAATGCAAAAACATACAAAAGAAATACAAAGAAAACATAATAATAAATGCAGGTCCAAAACAAGAATAAATACACAAGACACACAGTATAATAAGAGCTACAACAGAATTGAGAAGAGATTGGATTATTGGATGGTAGTTCGGAAGGGACCAGGATGTTTACACATTATACTATTCTAAGCTTTCACATACCAGAGCCAAGCCCTGCTGCTTCATTGGCTTCCTTTAGATCGGCCTGTGCCTGCTGTCCGCCAGGCAGCAGGAAATTAGCAGTAGAAAACTCAACGCTGGCCACCTGTGGAATGGGTCGCTTGCCCAATGCCATGCCACAAATGGCGGTCATGTGGGTCTCGGGACCAAAGACATGCAACGGTATGCCCAAGGTGCTGCCAAAGTCGCGCATACGACGCAAGCCCTCCTGATAGTTGGGTCCGGCACGGCGTACAAAGATCGAGACATTGTGTTCGATCAGCTTGGGCTGGAATTCGCGTAGGGCGGTGATGATGCCTATGAAATACAACAAAGTAATTCGATGCCTGATAAGATAGGGGTTCGGACTCACCTTGGAAGGTCGCTGCAACATTCGTAAAGTTAGCAATGCCACCACCTGTTATCAACACCTTGCCATCGGGATGTTTCGGTGAGGAGGTCATCAGGTTAAGTATTGTCTTGGCGTACTCGTACGTTTGCTGTTCTGATGGTGCACCGCTATACTCGCCGTAGTTGGCCAGCTCAGAGGCACCACCGAGATCGCAAATGGTATCAGAGTAAATGACACTAGCTCCGCCGCCAGCTACCATAGTCCAAATGCGTCCATTTCTATTTAAGATCGTCAACTTGAGCGATGCACCGCTCTTAGCATCTAGATCAGCAATATACGCCTCCTCGGGATAGGCATCGCGTCCGAATGGGGGCGGATAATCAATGTCGCCCCACTTTGGACGGCATATGAAATCAGCAGTCGAGTCCAGCTTGGCTGCCAAATCCAATATGTACAAATTATCGGCCGTCACCACGAGAGGATTGATCTCAAGATACGTGAAATACAGGTCGGCAAATGTAGCATATAATCCGTATATAAATTTAGCAATGCGCTCCTTCTTGGGCGCATCTGTAATGGCCTTCAGCAGCGTTGTCTTCACATCAGCCAGCGACAATGTGCTATCCACTTTGACATCCAGCTTGACTGCCTTGGCATCCACATCGCCAATATCAACGCCGCCCAGATGATAGAACAGAATCGTGTCCGCCGAGCGATGCGAATAGATGCACACGTACATTTCCTCGGCCTGTAAAATAAATAGTTTAATCCTCCCTTCAGATATATAATTCAATTTGTAGGCTTACCTCTGTGTGCGCGATAAAGGGCTCGATTATAAAGTTGCGCAGCTTGCCCACGGCATTGCCAATCTTCTGATCCTTGTTGAGACGCTCGCCAATCCATTGCTTCACCTCCTCAAAGTTCTTCTTAACACCAACAAGGCCGAGTTTACCACGTCGCTTAATCAGTTGATCGGGCTTCACCACCAGCGGCTGCAATAAAAATTAAAAATACGAATTATCACTGGGATTTTGCTAATTATTTGCTGTAAAGCATTCATTGATCCCATTAGCCGTTTGTTACGTCAACAAACCCTCTACGGGCCTTTAGCCCTGCTATTGTCAGCAAGATCAGGCGCTAATAGGCGATCTAGCGACGAAGCGCGCGCGCGCGGAGCAAGTGACAATCGCCTCAGGGGTCAGCCGTGAGGCTGCGTCATTGTCAATGACAATACGCGCACGACTATAAACACACACACATGAAGACAGACGAACAACAACACACACTTCAACACTCTATTAGAAGATCGTACGAGTGTAAATTGAAGAAGAAAAAATATGAACTGAGGGCAATGCCTCAGGCGATTACGCGTCTGCCTTCAAGTAGATGTGGAATTCGAATTGCATGTCAACAAACATCTGTCAAAGTCAAGTCAAGCTATGGATTCCCTTCATATAATGGAGTATTATGCTAATTCACAGCGCGGTAACTGTGCGTTGCTGATAATCACGCCACCCGGCGAGTGCCAATCAACACCCCCACACATTGCTTTCGTTCAAAGATAAAAGATTGCGCTATCACAACTAATTTGTTAGCGCCAATCAGTTGATTGCTGTTATAGTTTGTTTTCCGGCCTGGAAGCACATAAATACCTTTTGTAAGTATTAAAACTATGATCGGGAATCGATTCAAATAATATAGATATAGTAAATGAACTATAAATATAATATTTAATATTGTCTCACAATTTATACCCTTGCGAGTTTATCAAGCATTCTACTCCTCCATATAGTGTGCAGTCGTAAAAATGATTATATGAAATATGTAATATTTGAATAACAATAAAGATATTGGACATTGTAGCTAGACCCATAAGCATTCTGGGTTTTATTTACTTTATAGTACTTTTATTGTTATTGTTAGTGCTGCTCATCAATAGTATATTTTTCCCAGCAATATGAATCAGGCGTAGTGGCGGCGCTATGCCTGCATGGCACACAACAGCACAGATTATATATAGCAGGTAAAAATGACGCTCAAATCAACTCAAATCACCTTGATTTGCGCTCCAATCCAATTTCACACAAACACTCAAAGACACGCATGTCTGTAGTGGTAGTGTTCACATTTCTATATATATAGTCATAATCGCGCCATGCTTATCAATAAGTTTGGGAATCATGCAAAGCGCAGATGCCGGCAGCGGTTAGTCATGGCACAGCAGCTCGCTACGTCGTGGCGGGCTAATCAAATATAACCTTAGCCGGCTTCTTTGCCGGCTGGGTCAAGTTCAATGACAAATTTTGGTTGTATTTTCGAGCTGGCCTAGTTTTTGTTGTTTTGCCAAATGCTTATCTTAATGATGGGATATTTTTAATTTTTAATTTTAGATTTTAGCTTACCGTGGTTAGCAACCAGGGGTGATCGATGCTCAATTTGGACCAATCCGTCTCAGCATTGACTGTGGCAAAGCGGCAATTGGCTGCGCCAGCGCCGTGCTGGTTGAGATGACGATTGAGGATGTCCTTGCCGGTGGCTTCCGTGATCGCTTTCGCAGACATGCTGTACTAATGGAAGGGATTTTGTTTTTGGCTGTAAATAGGAAACGAATTGCAACAGCCGCATTTAAATCACAGATTACAATATGTAAAGGTTGTCGCTTGACTTTAGCTGTACTTTCAAACTTTGAATCTATTTACTTAGAATTAGAACTCTTCAATGTGTGTGTGTGTGTGTGCGAGTGCAGCCAAGTAAGTCTCTGAACACCTGCCTGACCTAAAGCGTATTGTTGTCTTGTTTGAATGGCTGCGTTTATTTATTTGTTTGTTTGGCTCGCGTGTTTTTTCCTTCTCTTTCTTTCGTTTCTTCAATCTTGTACGACGGAACACGACAACCTATTCGCTGTCGAGTCTCAAGTGAACTGAAATCTAATGTGCAAGCCCACCAGCAATGAAGACCCGACCGAACCTACAAAATCCGAACCGGAATCCGGTAACGAGCGAAGCTATTTCGTACGTTTGCCGATTTATGAAGTGTATTTAACGTTATCGTGGGCATTTATAAATATATACATGTATTTATATTATATATTTGTGTAAGTTTTTAGGTAAACATTTCGTTTCTATAGTTAAGTTAAGCCAAGCACTAAATATATAAGGAAAGCAGCTAATAATATAAATACTTTTGCGCAGAGAGCCTCAATCTATGCAAATCAATGCTTATGGCTTATTAAAACGGGGTATAGAGTAGGTTAAATGATAAACTAATATTTTATCGGGAAGAACTAGAAAATAGTTTACTCTATAAGATAAACTCACGTTAGAATATTGTTATTGATCCATGGATACAAATAAAATTAAAGATATATAAAGTACCTACGCCTGCCAAGTACCTAATGTACCTCAGCTTGCTAAGTATACAACATACCCAAGCTTGCTAAGTACATAATGCACTTAACCTACGCCTGTTAATTACCGTAAGTGCCTGGAATAGTGTATATTTAAATTAAATATAACAAATTTATGCGTGAGCTAAGATGATGGTACAAAAACCGTTATACCATGCGACAAAATACGAACGAGCAACAACACCACGGTCTGAAGATGAACCGGTTTATCTTGTTGAACAACAGTCAAAAATTGAAATTTATGTATAGGAAAAAGGGCAAGCAGGTAACTATAACTTTCACCCAAACATTTAATGGAACTCTCTTATTCAGGTAAATTTTAGACTGCGCGTTGACAACGTTCGATGTTGACGTTGCTGAGCACTGTTTAATATATATACACTCACACACACACGTACTCACAAATACATTCGGACGAAGAGGTTTTTCCTGATTAAAACAATTTGATCGTTTTGCTACGTTCTGAGCGCTGTTTCTGTATCTATTTCTGATTCTAATTTGCACACATTTTAGGTAGTGTGGAGAATATGTTGAATGACTTGACACAAATTCAAAGCTTGCGTTTCAAAGCTCCCTTCAACATTGTCGTTTTTAATTAACATGAGTGCGCGCAATTGTCGAAGTTCATGGCAATTATCTGACGTGTATTGGTAATATATTTTCTTTTAATCCAAGCTAAACTAACAGCTAGATTTAGGCAACGACCCAGTGAAAGTGTGCAAAATCAATAGTGATGCAATTTCTGTCTTTTTTTCTTTACGAAATGCGTCGTCTATGGCCACAAATTCGCATGGATTTCTGTATATGCATGTGTGTGTTTTTATCCATTTCATGTTTATTAGCAATTACATGCACGTCAATTACAAATGCTATTCAAATGCATGTGCGTAGTATTGGCACACATTATTTAACTCACTATAACTATATGTATTTACAGCAGCTTCACTTTTTGTTAATAATCCACACCGCAAACTTTCTTTTCGATCTGAGACACTTTATATGCATTTATATCGCGAGTTATCGATAAACGCAACGTCACTCAGCATTCCGTTACGCCATTACGTACGCTGCTCATTTTAGCGTTTATGTGCGCTGTTATTGACAAAAGTGTGCCCGCCTGCGTTTTTAACTAAAACAAATCCTCTCAACACACTATTACGAGTCAGCTGTTTACGTATTGCACAGCTGTTGAAGTTAATACTCTCAGAATCGAATCAGCGATAACATAAGCGATATTGAGTAATATAATTAAAACTAGTACTTAATGTGAGCACATATTGCGGCTAAGAAGACTCGAGTGCCGCGATTACAAAGCATTACTACTCGCTCACATATTGCGCAGCACAACAAACACACACACAACAAGGATGCACACAAATTCGCTGCCAATGCTGCTGCTGCTGCAACTACTGGCGGTCATGGCCCCTGCCAGGGGCAACCATCAGCAAATGGTTGGGAGCAGGGAAAAAGTGCTGTCTGGCATACAGGAGGGCTTTATTGGACTGGAGGAGTCACAGACGCTGCCCGAACCGCACACGCGCGAGCAAGTTGAACTGCTGCGACACTTGAATTTTGTGCCACCGGCAATAGACTTTGGCAGATGGTCGGTGGGTCAGACGGTAACACAGATTGTGACGCTGTTTAATCAGCACACAAATCGCACAGTACATCTGAACTCAGTCACTGGGCCAAGCCCAGTGTTTTACAGCAGTTTCTTTGGTACGCGCGAGGTGCCGCCCCAAGGCAATACCACGTTTAGTGTCGTCTTTCTACCACGACAATTAGGTGCCATATCAACGGGTCTGCGCATCCAAACTTCCTTCGGCCGTGCCGAGTTTGCGGTGCGCGGCGAGGGCAGTGAGTGTCCCTATCGCCTAAAGCCACTTGTAGGCATTAAGGCGCCAATGAATTCAACACTCACGCCCGAAATTCATATGTACAATCCCCACGAGCGACCCCTGCAGATACTCGAGGTAAGTATGACATTAAAACTAAGTATTCCATCTATTAAATTGCCATTTTGCAGGTCTACAGCAGCGGGGGTGAATTTCAACTGGAGCTGCCCAGTGGTGGATCAGAGGGGCCACAGAATCTGTGGGAAATACCGCCGCATTCGCTAAAGCCAGTCATACGCATATCGTTTCACGGACGCACTGCTGGCAACCACAGCGCCTACATACGTATAAAAATAGCCGAACAGGCAGCAGACGATGCTTCACCGCTGGAGCATCTAAGTGAAAACGTACTAGTCATACCCGTTGAATTCGAAATATTGCCACGGCATGGCGCATATGCGAGCAATCCGCTGGCCGACTTTGGTCGCTTAGCTACGGATCAGCATGCCGATGCGTTGCGCTTCAAATTAGACATGCAAAATCAGCCTGTAGATGCGGAACAACGTCAACTAATAGGCAACTATCTACGCGACATACCAGGCCTAAGCTATGATGCGCACAATGCAAGCATTGTGCTGGATCCCAAGCTTTTCGACGAGAGCGGCAGCATTAATGATCTGCTGGTCATCAGTAGCAGCAATAGCGGCGGCGAGGAGCAGCAATTCACAGTGCTGGTGCGTGCCGAAATATTTAAAGGTGGCCTCTACTATGATCGCAATGTGACGCTCTTCATAAGCAACTCCAGCATCGAAGAAACGCCGCTGGAGACGCACCGCACTTTGGTGGTGCGCAATGATTTTGCCTTTCCGCTGATGCTCTACAACTTCAGTTTGACAGAGCCCATTGATACGGCTCTACTTCAGTTATCGTCACTTGAACAGGAACTGTTATTGCAGCCGGGCGAATCAGTGGAACTGCTGCAACTTCATTTGCTCAACGTGGAGGCCACATTCAACTCGATGCTGCTCATCGTGAGCAATGTGACAACATTTGTCCTGCCGGTCATCGCGTGCAGCGGTCGTTTGCATGTCTCCACACAACAATTTACGCTGCGGCTGCCCACTGATAGTGAATATAGTCTCAACTTGGATCTGGGCACTGTGCCCTTTGCGGAGATGTCACGGGACGCATTCATCATACTGCGTAACGACAATCCCATGCCCATCAAAATAACCAACTGGTACTTTAAATCGCCTAAGTCGGTGTACTTCCAGTCTATGTTCCGAGGGTGTGTGCCGGCGGCTGTCACTGTGAATGCCTCATTGACAAACATTCCGATTGAATCGGATAAGAGCACAATATTTAAGTTCTGTGGCCAGTTGGAGCCCGGCGACAGCGCCATCTTCATCTTGTCCATCCAAACGTATGTCGCCGAGGAAAGCTACGGCACACTGAAAGTGTGGACACCCTACGAGCTAATACGCACTACGGTGCGTTTTAAGGCATCCGTTGGTCAGCTGGACATCGAGCAGGAGCAGTTGCAGTTTAAATCTTGTTTTCCTGGCAAAATATGCTCCGCTGTATTGAGCATACGATCCAGTTTTTTGCATCCAGTGCATGTGAAATCGGTGTCTTTTACACGCCCTGGTCTGCGCTTCAAGGACTTCAATGCGAAGGGCACAACGATTGGAGCACAGACATTGACCAAAGTGGGGCGCATATACTTTGAGCCCTCTGCTGTTTGTGGCAGCACCTGCTACATACGTCCCACTGCCGATGGACACTCGATATTTCCAGGCCACAGTGGCGTCGCTGCAGGGGCCAACAGCAACAACAATCTACTCTACGATGGCGTGGAGGTTCGTCAACGCACAGAACTCTACAGACAGTTTAAACGTCAGCTGCAGTCCATGTCGCTGACACTGCACAGCGAGGAGCTGCCACCATTGGAGCTGGAGTTTAGCATTGCTATCGAGTGGCCCAAGCTGGTGCAATATCAGCCATTGCCACCCACGCCGGCCATCGAGGTGGGCCAGGTGCAGCGCCAGTGGATAACGTTAAGCAATCCTTCGATGCAGCCATTGCTGCTTGACTATTTCCTCTCAGACCCGGCGTATGCGAGACGAACACAACTCTCACTGCCCCATGAGGTGATCGATGTGAGCAGCAGCAGCTGTTATCTGACGGATCGCGACGTCTTTTCGCTGCCTGATGCGCCGTACGGCGGACCCGTGTTGCTGCCTGGCGGCGCCACACTCACTATACCCGTGCAGTTCAGCGCCCTGCAGCCGGACAAATACTGCACGCTGCTCCATGTACGCAGCAATCTGACGCTCTACGAGGCTGTCTGGCTGACTGCTCGTGCCGTACAATCCCAGTTTCGTTTGGGCAATCGACGACCTGGCTCGAATGCTCCATTGCTTTTTGAATTCAATGCGGAACTGTTTGAGCACTGTGATGGCAGCTTGAAGTCTGCCGACGGCAACCAGGATGAAGACATCCTCTCGAGCCATACGGTTATGGCCACGCGCAGCTTCACGGCTCGCAATGCTGGGGTACTGCCCATACGCATTGCAGGCTTTCTCATTGGCAAGCGTCCGTGCGAGGGCTACGGCTTTTGGGTGCTTGACTGTCAGAGCTTCGAGCTGGGCGAGAATGAGACGCGCAAAATCGAGATCAGCTTCACCACGGACTTTACCGCATCGCGTGTGCAGCGCACTTTGACGCTGCTGACGAATCTCAGCTATGATATAAGCTATCAGCTAGTCGCGCAGCTGCCAGCCGAGAGTGTGGAACGCTGTGCAGCGAGTCTGCCACGACCCCCCTGGGAGCCAGCATTACGAAACGCAGCGCTGGTGGTGCTTCTGGCCAGCTTCTGTCTGGTGCTGCTAGCCGCTGTCTTCGATGCACGTGCGATAATGGCCCAGCAGAGTGCTTACGATGCTGCTCGCTATAAGGGACCCGTGCAGCCGACGTTCAACTTGCGCAATATTGTCAAGATGCAGGTGGCTGAGGAGGCAGCGGCAGCCGCTGAAGCAGCCGCAACGGCAGCGGCCCTCAAAGTGGAACAGCAGCAGAAGTTTAGAAATGGTCAGCTCAAGGAGTTGCGCAAGCGCACGACCCCGACTAATTCGACAGCAGATAAGATGACGAATACGCGCAAGTCCAAATCCTGGACAGCATGGAGCATGGACATGGCCAGCTGTGAAGCCAAAGCTGCTGCTGTTTCAACTGCTGCTGCTGCTGCAACCGTTGCCGTCGCATCCCAACCGAAGCTCTCCACTTCGCCCAAGCCCAGCAAGAAAGCAACGCAAGTGCTTCAAGTGCAGTCTCTAACGACAGCTGTGCGTGCACCAAAGAAACCAAAACAAACGACGCCAATTAGCGCGACGCCCAAACCAAAGGTTGAGCCAGTTCCGATCGAAGTGCAAGAGAAGCGCATTAGTCCGAACAGCAAAGGTCAGCAGGAAAATGTATCGCCGCGCGCTTGCAAAGTGAATCCAGAAACGCCAAAGGAACGTGTGCTCAAGGAGCAAAATGGCAGCGCCAAAAAAGTGGGCAAGACGCCTGGTCGTGAGCGCCGCAAGGAGCAAAAGCTGACCACACCCAACGGCAAGAAGTCGACAGAACGCAAACAGCGCAGCAGGCAGCTCAATTTCAATGGCAATCCGATGCCAGCTGGCGGAGCATCGCCAGTGATCACACCAGACGTCGACACCATGATCACCTCGCCCTGGGAGACTAGCAGCCGCGTTTCGTTCCGAGATGTGCTGCAAACGAAACCGTTGCCAGCGATCGATAACGGACTCAACTGGGATCCGGCAGCAAGTGACTTGGCCAGTAGTCAATTAGGGCCAATTGGTAGCCGAAAAAGCCTTCCCCCAGCACCAGTTGCATCGCTCTATCAGCCAATTCATCAGCCGGAGGCGACAACATCCAGCAATACGTCAATTCGTTCGCTATTTGACAATTCGAAGTCGGACTTGAATATGGATTTGCCTGCTTTGAATGGTAAGTCGATGAAGCTCTTTTATTCTCATATTCTCATCGCACTTTTTATACTGTTGCAGATCTTTGTGGCAACTTGTATGAACGGGAGCAGCCGCATACGCAGTGGGAACGCAGCGAGCTGATAATGAACCAGCAATTGCTGCTGCAGCAATTGGCACATCAGCGTAAACAGCAGGAGCAGCAGAAGCTATTGCACATGTCCAACATGGAGAGCAACAATTGGGCTGTGAATCAAGGAAATGCGGCTCCTTCTTGGACGCCGCTTGGCTATTCCGGCTGGCCAAATCAGACTGCCGCGCGCACATCACCAACGCATACCATAACGCCAGGTGTGGGCGTTATACGTCCGCCTCCAGGTCTGGAATCGAACTACAACAATTGCCAGTTGCCAGCAGCAGGAACTGAAGTCGGTGTCGGTGTCGGCGTCGGTGTTGGGCACAGAAATGAAGCGGCAGCAGCAGTAGCAGCAGCATCAGCAGTTGGAGCAACGGCATCCACAAATAACAATCAGAGCAATAACCATATCGATGGTTTGCAGAACGCACAAGATAGGCCACAGCACAATATACCCTATCAATATGATCCGTTTACCTCGCCAAGCTCAATCTGGTCGGACAATTGGCGCCAGCGCAACAATCACATGAACTGAAGGTGCATCAAAAGCTCACTGATCAAATTTAAGCAACCAAATGAAATTCTTATTCTACATATAGACACTTAGGCTACTCTAAGAATCGATGAAACACATGATCTTTTCCAATTTGACATTTGACTAAATAAACACAAAGATTTATGACTTTCAAGATATGCTGTATTCCCTAATTAAAATAGGTATTCGCTATAATTTCATTGTATTTTGTATAGAAGCGTTCGCTTTTCCTTTTTATGTTTCATTTCCAATCACTCTTTTCTGACGCCTTTCTCTGCAGTTCTCACAACTAAGCCATTAAGGTCAATTAGTTTTCATTATTTGATGCCAAAACGAATGTTTGATATAAAGTAAGTATAAGTGTATTTATATGAGCATATATATATTTATTGAGTTCGTTTGATTTATTGGAAATTTACTAATAGTATATCTACACAGTTAAGCAATTAGCAATACAAAACGTAAAAAAATCAAGTGCTTTACATAAAATTTTGTTCATAGTATAAATTTTCATACTAATAAAAATAATTAGCTAAATCAGCTGCAGCTGGAGCCTCAACAGTTATCCTTGTACGTGATTATGCCCTTTTCGATGAGGTCTGGCACTTCCACAGCCAACCAGGGCGCCAGGCCGAGGGCCATGGCATGCGCGATGCCAAATTTGGGCACATTGCGGGCCCACAGCGGCTTGAAGTGATCCGTTAAGCAAATCTTACCGCCGCGATACATCTTAGCTGTCTTTCCATCTAGTTCTGGAAGGGCTATTTCCGGTGCCGTCGTTGGATAGGTCACTGGAATGTCGAATTCGACATCGAATTCGTATTTAAGCAGATTGTGCATGTACCAACATTTGCCGAACCATTTGGTGCCTTCCTTGTTGGACTCAAGGCGGAACCAATCGCTGCCAGATTGCTTGTTGTTCTCCACATACTAAAGGCAAGATGATTATAAATTAAATTTCGTTTATAAATTTAAGTACATGCCTTTATGAGAGCTTGGTATTCCTCCTTCAGTCTCTGCACCCAAATATCCTTTTCCCGTGGACCGGCGCGTATTTGCAGCAGTGGAATGTTACTTAAAGTTTTTCTGGTGCTATCGTCAACCATTTCGCTGCTTCGGAATCCAACCTGGCACAAAATAAATAAATAAATCAATTTGCTACTACAAAAGAAAACAACAAGTGTGACACGTACTGAAATGCAATTACCGACATATCGATACATCGATAAGTTAAACTGTTTTATTAACCATTCAAAAGCTTGGTGCTATGAATGAGTTAACATAATACACCAACGATCTATTGGCGCCAAATCATTGATGTTCAAAAGTAGTACTCATATTTTGTAAATAATCATTGCGCTGCTTGATGAATCGCTGCCGCCGCCTATAAAGAGTGCAGCCCAACAGCCGGCAAGACCAAACATCTTTAGCTCGTCAAGCTACAAAGTGCTATTTAAGGGATACAAAAAGTAAACAAAGCTAAGAAATTTGCAGACAATAAAATTGTGTATAAAGTGTAAAATAAAAAGGATAAAAGCAAAGCAGCTCTTTTTATATATGTTTACATATATGGTGGATCATCTATAGAGGGAATTCCGGTATGTATAGCTGTAATGTATGTGAATCATGTCTACATTAACAGCTGCGTATTAAGTTACATCTAGAGTAGCATGTTTTTTTGTCGAAATTTAATAAAATTAACTTCAACGTGACAATAACAGATCAGGAGAAATCACCTTTTGCTTAAGAATTGTCGGCCACATGTCTGACCCCAGAAAATATTCCACTGATTAACATGATTTTACCAGAATTCAAAATAATTTAAAAAAACAGGCAACAACAAAAATGCATACTAAAATCCCGCTTGTCACGCTTTGTGAACCATTGGCACAGATTAAAGAAGCTGCTCGCAATTAGAACAAAAAAACAAACACACGTTGCTGGTTGTGGTACCTTTGAACTATATTCATATATACATAGAATGCCAATCCGGTGATAAGGCTTCGGGATCCACTTTAGAACCGACTCGAACCGGTTTCCCACAGACACACAGAGATACGATTGTCTTGGAATCAGAAGTCCAGTCCATCAGAAAATAATAATCATATTAATTTATTTGCTCCGAATACTGAACCATAATGCTATATGTAAGCAACGTAACCAGATTCGACCTTAATGCGGCTGATAACGCCGACTCTGTTGCGCTAGTCGATTGGGATGCGGTAGCCGGGCAACCGGTTGAAACCAGTTCCATGCCTTGGCTTTTCCATTAAACGCTTTTCAATTAAAACAAGCTACAAATTGTTGTTCAAGCTTTATACACTGATTACGCCGAAATCAAAATAAACGCAAAGTACAATTATGTCACAGGGCACACGCAATCTCAACACTCCAAGACGTTGTCCACTGACATAAGTGATAGTACTTCCGTTCCTGCTGTTCGCGTGGCTGCCTCCACCTCTGCCTCAACCTCAACAGCTGCAGCTGCACCTGCTTCTGCCACTGCCACAGCCGCTTCTGCATTCTCCGTTGTCTTCCTCACGCTCACAGAGATTATCGTATCCGATCGACGATAGCGAGATTGATGCTGACGATGATACTCCTGCCATTCCTTGAAATGCATTTTCTTGCGATGTGCGTGCATATTGGCATTCGAATTGAAGGTCTTCGGACAATGCGGGCAGGTGTACAACACCTCACCCGTGTGCGTTGTCATGTGCTCCTATAACAAAACAGTTTCCGATTACAAGCCCCATTCATAATTGAAAGCAGTTGTGAAACTCACGCGTAATTCGTTGGGGCGTTTAAATGCTTTCTCGCACATCGGACACTCGTGAGTACGTGCCGTATTGTGAGTGTACTTGAGGTGGTGCTGATGCGCTTGCAGGGTGGGGGACACTTTGAGGCACACTTCGCACTGCATCGGCTGCAAATTCTCTGCTGTATGCATCATCTTAATGTGACGGGCCAATCCGTATTTGGTTGTTAGCGTCGATTCACACAGATGACACTTGATAATCTTTTGCGGCGCACCGGCATGCTCCTCCATGTGACGAACTAAAGCCTCCCTACCTCTAATCGACTTGCCACACACGTCGCAAATCTTGTCAAACTTTCGCAAATGCACCAGCTTCACATGCTGCTGCATCAGGTACTCGTTGGGAAATCTGCAAAAGATGAAAGCTTCATTAGCAGATCACAAATTGAACAAGACTAAAGTAGTGCCTACGTTTTGCTGCAGTTGGTGCACGTTGCTTGCCACTGTTCCTTGGGAATGTGGGTTAGTTTGTGGCGCTCGCACACGACGGAGCTGTAGAAGCTCTTCGAGCAATGCTCGCACTGGTAGAGCCGTCCATGTTGCTTGATCTCGTGCATGCGCATATGCAGCTCCAGACTGCGACGCTGGCCCATCACACGATGGCATATCTGACATTTGAACAGATCCGGATCCTGATGTCGCCGCAGGTGATCGACGAGCACGCCTCGCTTCAAAAACTTGCGATTGCAGCACATCGCATAGCCGCGCTGATTGTGCTCCTTACGTGAGTGCGACAGCATCTCAGAGAAGTCCTCCATTGGTACATTACAAAATGGACAATAGATCTTGTAGTGCTCCCTGATGTATTCATTGAACTCTTGTGATTTCTTTACATTATGTACGCCGCTAGTTTTCAGTTTGGTTAGGCAGCGACGTTTTTTGGTCTTTCGAGGTTTTTTTTGTTTTGGCTTGACGATGGCAGCAGCATCTGCTGCGCTTTCATCTTCACTTTGTTGCAGAAAATCGGATATACTTTGCTCCTCCTGGTCTTCGAGCACATCAGCTATGCTTAAGTCAGCCTCAGGGAATTCGATTTTAATTTCGTTTAGATTGATCTGCTCCAACACGGTTTTAAATTCGTTGCTATCGATACCTGTTGCTTCCCCGCCTGCTAGCTGTTTGCGTGGACGACCACGCCGACGCTTAACAGCAGCCGCCACACTGTCGCCTAGCCCTGTCTCCGTCTTAACCACATCCTTTGCCACCTGCAATTCCATGGAAACGGTTTCCTGTGCCCCGGTTTCCTCCGTCTGTTTAACTATTGATAAGTTTGTAATTTCGAGTAGCGCCTTGTGCGCTTGTTCTACACGTAAATAGAAATTATGGAATGCATGCAACTCGCTCCAGCAAGCACCGCAAATATGTCCACTGGCGTCTCCAATCTGAAAATCGAACAAACATTTAAATTCACAGAATTTTCTTATTGTGTTTTCTAGCATTTCCTACCCGCAGCCAAAAGTGTTTTTCTACGATTGCTTTAACGTCAAGTAGCTCAGCTTCCTGTGAACTTAATGGGATAATGCCAGTGGCATTATCCGTGCACTGTGTGCACAGAAGACACATTATACCAAAGCTACGTTTTAATAATTTATTCAGTTAAAAAATGCGACAGCGGGCATCAAGCGAACAGCTGTCTGTGACAAAAAGCGTGCTGCCAACTTACTGCAAGTGCGGCCATTCTATTTAATTTGAAGTAGCTGGCAACTCTGTTACTTTGGCGTCGCACTTCGCGACTTGACTTTGAATTAATTTAAACAATTTAAGTTTTATTTTTGTTTGATTGTGGCGCTTAAAGCTTAAAGCGTTTCAAACGTGTTGCAAGCAAAACGCACAATGGATACAACATGCATACGCTGTTTGTATTTGATTAGGCACATACTTGAGCGTAAGTATTCTCGCTTTGTTTTTGTTTGTCGGAAATTTGTTATTTTTTATGCGTTTTAATTTAAACCCTTTGCCCAGACATAGTTGTTGTTGACAGAATTTGAGCTTTACAAGTTATTGGGCGATAAAGCGATTTGATATCACGCTGTATACCACTGATAAGCTAATTAAATATAATAAACAAATTGTCTAAAATAGCGTTACTTACCGTTACTGTTCTTATCTTGTACTTTATTTCAGCTTCAGCTTCAGCTCTAGATCAAGTGTTCGGATCAGCTCTTCATTAGCAGATTTGCAAATTTGCCGAAATGGACGTACAAGCTGGACGCACTGTACCGGATGGCGGCTGGGGCTGGGTAGTGGTTGCCGCTGTGGCTGTCATTAATGTAAGTTTATGTACTTTTCCTAAATTGGCCAATTGTCTTACTCGTTCGCTCTTTCAGATGACCAACCAGTCTATACTGTCGGTCTTTGGACTACTGTTTGAGGGTCAGTTGCGCATGCATGAGGACACCTTTACGGCTGCACTCATAACAAATCTCAACAGTTTGGCTTTAAACTTTTCTGGCTTGTTCATTGGGCCGGCCATTAAGAGCTTTAAGCCAAGGAATGTGGCTGCCACTGGGTGCCTATTGGTATCCATTGGCTTGACTTTGTGCTCCTTTGCCACAGAGAGTTGGCATTTTATAGTGGGCTACAGTTTCTTTGTCGGCTTTGGCTTGGGATTGATATCACCATCCACTTTCATGGCCATAAACTCGTACTTCAGCAGCAAGCGAGGACGTGCCGTAGGCGTCTCCTTAGCGGGCGCTGGCGTGGGTCAAGTCTTCATTCCTCACATGGTGCGATATTTCCTAGAGAATTATGGCTTCCGCAGTGCTGTACTTGCTATGGCTGCTCTCTCGCTGACTGGGGTTAGTATAAATATTCCTTATAATATATATTAACTCGTGGCTAATAGCATTTATCTTTAAATTTACAGCTGCTTGGTGCTATTTTTCTACGGCCACTGAATCCATTAGTTAGTCACAACAACCACAAGCATCTGACACTAATAGCGGATAAGGAAGACAAGAAGCAAAGCAAAGATTTGCAGGCAATCATCGTGCTGCCGGCACAGACTAATAACGCACTGAAGCCAGCGGAATTGAAAGAGGATAGCTCAATGTGCAGCAAAATGGGCCATCGTTTGGCACAGGCCATGGACTTGGAACTGCTTAAGGATATTGTGTTCTGGAGCATTATTGTGGGCATGGCTCTGGTTTACACAGCTACAATCAACTTTACACTCGTCTTCCCCAATTTCCTAAAGCACACCGCCGGCTTTGACAGCAAATCGGTAGCTACATGCATGTCGGTAGTAGCTGGTGCCGATATCGTCTTCCGCCTGCTCTTGCCCTGCATCACTGATAGACTGAGAATACCATATCGTGTGGTATTTTTGCTGGGCATAGTAGGCTTACTGGTTGCACGCCTTCTGCTGGTTCAGACGACCAGCTTGCCGCTTATTATCGCCATGTCTGTGCAAGTGGGCATGACCAAGTCGGCCACCGTGATCAACAACAATTTGACTATATCGGCATATTGTCGCTCCGAGAAACTAGCTGGCGGCCTAGGACTCAGCATGATAGCAAAGGGAATAATAGTAATAATTGTTGGTCAGCTGCTTGGCTGGGTACGCGATTATTCCAAGTCCTACGTCATTTGTTTGTATGCGCAAAGCGTGGTGCTGCTTCTGGTCGTGGTTGTGTGGACGCCAGAGATCTATTATCGCTACAGAAAGCAGAAGCATCACACATCAAAATCCATGGAAACCACCTATATGCCTACCGAACAAGGGGAGCCTTTGAATTCTCGAGCATAATTGGAAAATTTGTATTTGAATTTATTTTAAGGATGTGATACCAAAGCGTTGTGACTACAGGAGCTATTTTTGTCTTATAAGCATAATCTATTTAGTTTTAAGCTTTCTCGACATATTTATTATCATTTAGTGTTTAAGAACTTGACTTTTGTATGGTCTCTCAACCCGCATTTAACCAAATGAAAAATAGAAAATCTACATAAAGAAAAACCAAATTATTATATTTTCCACAAGAGTAAATTAGAGCTGAATTTAGAATCCTTTCCATTTAAACTAAAAAGCTTTGTGAGCCCTCAATCTTAGACTGTCCAGACTCTGTGTTGAAGAACAAACGACGCTCAATACCATCCTTTGTGATGATTCCAATGCGCACCACGCCGCCTGAGCTACCATCGTGGAAGATGGCATGCTGCACAGCTGAGAGAAAATTTGTTAATTAGCTGAGAGTAAAAGAGAAATGGGGAATGCAATGCACAAACCTTTTTTCACAAAATCTATGCACTCTTCCATTTCCATGCCGAGGCGATAGTGTTCTTTGACGAATCCGTAGATGTAACTGGAGCCTGAGCCTCCAATAGTGCAAGCCTCGTGTGTCAACATGCCACCCAATGGCACACTGTACACTTGACCGCCACGCTCCTCATCCCAGCCGGCAACAATGATACCAGCCATCAAGGAGTCGCGATAGTTGTAACAAAAGTTGCGAAACTCTGATGCCGCCTCCCAGACAAGCGGTTCCTTGTTGGTCTGATTCCTGTGATAGTTCAGAGAATAGGCTACAATGTCGGCTATGGCCTGAGTATCAGCTGCAGAGCCACTGCGGCAGCAGTATATCTTATCCGAGATTTGAGTCAATTTGTCGGTCACACGATTCGCAACATATGCCCCGGAGCTGGTGCGCGAGTCCGCACCGATCACAACGCCGCCATCGAACTCAACGGCCATAATAGTTGTCTGCAATAATGATAGTTAAAGAACATGCTAAATTTAATAATGCTATTACTTACGCCAGTGCTGACGGGTGTGTCGGTGAAGTCAAAGTCGGGACCCATGGTGCTTCTGAAAGAACTTCTTTTCTAATTTATAAATCCTGCAGTAAGATGCAAAGCAAAATGACTGGCTTGTTTTTGGCAAGTGTTGCGAAGCATCTAACCGGCACAGTGTTGTAGAATACAATTAACAGCTATGCATTATAAAATACAATATATCGTTATCGTTATCGTTATCGCTTATCCACATGTTAAGTTTGTTTTGATTGTACTTGAAATACAATTTCAAAGAAAATGGCATACGTTGCGCTGAGCGAGGCAGAGAAAACGTTTATTTTACATGGTGTTGAGGTAAGAGCTTTACCAAAGTATGCTTGTTTGATATGACATATATGCAATATATGCTTGCAGGAAGATTTCCGCTGCGATGGTCGTTCGCGCCGCGATTACCGCCCAATGGATCTGGAGACTGGTCTAGTGAGCAATGCAAGCGGGTCGGCACGTCTACGTTTGGCTAATACGGATATTCTGGTGGGCGTTAAGACTGAAATTGATGTGCCCAATCCACTGACACCTGAGTTTGGCAAATTGGAATTTTTTGTGGATTGGTAATTGTTTTTGTTTAATTAAGCTAGGAGCTGTTTCATAGACTCTTATTTTTCTAAGCTCTGCGAATGCCACACCAGAGTTTGAGGGTCGCGGTGGCTCAGATTTAGCACAAGAACTGATACTTTCCCTGCAAAACGCTTACGAATCCCCATTTGCCTTTGACTATCGTACCTTGTGCCTCATACCCGGTCAGCAATGTTGGAAGCTTTACATCGATATTTTGGTATGTTTGAATACCATATATATATATATATATATATATATATATATATATATATATATATATATATATATATATATATGTTTTATTTATGGTTTGATCACTAGATTTTGGAATGTGGTGGCAATTTGCACGATGCTGTTTCTCTGGCTGCCAAGGCAGCGCTCTACAACACAAAGCTGCCTCGCGTAACTGCCAGATTGCTGGATGCAGGCATCACTGACTTAATTATATCCGATAACCCCTATGATTGCACACGCATTGGCATTGATGCAGTGCCGCTGCTTGTGACTGTATGCAAAATTGGTGACTATTGTCTGGTGGATCCAACAGCTGAAGAGGAAGTTTGCAGCACAGTTAGCATGGTTGTTTCCGTATCCATGCGTAATAATGAAGGTAGAAACTGTGGCTGTACTTTAGCGTTCGCTTTATTTATATTGACTTTGCTTGCAGCTTACCTCTCTGGAACACACATGACTGGAGGCGGCTCTATGCATAGGGATACCATGCTAAATAGTATACAGCTTGGTCTCTCCATGGGAGAGCAGTTGAACAGTCTGCTTCTGAAGATGCTTAAGTCGGAGGAGGAACGCGTGGGACCCAAACGACCGAACACAGTTGGCTTTCTTAAATAAATATTTCTTAGTATTACAAAACTTTACTTTATTTACTCTGACATTTGACTGTGTTGAGAATGTGTTCTCTATTTGCTTAAGGCTTATTCAAATTAATTTACGGCACAATTACTAATTGCGTTTTTTAGTTTGTTTGCTTGCTGCGATTGGCTTCTTTTCCTTGGGCTCGGGCTGTTTACCCGCTAGGAAGGATGTGAGCATTTCACTTATCTCTGGCATGTCGTTTGTCATCTATGATTGCAACAAAAAAACATTAGTTTCTAGTAAAATTAATTTAAATATTATCCTACCTTCGGGAATTGCATATTTTCAATTTCCTTCTTCGTCTCTGGGTCGTTGATCATCTTTGGCAGCACCAGCATAAGCAACAAAGGCAGAGCCATCATTAGTACCATAGGGCTGAAGAGGAAGTCCGTAATCTAGAATTAAAGATAATAAGAAGGGCCTTAGCTTGCTTAATCTGTGTATCGGATCGAATGCACAAACCTTCCATTGCTCGCGAGTCTGGAAATACTTGAATCGCATAAGCGGCTTCATTCTGAGTGGGTAGGGCACTTGGACAACCTGCGCCGGCTGCATGTAGTTCACTTTGCGCGCACGGAACTTGCCCTTGGGATTAATTTCAACGCGTACTGGCTCGTAGAATATGTCCGGATGATAAATGTCCAGCACATAACTACCGGAGGGCACTCCGCTGATTATGAATTGTCCATCTTCTCGCACGAATCCCTTGTATTCGCCGTTGTTAATGCTTACGGATAGGTCCACCTGCCATTTATTGCCGCTGGGTAAAGCAACCGCATGACCCTGCTGACCAAGTCCGGGGCCTTCGTCTGGAGCATACACTTTGCCCTCGATTGTGTAGTGGCCAGATATCTCATCGACGAGCTCCTCCTGACCAATTACTATTTCGCTGTTACTCAGGGCGATGAGTGCCGCTATTAATAATAGCCTATAGCACATTTTTATAATATTACTTTCGGACAGCACTAATTGAAAAAATTTTATTGGTGCAGAAAAAAACACATCAGATGTTTCAAGTCATCGCTTATCGATAAACACTGGCCCACATTCATCGATAGCGTGATATATTTGGAATAATGTAGTATATATTCACCACAAGCACTAAATTCACCTCAATGACACACAGCATTCACCTGCCCAATTGGAGCATTTAATTGTCAGTTGCAGATTTGAAAACAAGGCGCGCAGTCTTGTGCGCGTAATACACGGAAAGAAACACTATTGCCGTGTATTTGGCTTTCATTTTATTAAAAAGTCTTAACATAAATTATTGGTTAGTGCTTATTCTTTAATAAACAAGTTTTGAGTTATGTAGGTTTGCAAAAAGTGCTGCATGCTGCGTGTTCTAGCTAATAAAACTGGAGTTAAGGGGGATTATGCATGTGTTTTGATTTGACAGCATACATGCAATATGCAAATGCGACTGTTGCACTTCATTTGAAAGTGAAATTACACTTGAAAAATAAGAGCTTTAAGCCGCACCCAACGCAAAACAGTGATTGTGGAATTTGTGCTATAAACCGATAACTTGTTTCAAGTTTAGAAGACATGCCGCGGCTCAGCTAATTTACAAAAAAAAACAAAATTCCAAAGTCAGTTGGCGTAGTGTGAGAGACTCGCGCGAAAAAAGACAGACAACAACAATGAATGAATACTTATATGTATATATGAGATGGCAATAACAAAGTTGCTAACAACAAATCTATGTTTATACAATTATGTCGCATGCTGTTGGTGGCTACGGTAAATGTGTACTGTAACCGGTTTGCAGTTATGCCAGCCAATGATGCTGTATGTGTATATTTTAGTTGGTGTGTGTGTGTGTGGTGAGTGAGTGAATGCTTGAGTGTTCGACAACGCAACAACAAAGCTCTTGGGCCAGCAGCTGTCTCAAAGATTTTTTCTCAGCTTGCTTCAATGGCAAATCGCGTATATTTATATACATATATATAATGTGCTTGTATTTGTGTGTGTGTAGTGAGTGAATGCATGAGTGTTTAACGCAGGTCTTCGGCCGGCAGTTGACAAAAAGATTTTTCTCAGCTCACTTCAATGACAAATGCATTCTAGTACAATAGCACATTATAAATAAAACAATTTTTAATTTATGCATACATGTATTAATGTATGTATTCATGCATGCAAAAAGACAATAATATAAACTTATGGCAGTTGCAGCTGCCGTTAACTGATGTCAAGTGTCGCGCATGCGCTGTTGTTGTTTGATGATGTAAACAAGGCGTAACAATAAAAATGAAGTGCACAATTCGCAGAAAGCTAGACAACGTAATAAAAAAGCCATTGCGAGGGCGTGTAAGAAGCAGAAGGTAAACGTGTTTATCTGCACTATGCACTGGCAAGTGAGGAGTGGAAGCGAACGTGACGCTTTCCATTAGCAATTGGCACACTCCCCAACACACACACACACACACAGAGAGAGAGAGAGAGAGAGAGAAAGAAATAACGCACTTCACAACACTTGTCGTCGCTGTCGTTGTTTTTGTTTCTTTACACAATTCCTAAATTGCTGATAAATCACAGTCGCTTTCTATTTACAAACATTTACATGTTTCTCTATTTGCCCAACAAATCAAATTACACACATATGTGTGTATGCTGTGCTGTCCTCTTTAATTATATTTATCATATTTATTTGCGTTCTGCTTCCACTATCCACATATGCATCTGACGTCATCTAATTGCAATGGCAATCGAATTCCAATAGTCGCTAGCGGTTTAGCCAGTTTAGCAGGCACGTGCTGACATAGATATGTATATATATATATATATGTGCTTATGTGCATATAGGTATAGGTAGAAGATTGTACACCTGTTAGGCTTTCAGCCTAGTTTAGCTAATTGCCACACGCATAGCGATCTTTTCTCTGAACTATAGGCTATTTCAACATTTTCTTAGGAAACTTTAAATCGATGTGGAGGCAGTGCTTATAAAATAACGCGTGCCACAGAACTAATCATGAAACCAACGTATAAAAACACCTATGGAACTATTACAGCTGATTAAAGCAAGTCATAAAAGTTTCCATACCCTTTCATAGGCATTTATAAATATGTCAAATAATGTGTAAAATGAGAGCTGAAAAAGAAATGATATAATATATAATAATATCTTAAATATAACATTTTATATCATATTTTATATATCATATTACATTTCTCGTATTATGTACTATCAGATGGCTTACACTAGAAAACTTGTTCATTTTAAGATATAGAATTTCCTATAGACTATAGACTGTGAGGGTATTACACACTTAGTTTTTAAATACAACTAGCATGGCCTACCCTACAATTTAGACGCTATCTAAAATTGGTAATCGTTATCGCTTATTAGATTCCTTTTTAACGCATTGTTGCCTAACCACCTAATCAAGTTTGTTCAACCCACAAAAGACATTTCGATTGTCATGTTTGGGCTATAAGTTGATTAATCACAAGTCATTGCCCAACTTAATAGAACCTTATAATATAATAATGAACAAAGGATAGTATATACCTGTATATGCCCATACTCGACAAATCTTATTCATGCTTTGCCCTATTTCCTTCAACTAGACTTGCTTTCATTTCCATTTTCCCACTATAAAACTAAACTAAGTTTACTTTTAACCTAGTTGCAAGTTGTGGCACGCGATGTCCAAGCCAAGATTGCGTCAATGGGCAACATTTGCCTAGCTGGACAATGCCAACACGGCGACCCCATGAATAGCGGTCAAAAAAGTTATGGCTAGGCGCAGGCCTCGCAGTGGAGTAGGGCCATGGGGTCAAAACAAATTGATTGGAAATTACTGAAGTCGACTACTGCAAACAAAATGGGCAGAGGCAGAGGCAGAGAGAGAGAGAGAGAGAGAGAGAGAGAGAGAGAGAGAGAGAGAGAGAGAGAGAGAGAGAGAGAGAGAGAGCGCTTGTCTGAACAAGCCTCCAGATACTAAGAGATAGTAGAGCGCCAGACAAGTCATTAAAGTTGTCGAAAATTGTTTCAGCTGGCAGAACATTTCCTTCTGCTGGCAAAAAAACTTATCGTCTCTCAATCAAGTATGTATTTTTAGTCATTCACGCGCTTTGCCAATGACTCAAAGTGTAATAAGTAATGGCCGGGTATATAACCTCAAAAAGTGTGCATAACCTCAAATCTGAAAAGTATTTAACATTTCCTTTGGCACGGCACACGGACAGAAAGACAGCGCATTGCAAATGTTTTCGCAACCAATTAGAGCTCAGCTGTCAACTGAATGTAATTGCAAAGCTAAGCTATATTCAGGTATATACAGGTGTGCATATATGTATATTTACCGCATAAGTGCTCAGGTCAGTGAACAACTACGAAATTGTGATTGGCGTCAAACTGGCTTTAAACAAGGGCATGGGCCTGTCATGTCTTGCTTTTCGGATCAGCTATAGACAATATGTGTGCAGCCCCTATGTCAACATAGCACGCATAGAGCTAAGTGCTATAATAAGCCCACATTATGTGCCATTGTGTTGCGTTTTGATACCCTGTAATCGGGTTAGGGTTAGGTATACTCGATGGAGTGGAAGAAATATGAGTAGAAATAGACTAGGAAGACCTCAGTACTTAAACAATTGTCATGAATAATCAATTATTTGTAACAATTATTTCAATTTGCTAATGCTTAAATTTCTGTATACCCTCTAGAAGTTAAGTAAGCTTTAACAAATATTTTAAGCAAGATATAGGTTAATATTCAGATCTATTTAGGAATTTTTATATATATAATTTATTATATTCATTATTCATTATGTTCATTCACAGGGTATCTTTTAGTCGTTCAGTCTCGACTCGCAGCACTCTTACTTTTCGTTGTTTTTCTTGCAAGTTGCAAACGCTTAATCAGTTTGGTCTCACGTTCAAAACAAAAAGTTGAATTCCATCATGGACTCTTTTTGAGGCCAATGCCCAGGTATACACACACACGCACACACATATACACACCCCTACCTGTGCCAAGAATTGTATGCCAAAAAGCTATAAATTAATTTTTGGCTAGGTGAAATTTTTTTTCGCAGTTTTCACTTTGTGACCTTAACTGAAATGGCGCGGCCTCAAAGTCTGAAGTGAATGCATTTAATAACTTGGAGGGATTGTGATTTAAATATCTACATGCTAGAAAAATCACGTTTATTAAATGATCTCTTTTCATTGAATGTCTTAACTTTCAAGGCTTAGCGCAAGGTCACGACTTTTCATCTAGTCTCCGTGAGTTAGGGCTTAGCTTTATGCTTTGTTATGCACTTTGTTGCGTTACTTAATTAGAATAAATCTGATTTTGCGCATAACATTAATTACACAGTCCACTTAAAGATGTTAGAGTCATTTTTTGGGCTAACAACTCGTAAGAATGTTTGACAAATCCCAAAAAAAATATTTATTGTTGATTGGCATCTGGCTTAAAATAAACAAGTTAACTTCATGACTAATCTATATTGATATGATCATGTAGTTATAGAGAGAGGAAGAGGATTATGTGGAATATGGGTAAATAGTTTTGGTAGCGGGCGTGGGTTGAGGATAAGCAGCCGAGCTGATCTAGCTCCGTTCATTTGTTCTTCTTTCCAAGAAAGACTAAGCGGAATATTTAAACATAGCTCCTTGACTTGAGTCAATCATATTCGAAGAGAAACAACTGCATATTTATTACATTCAAGATTTTAAATCCAAGTCACATACTCCTAAAATGAGTAAAGTATTTCAAGGAAAGTAATTCCAGTCTTTGGAAGCATCATATTTATCTTGCGCATGCGCACATGTTAACACTTGTGGCTCTGTGTTGCGGCGAGTTGAGTTATGTTTAAGGGATAACTCGATTGCTGTCGTATGTTCTTTTTTTATTTATGTAAAGTGCTTATGCTTGAAGCCAAATAAGCGATAACTACTCCTATTATCCTATTTCCAGAAT